CACGAAGTTTCATTAGCTAAATTCGGGAAAGAAAACTTTATTTACGACGGCGTAAATGTTATTTTTGACGTGACGCCGAAGATGTTTGCAGAGCAACTTCGTTTGGCGGATGTTGAGAAATTGATCCGTAATGCCCAATTCGATCTGCTAATTTTAGAAGCTTGGTTCCGACCGATATTGATCTGGTCGTACCTGTACAAAGTTCCAGTGCTGCAGATCAGTTCCATGGGCACTAGTCCCGGCAACCCTGACACCATGGGCCTGCCCGACCATTGGACTTATCACCCTTCGTTTTTTCATCAGAAGATCTACGACCTAACGACCTCGGAAAGGATTAGCGAAATGCTTAGAAATCTACACTTGCAATCGGTTTTTGATGCGAACGAGGCCAAAGAGAATGAGATTTTAAAAGGTATTTTCGATGATGCACCTCCTCTTAGGAGTTTAAGGAGGAACGTGGACGCCATGCTCTTGAACTTGAACCCGTTGTGGGACAATAACCGTCCTTTGCCGCAGAACGTTCATTACATCGGGAATATCAATCGTAATCCTGCGAAGGAATTGCCAAGGGTGAGTTTTGTGGTCTCATTTAAGGTTTTGTTTTATTTGTAAAGGCTGACGAGCATACGACCTATAATTATATTATGGTCGTTCCCACCGGTTAGGCTTCCTGACGGAAGATAGCTTTGGCGACGCTTTGACGCTGGGAAAGCAGAGCCTGAATCCGAGAATACGGAACTCATCACTCATTTGATGTTCTTCAAGTCCTCGTCCTCTTCAGCGGTTCCTTAATGGTTATTCAGCAGCGAACCGCAGGCGAACACTTCATAATATTAATAAAAGCTCTCGTATTATACGATAGTGGTGCAAAATGCTACGAAAAGTCGAGTCTACGCATGCTGGACCTTTCAATATCCCCCCCGGAGCTAATAAACTGTCTTTACCTCCAGGATCTCCAATCGTATTTGGATTCATCTGACACCGGCGTGATCTACATGAGCTTCGGCACAAACGTTCCTCCTTCGAAGCTGCCTCGTCAGCTGACGCGGATGTTCGCGAGCGTGTTCCGTGAGCTGCCGTACAAGGTGCTGTGGAAGTGGGATCTCGACGTGGTGGAGGGGATGCCGGAGAACGTGAGGACCGGGCGATGGTTCCCGCAGGCTGATGTCTTCAGTGAGTGTCTAGTTGCTTGAGAGTAATGTCGAGTGAAGGTTTAACTTAACTTATATGAATAAAACCAGATTTGGTTTGTTGTACTTCTGTTTATGTTACGAATGATTCTAAATACGAAATGGTAGGGGTTAATTTGTACACAACGATATGTGGTCGTGCTTCGTTTGAATCACGTATTGAACTGATCGCTCGTGGGAGACGAGACGGCGCGTGCAGACCCCGATAGCGCCTGTTGGGATCCAGCACTTAACCGCTCTCAAGCAAAGCGTCAGGCGTCTCTCCAAATCTTTCTGATTATTCATGAAAAAATGGGGTGAATACTTTTACCTGGTGGTAGGAATTCTTGTGAGTCCGCACGGGTAAGTATCACTACCCTGCCTATTTCTGCCGTGAAGTAATAATGCGTTTCGGTTTGAAGGGCGGGACAACCGTTGTAACTATACTGAGACCTTACAACTCATGTCTCAAGGTGGGTGACGGAATTTACGTTGTAGATGTCTATGGGCTCCAGTAACCACTTAATACCAGGTGAGCCATGAGCTCTTCCACACATTTAAGCAACAACAGCTTTGAGATATTTGTTCAAACTTCATCCTAAGGCCTAGAAGACTACTATATTCTAGAAGCGGCTTCCGATCTCTGTAGGCACCTGTATATTCACTTTCTTGTCTGATTTTCTACCTAATGCCTAGTTCCGCCTAACTAAAGGATCATTTACATTACTGAAGCAGTTTTGTCTAGTACTACCGCAAACACGCCTTCTTGTCTGAAGACTGCGACAGTAGTTACTCCAGTGCGCTCGACCTGGTCACCTCTGGTCAATAAAGTAATTTGTAAAGCCCCTTTATTACCCAGGACATCCGAACGTGAAGCTGGTGATAACCCAGGGAGGGCTGCAGACGTCAGAAGAGGCTATAGAATGCGGGAAACCTCTGATCGGGATACCATTCCTGGCTGACCAATGGCTGAACGTGGACAATTACGTTCACCACGGCATGGGGGTGTATCTGAATGCGGAAACCGTTACTGCTGAGGAGTTCAAAGCGGCCATTGTGGAAGTCATAGAGAATGATAAGTTGGTGAATTGTTAAGTTTTGTTTCTTAACTTTAATTACAGAGAGGAACTGTAGCTGATATTTATATTATATATTTACGTTATTAATACGTGAAGCAAAAACTTTGTACCCCTTTTTACGAAAATTGCGCGGACGGAGGAGTATGAAATTTCTCACACTTATAGAGAATATAGAGAAGGAGTGCAGAATACTAATATTTTTATAAATTATCCATAAAAAAATCATTAAAGCAATAAAGAAAACATTACACACACACGCATATGTATACACACTCTTTTCTTTAATGTTACAGTCTGTGGTCAAATTGAGAATAGATTAATATTGTTTATCTTTAATATTATTTGTCTAAAGTGTAGTCTTGGCGCAATCTATGACTATAGAAGTATAATTAATATCTAGCCTTTGACAATAGAACCATAATAGTGTACAAACTTATAATTTCAATTAATTATAGTCGAATTTCGACTACTGCGAGACCACTAGTTCTAATAAAATACATCTAAAATAGTGGACCCGATGTGTCTGATACTAAACCAGCAGCCTTGTACAGTCTGAGTGTGAATGTGATGCTCCAGGTACCGGAGTAGCGTGTTGAGATTCCGTGGCCTGGTGAGCGACGTCCGGCTGTCCCCGGCGCAGCGCGTGGCCTGGTGGACGGAGCGCCTGCTGCGGCACGGGGGCGCCGCCCACATGCGCGCGCCGGCCGCAAACATGCGCCTCCTGGACTGTCTGAACCACGAACTGCTTCTCCTCGTCATCTGCTGCTGTGTGTGCGTCAGCAGCCTCATCGCTTGGACCGCTGTGCTTATTCTGAAATCACTTCTTAAGGGTTTCGGAATTAAAATTTGAAGACCCTTTTTAAGGCTATCGCATAGCTTTTATCGCGGGCTTTGAGCGCGGCGACCGAATCAAGAAATGCCGTAACGAAACTAAAACCTAACACCCCCACTCCGCCTACAATGTAGCTCGCGTTCAACACATTCACACGTTGCGCTTGTGTAGTGTTTGTGAATAAGCGCGCGGTATGACGTTGCACTGCATGCGCATCATGAAAAGTCTGCTCATCTCTCTCTCGCGCGGTCTAGCTTATGAGTCTGAAGGGGACAGTTTATGTTTTGCTTTTTTTAATGTTTGTAAATATAGCGTGGTCTTATTTTATTATTGTTTTAATATTAAATTATTATTGCCTAATTATAATTGCATAAGTTGATAAAAAATTGTTTTACCGCGGCATTCCCCGAGTGCCACACGTTTTTTTTATTTTGTTTTTATTTTTAAACTAAAATCTTGCTACATTTCGTTGTTAAGACACATCCCTCATCCTCCTCCTTCAGTGGATCGCTCATTGTTGAGCATCGTAATGCCCCCCCTCTGACCTCTTTTTCTAATCTGTAGCCACTTATATTAAGACACACAGCGAGTTTAATTATAAACTAAGAGGGTCAGGAGAGGGCGTTCTAAAAAGGCTTGGATTGACTCTGCGATTGATTGATTGACTTCTAGGAGAGAAGAGAGCGAATGGGAGATGACATCTGATAGGTCTGAGTGGGAATAGAGGAGTTGCTGGGGTGACCTCACATCTACTGGTGGTAGGACGTCTTGAGAGTCCGCACGGGTAGGTACCATCTACCTATCTTTGCCGTTAAGCAGTAATGCGTTTCGGTTTGAAGGCTGGGCTAGCCGTTGTAACTATACTGAGATCTTAGAACTTATATCTCAAAGCGGGTGGCGGCATTTACGTTGTAAACGTCTATGGGCTTTAATAACCACTTAACACCAAGTGGAACATGAGCTCGTCCATCTAAGCAATAAATAAAAAAAATGCAGTACAAGGGCATGGATAAGATGAAACAGCGTCTAATTCAAGTATGATCAATAAAAATATTTGTGCATTTACAAAAACATAACCCGCAAAATGTAGATCTACTTATCAATGTTTTAAACTAAGTAGGTAGGTGGAAGATATTAGTGTGTTGCGCATTTATTGAATTCCATATTAATTATGTGCTAAAATTTAGATTATTTCTGCCATGAAGCAGTATCACCACTGACTGGTACCTATTACTATTAATTATGTAAAAGAGCGAAATAGCTAGACGTACGTAGGTATATGTAGGTAAATCGATAAAAAATACCGTACATAATTCTAAGACGTTTTTTTTTGAATACGCTTTTATTAGCTTCAGACGTATGTAACGGAATCTTTAAACATGATTTTGACACCCTTCACAACATCGGATTAACTCGAAATTTGGCATACTTATTAAGGGGCGACGACAATACAAAAATAAATAAATAATTTGAAAACATTGAAATTGAAAAAATGAAAAAATAGAAAATAAATTTTAATTAATTTTAATTAAAAATAGTGTAATAAGAAATGATTTAATTGTAAAAAAAAACGTGGGGTGTATGGTATCAGTAGTTATAAATATTTTACGAACAGATATGAGTAGAAGGGTTATTTTGATAATATCCTGAAAAGCACCCCACGCTTTTTTTTACAATAAATTTATTTTTTCTTACACAATTTTTAATTCAAATTTATTAAAATTTATTTTATATTTTTTAGTTGGATTTTCTATAAAAGCGTTTTTTTTTAAGTTTTTTTTTTTAAAAGTATTATTCATTTATTATTGAAAATGTTTCGGTCCCGAAAAGGACCATGTTCCGAAATATCTCAATTAATAAAAAAAAAATAAACTGATTTCCTTTGCTTTTTTTTAAAATATAAATTTTAATTGTCATCAATCATTCCGAGTCGTTGCTTTTGGAGTCTTTCTTTTTGCTCAAATGGTACATGCTTATGGCCTTCATGCCCTCGGAGTTGGCGTGTGTGGCCAGCTCTCCCGGGACTAGCAACTTGACGGCCGATTGGATTTCTCTGCTGCCCAGAGTATTCTTCTTGCCGTGGGCGACCAGCCTTCCGGCTTCCACGGCGATCTTCTCCAGCATATCGTTAACGAAGTTATTCATAATCAGCATCGACTTCCTTGAGATGCCCAGGTTGTCTTGCGTGACGGCCCTCAGTAATTTGTAAAGATAGATCGAGAAGCTTTGATAGTTCTTCTTTTTTTTGATTTTTTTCGTTTTTGCTATAGGCTTGTCCGCGATCTTCTCCATGGACTTCAGAGGTTTCTTGGGTACTTTCGTTGGCGCCATTTTGTTGTTGTTGTTTTTTTTTTCACTCCCGTGACGTTTTAAAATGTCACCTTTTTATAATTTTATCTTGTGTTGGTTTTACGACGTGTGCTATTATCGTGGAGTTTTTGTTAGCACCAATCACGATGAGGAACGTTTATTTATTGATTTTGAGGGTATTTTTAGTATTTGATACGGTATTGTCGGGCGACTTTTTGGCGGTAACGCGACAAGTGAAGTTGTGTGATTTGTTTTATTTTGTCTATTTAGTGTTTCTTCAGATTTAAATGTATAATAACGGTGGTTTATTAACTGTTTAGTATCTGTGATAATAACACAAATGTGGGAAAACTGGAAGTAACTTCTCGGCATTCTACAAAAAGTCCACTGAAAAAGTCTCAGTAAATGACCGCCATTTTACTGAGTTTTTTTTTTATTGCCTTTGTAGGCAGACGAGCATACGGCCCACCTGATGGTGAGTGGTTACCGTCGCCCATGGACTTCAGCAATGCCAAGGGCAGAGCCAAGCCGCTGCCTACCGAAAATCCCCTATCATCTCATCTCATTTCATTTAATTTCATAAAAAATAAGAATATAAATTAAAATAAGACATGACTTAAAGATCTTAGTTACCAGGTCATAAAACCCCATAAGAAAAGAAAAGGATTTTTAGGTATCGAAATATTATTTTGTGTTTTGCGTGCTTGAATGACCGAGTTCGCGAACTATTACGTCATTTGGTTAAATGATCATCGGACGTTAATATCAGCATCTTTAAATACGACGCATTGCATGGCGGCTTTGCGGAAGAATAGATTGGATATTGATGTCCACCCGTGTAAGCTCACAATATATCATTAGTATTATATTGAATTTTTTTTTTATTGCTTAGATGGGTGGACGAGCTCACAGCCCACCCGATGTTAAGTGGTTACCGGAGCCCATAGACATCTACAACGTAAATGCGCCACCCCCCCTTGAGATATAAGTTCTATGGCCTCAGTATAGTTACAACGGCTGCCCCGCCCTTCAAGCCGAAACGCATTACTGCTTTACGGCAGAAATAGGCAGGGCGGTGGTACCTACCCGTGCGGACTAGAGGTCCTACCACCATGTATTAACTATTCCGTATGTATCACTGTCGCGAAACAGACGTGCATTCGTGCTTGAGACAGATATACATTAAAATTGAAATTTCGACCACATGGCCTATGGTAACCAGGACCATGACGCGGCCGCGAGTCCGTTGAATCATTTAGTACAACTAAATGAAATATAAAATTTAAAACAATTGAAAAACGAGACGATATCCCTTCCACGATATAGAAAAAAAAACACAATGTCAGTACTGTACATTATTGGAATTTTCGGTATTGAAAATTTAAATCGCAATTATCCTCCTATAAGATTCTGGAGGCAAGCAATTATAGAGCAAAATAAAAACAGATAGCTATTCTATTATTTTATATACAATAATTAAAGTAAGCTCTAAAAACGCTAATACTCGTAAAATTAATACGTGAAGCAAAAACTTTGTATCCCTTTTTACGAAAATTGCGCGGACGGAGGAGTATGAAATTTTCCACACTTATAGAGAATATAGAGATGAAGTGCACAATGCTAATATTTTTTTAAATAATGCGTAAAAGATACATTAAATCAATAAAGAAAACATTACACACACTATATACTATGTCTTTGACGCACACACGCATGCATATTATTTATTGTCAAACTTTTGTTCTTGACGTCTGTTGTCAAATTGAGAATAGATTAAATATTGTTTGTCTTTGTTAATATTTTTTACAGTGTAGTCTTGGCGAAATTAGTGATTATAGAAGTATAAAATACAATCATATTAATGTACAAACTTACAATTTCAATTAATTATAGTCGAATTTCGACTACTGCGAGATCACTAGTACTCGTAAATACGACAAGTCACTAAACAAAATCTACCTTCATAATAAATAAATGAAAACACTAACAGTCAATATAAATTCTTGCGGCGTGTATGATTTGACGCCATTACGGTTTGACGTTTGAAAGCTGACGCAACAATGACGGGTCGCGGTAAAGGCGGGAAAGGCTTGGGGAAGGGAGGCGCGAAACGGCACCGGAAAGTTCTCAGAGATAATATTCAAGGAATAACGAAGCCCGCCATTCGAAGATTAGCGCGACGCGGCGGCGTCAAACGTATATCCGGCCTAATTTACGAGGAAACACGCAGCGTTCTAAAGGTTTTTCTCGAGAACGTTATCCGGGACGCGGTTACTTACACAGAGCACGCTAAAAGGAAAACCGTAACAGCCATGGACGTGGTCTACGCTTTGAAGAGGCAAGGGAGAACGCTGTACGGTTTCGGCGGGTGATGCTATTTTTTTTTTAAATAAATTAATTTTTCTATTGCTGTTGTTTTGTTTTTTTTGTCTCGTTACTGACAAAGGCCCTTTTCAGGGCCGCATTTTATCTGTATCGAAAAACCTGAAAAAATAATTAACTAATTTTTCAGATTCTTTTTTTGGTCTTGGAGTTTTATTTTGTCGAGCCTGTTTGGAGTTTTTTTTCTTTATATAGTAGTAATACGTGAAGCAAAAACCTTTTTATCCCTTTTTACGAAATTTGCGCGGACGGAGGAGTATGAAATTTTCCACACTTATAAGGAATATAGAGAAGAAGTGCACAATGCTAATATTTTTTTAAAATAATGCATAAAAAATACATTAAATCAATAAAGAAAACATTAAACACACTACCATGTATTTGACACAACACATACATAAAAATATACTCTTTGTTTACTGTCAATTGGGAAACTTTTGTTATTGTTTAAAGTCTGTGGTCGAATTGAAAATAGATTAATATTGTTTGTCTTTAATATTATTGATCTATAGTGCAGTTTTGGCGAATACTGTGATTATATTCTCGAAATATAATAGTGTTTGACAATAGAACCATATTAATGTATAAACTTTTAATTTCAATTAAGTCGAATCTCGACTACTGCGGGGCCACTAGTTTATTGAAATCGACAAACTATCTCCCAAAACAAATAAGTTATTTGTTTCAACTTGATTTAATCATCTTTGTGAGTGACTATGAGTTCTGTACAGCTCGAACAAAGACCACATATCCAAAGATAACTGGTGAGACACATCAAGATACTTTTTCTTTTTTATCATAAATTATTTACAAATTGTTTAGATCCAACTAAAATTATGGTAAAAATGTATGAAATTAAATTAAATATTCAATCGAGTCATCATTATATTTATAACTAGCGACCCGCCTTCGCTTCGCTTCAGAAACATTAAATTTTATTATTGATAGGTATTATTGATAGGCGAGTCCCGCCATATTGCGCGCAGTACGACAATAACTGCGGGTGACGCTGCGGGGCGAAGCTAGTCTAAAAAAGTAGCTTAAGTTACTCCTTATATCATCAGCTACCTATGAGTGAAAGTCTAATCAAAACCGGTCCAGCCGTTCCAGAGATTAGCCGGAACAAACAGACAGATAGACAGACAAAAATTTAAAAAAATGTTATTTTGGTGTATGTACCGTATATATATTCATATTATGCATGTAGTAAAAAGCACTTATTTCAATACTACAAACAGACACTCTTAATTTTATTTATATGTATAGATAAAAACATTTCCTCACGAAGCTTTCTTGAAAGTTTTTGTTGAATCTAAAATTATCGAGTTCACTTATCGAGTAATTTGTGAGGTTCTCATACGAAACACGTATAGTTCCCGAAGACACAGTTGCTTAAATGATCGACTGGTTTGGTATTTGAGGTCTGGATGTGCCTTGTCTTGTGTTGTAAATGTTTCGTAAAAAAGTTAGCCAATTTTCGCGTTCCATTGTTATTTTTTTTTTATTGCCCTTGTAGGCAGACGAGCTTACGGCCCACCTGATAGTGAGTGGTTACCGTGGCCCATGGACTTCAGCAATGCTAGGGGCAGAGCCAAGCTGCTGTCTACCGCAAATGTTACAATTAAAACACAAAAAAATGTTATTACAGTATTTATTACCTTACCGCGACGAGGATGACACAGCGGAACACACACTGGCGCGTTGCTCTGGATTCGACGAGCAACGCGCCGCTCTCATCGCGGTCATAGGAGAGGACCTCTCGCTGCCGCGCGTCGTGGCTACGATGCTCGGCAGCGACGCGCCCTGGAAGGCGATGCTCGACTTCTGCGAGTCCACCATCTCGCAGAAGGAGGCGGCGGAGCGAGAGAGGGAGAGCTCTTCCCTTTCCGCACCGATCCGTCGCCGTCGAGCCGGGGGCCGGAGGCGGGAATACGCCCGTACGTCCCGGCCCCTGTAGGTGGCGGCCTCCCCCCGGTGAAGGTCAAGGGGCGACCTGAGGGGGTGAGGCCGCGCGGCGCGCTACCAGCACTCTAGCGCGCTGCCGTGGAGTGAATAGAGCGACCGGTCGACGGTGTATCGCGTCCCGACCCGGCAGGCTGGTTCTGGTCCAGCGGGGTATTCCGGGACACCAGCGGCACCGTCTGGGCGGCCCGACGGGCTGCCGTACCGAGACGGCCGACGTTTCAGAGCCTTCGATTCGCCTCGAAGGCTCCGTCGGCTGGGCGTCCTTGGGGTGAGCCGCGCCGTCTGGTTGTAGTGTTGACCGCGGTAGCCCCCCTACCTCATCCGGGTTCTGACCTCGGAGGGGATCGGACGTCGGGTGTAAGAGTGCAGGGGAGTCGTTTAGTGGGTGGGCTCTAAAATCCTTGGGCCCGCGGTCTGCTCACAACACCATGCAGATCGTTGAGTCTCACATACCCCGTGCGCCCCTTTTGCGCGGGGACCTCGTAGGAGGTTCGGCCCTCTACCCGAAAAAAAAAAAAAAGTATTTATTACCTTCAAATATATTTTTGTTTCGTGTCGAACATCAGTATTTACCCCCAATATGGACAAAAATAATTAAAGTGGGGGCAAATAGATCTATATAAAGAGCGCGCAAATCGATTATCTTAGTTACGCATTTGATCAATTTATTAAATCGGTTTTACTGGAAATGGCTCGAACGAAGCAGACCGCCCGAAAGTCGACAGGGGGGAAAGCTCCGCGCAAACAACTCGCGACGAAAGCTGCCCGAAAAAGCGCACCGGCCACCGGCGGCGTGAAGAAGCCCCACAGATATCGACCCGGCACCGTAGCCCTCAGAGAGATAAGGCGATACCAGAAAAGCACCGAGCTTTTGATCCGCAAGCTCCCGTTTCAAAGATTAGTGCGCGAAATCGCCCAGGACTTTAAGACCGATCTGCGCTTTCAAAGTTCGGCCGTGATGGCTTTACAGGAAGCTAGCGAGGCATATCTTGTAGGGTTGTTTGAAGACACCAACTTGTGCGCCATTCATGCCAAAAGGGTCACCATTATGCCAAAGGATATTCAGCTGGCGAGGAGAGTGCGGGGAGAACGAGCCTAAGCTTAAAGAAGCACAAATCAAGAAGAGAATAGACTGAGAAGGAAGAGCACGAAGAAATAGAGTAGGATATATAGACAAAGCCCTTTTTAGGGCTGCAACCCTATCTGATTATATAAGTAACTTGTTTGTGTACCTTCACCGTTCCTATTGCCATAATTAATAAAGTTAATGACGAGTTTTTACACCGAATCTACTTTAGGTAGGACGTGTTGTGAGTCCGCACGGGTAGGTACCACCATCCGTGCCTATTTTTGCTGTGAAGCCGTAATGCGTTTCGGTTTGAAGGGTGGGGCGGCCGTTGTAACTATACTGAGACCTTAGAACTCATATCTCAAGGTGGGTGGCGGCATTTACGTTGTAGATGTCTATGGGCTCCAGTAACCACTTTACACCAGGTGGACTATGAGCTCGTCCAACCATTTAGGCTTAGGTAGGACGTCTTGTGAGCCCGCACGGGTAGGTACAACCACCCGTGCTTATTTCTGCCGTGAAGCAGTAATGCGTTTCGATTTAAAGGGTGGCACAGCCGTTGTACTGTAAAAACTGAGAGCTTAGAACTCATGTCTCAAGGTGGGTGGCGGCATTTACGTTGTAGATGTCTATGGACTCCTATGACCACTTAACACTAAGCATTAAAAAAATTGTTAATAGTGCATAATATGTTTACCAGAAGCAACGTTTGTAATTTGTCAATTTATGTGCCATGTTACATGGTGCTTTTGTTATTCCTACATTAAGACCTTTATTGAAATAAAAAATAAAAAAACTATAATACTTTGACAGGTTGAAATTTTAGCGGGAACGCGTGGAGCGAAGCTGTTGTGAATTATTTTATTTTGTGAACATACTTTATTTTAGACTAGCGACCCGCCCTCGCTTCGCTTCGGAAACATTAAAACACACATGAAACAAAATAAAATAAAAAAAAAAATTAAAAAAAGTAGACTATGTTCATCAGGGACAGTGTCGGCTTCTAATGGAAAAAGAATTTTTCAAATCGGTCCAGTAGTTTCGGAGCCTATTCGAAACAAACAAACAAACAAATCTTTCCTCTTTATAATATTAGTATAGATTTAAACGTGTAACAATGTTGAGTTATTGACCGCTTAGTATTATTTTTGCTTGACGTGCCTTCACGGGTTCTTCCAAAGAATCCGCTGAAGTCTCAGTAGATTCCCATCATTTTACTATAAGGTTATTTTTCATTTTAGCTGCATACTTATATAACTAGCGGACCCGGCAGACTTCGTAGTGCCTCAATCGATAAATTAAAGACCTAAACTTTTGTATAAAATAAACTTAAATCAAACAAAAGGAATCCTTCCGACGGGGGACACATCAAAGGAAAAACAAAATTGTTTGTTTTTATATAATTCCGAGCATTTTCTTATTTATTCACCTTTTAAATCTTCTCTGGACTTCCACAAATAATTCAAGACCAAAATTAGCCAAATCGGTCCAGCCGTTCTCGAATTTTAGCGAGACTAACGAACAGCAATTCATTTTTATATATATAGAAGAAGAGGATAGAAGATAATTGAAGATTTTTATAAACTCGACTGTATCAGCAATCGCAAGAAGCTATTTGTCATACTAAAAGAGTAAAGAAGTAATTTAACAAAAAAAAAAATACCTTCATCATTAAACGGATATAAACAAAATTAAATAAACGCCATTGCACGCCCAAAGCGTCCTCTACCCATCCACTACACGACGAAGAAACTAAAAGACGATATAAACAGCGAATCGACTGTTACTTCAGACTATTACCAACAGAGATGTCTTCCAAAAGCACACACAGAAAGAACAAGACTCGGTCTTCGCGTGCCGGCCTTCACTTCCCCGTGGGCAGGATACACAAGATCCTCAGAAACGGCAACTACGCTCCCAGGATCGGTTCCGGAGCCCCGATATACCTCGCAGCGGCTCTGGAATACCTCGCCGCCGAAATCCTGGAGCTCGCGGCGGACGCGGCAAAAGAAATGAAAAAGACCAGAGTCATACCGCGGCATATCCTGTTCGCCATTAAAAACGACGAGGAATTAAGCAGGATGATGACCGGAGTGACTATATCGCAGGGCGGAGTCCTACCGGCCATCCAGCCCGTGCTGCTACCTAAGAAAACCACTAAACACTAAACGCTGAAGTGATTGGCCCGATTCTGACAAAGCCCTTGTTAGGGCTGCAAATTTTACAATTTTTTATATCGCACATACGATGCGATAACGTCACTTATGCAAATTATATATTTTTTCAGAAGAAATCTTGGAAAATTCAACATCTTATTTTAATTCGACGCTTGAAAGGCAAACGTGACTAAGCGACAATAACTGCATTGTACATAAATGATAGGCAGTAACCATATTCGATGCACAAAAAAAAATATATTTCTAGGTCTATTAAAATCATTTCAATCCTACAACTACTAGCTAGATTCTACTACAGCTAGATTTGTTAAAATATAATTTTTTTCAGGTATTTCTCAAGTATATTTTAAATTAATTTCAACCTTAAATTAGTCTACTGTAAAGTTCACGCATTGTCGCTTAGTCAATTATACCTTTCAATCGTTGATATATAGTTTATTTGCTAGACTAAAGAAATAAAAACAATAATACCTATTTAAACTAAAACTTTAAATTTCATCAATAAAAGTCAAACATGTTACTGATAACTATTAAAAAAATGTATTTTCTCATACCTAGTTCAGTTTTAACAAAAATTGCCTAAGTGACTTTATTTATAGCACCGTATGAGCGATATGCATTTAAAAAGATTAAATAACAGGGTAGAAATTAAATTAAGCAATATGAGATGTGGGACTCTCATGTTTTTTTGTTGATTGTTGAAAAGAAAACTTGTTAATTTTGTTTTTCTTTTCTCACTTGATAAATTTTTTTTTAATGTAATTTCTTGCAATTCATTTTGTAATTAATTTTTTGTACTCAATGTATTGTAATTGTTTCTTGGTTTGGTTTATTTCTTTTATTTGTGTTTTTATCGTAAAGCCTAGTTAAATTTTGTATTTTATTTTTGTAAAACTAGTTTAAGCTGATGGCCGTGTTGCCAGTGCTTTCAATAAATAAAAAATAAAAAATAAGAATTAAAAAGTATGAAATGGCATATAAATAAAGGTTCAGTAAAATTGTGGTTGTTTATATATCCTATTAATATAAAAAATGCGAAATTTTGTAAGAATTTGTGGATGTAGGTTTGTTACTGTTAAGATTTTATATGGAAGAATAAGCAGACTCATTTTAATATCACAAATTATATTTATTTACACGACACAATCTTATTAAGTAGAGAATGTAACCATGGTAACGAGTCAACATCACTAGTGCGGCGACACGCAGCTAGTGCTATATCTCAACAGTTACTCTTTCGCCCAAAACTACTGAATGGATTTTGATGAAACTTTACAACAATATATATTAGTTGACACATCAGAATAACACATAGGCTATAATTTTTAAAGATATAGTGTCAATTACCAAAAATATAACGATAAGTGTCAAGTAAGTAGGAAAAAATCTTTGTTATTTTCATAATCACTACATAGCATAAAACAAAGTCGCTTTCTCTGTCCCTATATCTGTCTGTCCCTATGTATGCTTAAATCTTTAAAACTACGCAACGGATTTTGATGCGGTTTTTAATACATAGAGTGATTGAAGAGGAAGGTTTATATGTATAATAACATCCATTAAATAGTGGAGAAATAAATAATAAATTACAGTTTCCGAAGCGAAGCGAGGGCGGGTCGCTAGTCAATAATAAACAATGCTGTCGAAGCAAACCGTGAACGGGTTGCTATATTGTTGACGGTAGTATATAATGTTATGGAGTATTTCAGAATGAATAAACAATAGAAGAATTAATTGTGTTTTTTGTGATCTATTAAGAAAATTATATTTATTATAGCCCTTAATCTCTTTTAAAAATAATTTTGAAGAAAAATCCTTTTTAAAAACCAAAGAATTTTACATATTAAAGGTTTTTCTATATATATGTATACAATTAACGATGTGTCCTTAATATTTATAAAACAAATAGAAATGAAACTCCAAATTGGCCAACAAAACAATTTTATTTTATTCAATAAACGCCTATATTATTGAGCACGTGCGTCAGTATGATCTGGTGCACGTCTCTGAAGACGGTCCGGACATTGTCAGTGTCGGTGGCAGTCGTGAAGTGGAAGTAGCACTCCCGGGGCCTGTGGGCCTCACCAACGACGAAGCGCTCAGCCGAGGCGGCCACGGCGCGCTGCCGCTGCCTCTTGGTCAAGTCCTGAAAGGGCGCGGCATTAAAAAAAAAAGTGTGTGTGTGTGCAAGTCACTTTTACTGGTGGTAGGACCTCTTGTGAGTCCGCACGGATAGGTACCACCACCCCGCCTATTTCTGCCGTGAAGCAGTAATGAGTTTCGGTTTGAAGGGTGGGGTAGCCGTTGTAACTATACTTGAGACCTTAGAACTTATATCTCAAGGTGGGTGGCGCATTTAAGTTATAGATGTCTACAGGCTCCAGTAACCACTTAACACCAGGTGAGCTGTGAGCTCGTACACCTATTTAAGCAATAAAAAAAGCGCTCGACGAGTAAATTAACCCACAGACACAGCCCACTGAGTTTCTCGCCGGATCTTCTCAGTGGGTCGCGTTTCCGATCCGGTGGTAGATTCCGCGAAGCACTGCTCTTGCTAGGGTTCGTGTTAGCAACACTCCCGGTTTGAGCCCCGTGAGCTCATCTACTAGTTAAGGTTACGCTGATATAGCCTCTCAAGGCTATCAGCATAGGTAGGAAAAGAGGCAGAATCCACCACCGGATCGGAAACGCGACCCACTGGTTAATTTACTCGCCGAGCCCTTCATCGCAATCGTGAATCTTTATATTAATACGTGAAGCAAAAACTTTGTATCCCTTTTTACGAAAATTGCGCGGACGGAGGAGTATGAAATTTTCCACACTTATAGAGAATATAGAGAAGACGTGCACAATGCTAATATTTTTTAAAAATAATGCATAAAAGATACATTAAATCGATAAAGAAAACATTACACACACTACATACCATGTATTTGACGCACACACGCATGCATACTATTTATTGTCAAACTTTTGTTCTTGACGTCTGTTGTCAAATTGAGAATAGATTAAATATTGTTTGTCTTTGTTAATATTTTTTATAGTGTAGTCTTAGCGAAATTTGCAGAACCCTAGCGCGTAACTATAGTCTGGAGACGTTTTGTGATTGAATCAAAACAACTCACGACGAACAGACTCCGTATGAAGAGCTTGGTCCTCGTGTACTCGTCCCCGGGCGCTTCGTACCGGGAGTACTCCGGGAAGTGGGTGGCGGGCGAGCGGCCCCGGGACACCTTCGCCTCCAGCACGTCCTGCTTGTTGAGGAACACGATCAGCCCAGCCTCCAGGAGAAACCTTTTAGAAACACTTACTCTAGGATTATTTTTATTAAATAACTAGCTGACCCGGCAGACTTCGTAGTGCCTCAATCGATAAATAAAAGACCTAAACTTTTGTATAAAATAAACTTAAAACAAACAAAAGGAATCCGTCCGACGGGGGACACATCAAAGGGAAAACAAAATTGTCATTTTTATTTAATTCCGAGCATTTCCATATTTATCTACCTTTTAAACCTTCTCTGGACTTCCACAAATAATTCAAGACCAAAATTAGCCAAATCGGTCCAGTCGTTCTCGAGTTTTAGCGAGACTAACGAACAGCAATTCATTTTTATATATATAGATAGATAGATAGATTTTACGTCAATTAAATCAGACTGTATCCGTAACAGGATACATTGATAATTAATTTACTGGTGGTAGGACGTCGTGTGAGTCTACACGGGTAGGTACAACCACCCCGCCTATTTTTAGCGTGAAGCAGTAATGCGTTTCGGTTTGAAGAGTGGGGCAGCCGTTGTAACTATACTGAGACCTTAGAACTTATACCTCAAGGTGGGTTACGAATTTACGTTGTAGATGTCTATGGGCTCCAGTAACCACTTAACACCAGGTGGGCTGTGAGCTCGTCCATCCATATAAACAATTAAATATATAAAACACTAACATATTAAGAAGCTAGTAAAAGCGTGTTAATTACCTTTACGAGTTTTTAGTCTCATGTTTTAATTATTACTATAGGTCCCGCAGTAGTCGAAATTCGACTATAATTAATTGGAATTGTAAGTTTGTACACTATTATGATTGTATTTTATACTTCTATAATCACAAATTTCGCCAAGACTACACTATAAAAAATATTAACAAAGACAAACAATATTTAATTTATTCTCAATTTGACAACAGTCGTCAAGAACAAAAGTTTGACAATAAATAGCCTATGCATGCGTGTGTGCGTCAAATACATGGCATGTAGTGTGTGTAATGTTTTCTTTATTGATTTAATGTATCTTTTATGCATTATTTAAAAAAAATATTTGCATTGTGCACTTCTTCTCTATATTCTCTACAAGTGTAGAAAATTTCATACTCCTCCGTCCGCGCAATTTTCGTAAAAAAGGATACAAAGTTTTTGCTTCACGTATTAATATATAGATAATATATTATTTCGGATATTTCATACAGGCGACTAGAGGCTTACACTAGAGATATTTTGCTAACTACCGTCAAATGTTCTAATAACATTATTACCGTAAAAATAATTTATATTGAGGATTTAAATGTCGGGTTTGGTTTGTTTGTAAGCTCTAAATACTAAGGTAAGGTAAAGTTCATTATCGGCCAGGCTTTGAGGTCTGCGTGACCCATGCGTGGTACATCCTACCTGCTTTGCCATACGTCTTCGAAGAGGTTCAAGGACTCCTGCAATCTGTTAGTGGTGTTGTCTTCCCTCAAAGTTTGGTCGAAGTCGCTACAAGCCACCAGGAACCAGATCGCGTTGATACCTTCAAACACCTGATTATCGAAAGCAGAGAATCAAACGTAATTTCCAGAAAAAATAGTAAAAAAATATTATTTTATTTTGGCACGCAGTGGAACGCAAAATCATGTCACGGGGTCGACGACCTCGAACGAACGCGTGCTGCGTAATGTAATCTGTGTGCTTGGCGCGAGTTTTAGTTAACCCAGTTTTGTATTCAGTTGGAACAGTGCCCCTAGCGGCAAACTGAGGCAAACGTTCTATACAAACTTGAGTTAACTTTTACGCTATCGAGAACGTTAAAAACTCGCTTTTTTTCCTACCTAAGCTGATGTCTAGAGACATCATATCAGAACCTTAACTAGTAGGTGAGCTCACGGGGCTCAAACCTGACGACGTTGCTAACGCGAACCCTAGCAAGAGCAGTGCTTCACAGCACCAACCACCGGATCGGAAACGCGACCCACTGAGGAGATCCGGCGAGAAACTCAGTGGGCTAAAAACTCGCACTAACCACACTAAACTTACTTCAAATTCAAATTCAAATTCAAAATCATTTATTTCAACTTAGATGTCTGTATGATACAATTGTTGAATGTCAAAATACAAATAACAATGTTAACTCTACCACCGGTTCCAAAAAAAGCCACAGTCCTGAGAAGAACCGGCGAAACAAACTCAGCGGGCTTTTTTTTTTTTGTTTTTTCTCAAATATTTTCTTTTTTTAAAATAAATAGAAATATTCACAATAAAAGAAAAAACAAGTCAAAAAAATACAATTAAAAAAATAATAATAATAATGAAAAATGAAAAGGGCGGATCCAGCTTTGGCGCCAGGAGGGGGTCACATAGTCAAATTTAGATGCGTTCGTTCCCAAACGTTTGCCATTATACAAAGTTATTATATTATATTAAATTAATTAAATATTGAAGGTATGCAGTTACATAAAATCTGTATGGTGACAAAATATATAAATAAAATCATTATATTCAATTAGTGGTCCACCTAAGTCCTGGACCCAGCTCAGGGGGTGGTCATGACCCCCATGACCCCCCCCTGGATCCGCCATTGCAATCAGTTAGCTACTGTCCGCGCGCGAGCTCCGAGGATTTTTAAGGAATGTTGACGTAATGAGCTAGTGTTGTAATTAGTCGATATTGCGCTATCGATACTAACACATCTTTAGACTCCGTGCGAGTGCAAATTATAAAATAGTTTTATGAGGGTATTATGTACTTGAAATATAATAAAAAAAACATTAGATCACGTATGAATTTCATTTAATTAACTGATTTTTATTGAACAAAATGAACGTGACATCTTATTAATTACTCTCGCAATCAGATTAATCAGTAGTTGAAGAATTTGATGTACTCTCCTCTTGATGTCACTCTCCTCACATACTTCAATAATAAATGATTCGACAACATCCTCCTCCATTAAGTCATCCTTTTGCCAGTAATATTCCTCTAATGCTAAGACATGTTTGTTATGCTAGTGCTCGCCATTCATTTTTCATCAAATTAAATAGCTATTTGTGCAAACAAAAAGACTTATAAGTGTAAGACTATTTATATTAGAAATCACACGTAATTAACACTGCTATCGCAAAATTAAAAACAACGAGTCGGTAAGCGTACTCTCACGTTAAGGTCAACACTAGTACTGGGAGAGTGCGGGGTATGAAGCGACGGTCGGGCGCGGTGCACGCCCGCCCGCTTCCTCAGCCCCCGAATCCTCGGAGCTCGCGCGCGGAGTATAGTTGTACACACCTGTATCCACTTTTTCCTTTCACCCCTCTGGCCGCCCACGTCGAACATCCAGAAGTCTTGTACGCCGCCCTGCATCGACTTCGGTATCTACACAACCACGAACGAATTCTAGAATATTCTAGAATGTTCTAAAGAGCACCAAAAAATTATAGAAAATAAATTTTAATAATGATTTTATTGTAAAAAAAGCGTGGGGTGTTTTTCAGGATATTATCAAAATAACCCTTCTACTCATATATGTATTATGTTCATAGAATATTTATAACTACTGATACCATACACCCCACGCTTTTTTTTACATTAAATCATTTTTTCTTAGACTATTTTTAATTCAAATTTATTTTCTATTTTTTAATTGGATTTATTATAAAAGCATATTTTGTTAGTTTTTTTAAACTATTTTTCATTCTTTAGTTGAATTTCAATTTTTTCAATTTTTTTTTTCAATATTGAATTGTCATCGGTTCATAATAAGTAAGTATACCAAATTTCGAGTTAATCCGACGTTTTGAAGGGGGTCAAAATCATGTTCAAAGATTCCGTTATATACATACATACGTCTGAAGCTAATAAAAGCGTATTAAAAATGCATCAATCAATCGAACCTTGACTTTGAACTCAATTTTTTGGATCCCCGTCGTTTTCTGACGGCATCTAAGTATATCGCTGTCCGACGGAATGTAGTCTTCTTTCTCTATCAAATCTATCCTGTCCAGGAAACTGAAAAAAAAAAACGTTGCATTGAATTTAAAATTATTTTTAACAGCGCCATCTATTGAGTATAATCTAAACATAACCATTTTGAAGCTGCGACAATAGAAGACGGTGTGTTTAATATTTCTAAGTCAACAGATGGCGCTGATTCAAATAATAACTCGACGCTGTCAATGAGCTGGTTTAAAAGTTTTGGAGTTTTAATAATAGATGGCGGTGCGTTTAGTGATTTAATATCAACAGATGGCGCTGATCCAAATAAAGTTTGAGTTTCAACAATAGATAGCAGTGTGTTTGATATCAATAGATGGCGCTGATTCAGATAAACTTTTGGCATTTCGAAAATAGATGGCGGTGTATTCAATGTTTGTTAAAGCAATAGATGGTGATAATTCTAATAATACTAACTATTCGGCGCTATCAATGAGCTGATATTCGTTTGATCGTCTAAAACATTCCCTGACCCCGCCGTCTCTCCACAGCGACCGGACGTGGTCAAAATAGTCCTGAAAAATTGATAAATAGTTGTTCTTGTACTTTGTACTATATATGTATGTATGTGTGGTTCTATTTCTTTGTTATATTTTTGTTTAAGTGTGTATATGAATATGTATGTGAATATGTGAGTATATGATAGAGATTATATATAGATATATGTGTAAATTTTATATTATTATCATGATATAGAATTGTGTACGTTGTTTGTGTGATTATATATATATATATTTAAATCGATGAAGACTTCTTGCGTCTTTTCATAGTCGAACCCTGTTGCATCCACCGTTTCCAATGGGTTTTAAACTATTATTCGTGCGAATATAGTTACATTGGTGTCATGTGAATTCTATTACCAACAATAAATTTTATTTAAATTCAAAAATAAGATATTCAATTTGAAATAATTTTCGCTNGCGACCTCCAAAATTCGCGTGCCAAACAGCGGAACTAAGAAATACGCTGAGAATCAATCCGGTGACAAAATAACGTCCATGCCAATATTTTACCCACGCATTGTACGGATCTTTCGGCTACCTCTGGCTGAATTTGAGAAATGGACAATCTTGCGTCCATATACAGGACGCAATAAGTCGGTCGGATGCAATATCATCGGTAAAAACCGTCATATAGGACGTAACATGAACTCCCGGATGGAAATATATATATATATACCGTGTATGTGTTTGTATATTGTATAATGTAGTTTGGTTGTTTCACATTAAGTTATGCACCTACCACAGGATTCTCTACACCACCCTTGGTTGACTGGTAGAGAATGCCTCAGGCATTAAGTCCGCCATTGTACTTATGTGCATTAAGTTGAATAAATAAATAAATAAATAGATAATTAATACACTTAATGACTACATTATTTCTTGGCTGAGCCTTTGCTCGCCCTACTGTCCTGGTGAAACTGGACAGGCCTCCGGGCCACCAATAATCTCTAAATCATAAAAAAAGACTACATTATTATATTCTGTTAACTGTTTTCGTGCCATCTAGCGGGGTGTTTTGGCGTAACAGAAGAAATACAGCAAATCTTTTTATATTAATGTATGTTTTTATTTTGTTTTTTTTTTATTGCTTAGATGGATGGACGAGTTCACAGCCCACCTGATGTTAAGTGGTTACTGGAGCCCATAGACATCTACAATGTAAATGCGCCCCCCACCTCGAGATATAAGTTCTAAGCTCTCAGTATAGTTACAACGGCTACCCCACCCTTCGAACCGAAACGCATTACTGCTTCACGGCGGAAATAGGCGGGGTGGTGGTACCTACCCGCGCGGACTCACAAGAGGTCCTACCACCAGTGATTACGCAATTTATAATTTTGCGGGTTTGATTTTTATTACACGATGTTATTCCTTCACCGTGGAAGTCAATCGTGAACATTTGTTGAGTACGTATTTTATTAGAAAAATTGGTACCCGCCTGCGGGATTCGAACACCGGTGCATTGCTACACACGAATGCACCGGACGTCTTATCCTTTAGGCCACGACGACTTCAGACGAACATGAAACATTTTTTTTCGCCATAGAAGGCGTAAATTTTGGGTTCAGTTAAATTTTGTAAAACTCGTACGGTAGTTTCAAAAATTATTGTCCGCGAGGGCGTTGACCCCACGCGTTCCCTGATTTCATTCGTAATACATTGCGTACAAAATTTCGTTTCTGCTATTTTCCTATATCATATCAGGAGTCACGCTCCGTGCGGTCAGTGAGTATCTACAGTCGGCATCGCTGCGCCACTTTGAGAAGGCGGCACGACATGAGAACCCTCTTGTTGTGACCGCTGGGAATTACATACCCGATCCTGTAGACCGAATGGTAAACCGTCGACGTTGCCCAAAGCACGTCATTACGGATCCTCCTGATCAATTAACGGTGCTTTTAGGTACCACAAGCACCGGTCATCGAATTAACCCACAGACACAGCCCACTGAGTTTCTCGCCGGATCTTCTCAGTGGGTCGAGTTTCCGATCCGGTGGTAGATTCTGCGAAGCACTGCTCTTGCTAGGGTTCGTGTTAGCAACGTCGTCAGGTTTGAGCCCCGTGAGCTCACCTACTAGTTAAGGTTACGCTGAAATAGCCTCTCAAGGCTATCAGCTTAGGTGGGGAACAAATTAACGCTCCGTCCATCGTGCCCCTTGTACTTGCCTCGGTGTATTCCGCAGGACCCTCACTACCCATCTTCAGTATGTACTGTTGCGATTGCACATTCCTCGGATTCTGCAGAGCGATGCTCAGACGGGACATGCTGTGAACTATCTCGTATATCGATTCGTGGATATTGAATTTTATATGTTTAATCTTCTCTTTCCTTTCGCTGAAAAAAAAGAAATAGCATAAAAAAACTGAAAAAAAATTAAATGATTTTATTGTAAAAAAAAGCGTGGGTGCTTTTCAGGATATTATCAAAATAACCTTTCTACTCATATCTGTTCATAGAATATTTATAACAACTGATACCATGCACCCCACGCTTTTTTTTACAATAAAATCATTATTTCTTACACTATTTTTAATTTAAATTTATTTTCTATTTTTTAGTTGGATTTTCTATAAAAGCGTTTTTTTTAGGTTAGTTTTTTTTTGAAACTATTATTTATTTTTAATTTTTAGTTGAATTTCAATTTTATCAATTTTCTTCTTGATTTTTTTAAATGTTGAATTGTCATCGGTCCTTAATAAGTAAGTATGTCAAATTTCGAGTTAATCCCACATTTTGGAAGGGTCAAAATCATGTTCAAAGATTCCGTTACATACTAACATACATACGTCTGAAGCTAATAAAAGCGTATTCAAAAATATTGTTAGTTGCTCTCACATTCACTGCTCCTTAGGTATAGTAGTTAGTTAGCCTGACTATTGGACCGTGGTGCGGGATTGATTTCTGATTCAGACAGACTGGGGTATTTTAATCTATGGTCAATTCTAGCACTCAGGTTCAAAAGAGCCGGTACATACCATTTTTTAAGGGATTTTATGACCTAGTAACTAAGACCTTTAAGTCATGTCTTATTTTAATTTATATTGTTATTTTTATGAAAAATGATAATATTATATGGAGTGAAATAAAGATGACTAATTTGATATATTAATCATCTGGGATGAAATTAAAAGAAATGAGACGAGATGATATGGGATGAAATATAATTTCAGTAAAATGGTGGTCATTTACTGAGATTTCTTTAATGGACTCTCTGGAGGATCCCGAGAAGCTACATCCAGCGGCTTTGTTTCATTTTCCCACATTTGTGCACTTTCACAGATACGAAACAGATAATAAACCACCGTTATTACACATTTAAACCTGAGGAAACACTAAATAGACAAAATAAAACAAATCACACAACTTCACTCCTCGCGTTCCCGCCAAAAAGTCGGTACATACCACCAGACAACTGCACACAGTATATATTTCACTACATTCACATATCACTACATAGTATAAAACAAAGTCGCTTTCTCTGTCTCTATATCCCTATGTATGCTTAAATCTTTAAAACTAGGCAACGGATTTTGATGCGTTTTTTTTTTAATAAAGTGATTGAAGAGGAAGGTTTATATTATGTACTTAGTCTGGCCATAAATACTGTTACAATAAAAAAAAACTATTGCAAATAACATATATTACTTTTACAGTGTGTTAGTTTAATACATAAATATTAAACAATTTAAAGTATAAAAAGCTTATTCGAAGTGGTCTCCATTGGCTGCAATACAGTCCTTTAAACGTTGAGGCCAGTTATCAATAGAAGCACGCACTCTTTCCATGGGAAAATTTTTCACTGCCAATCGTACGGATTGTTTTAGGGACTCCAAATTATCATGGCGTTTAGAGCAAGCCGTACTCTCTAAAACTGACCACAAATTATAATCCATCGGATTAAGATCGGGACTAGACGACGGCCAGTCTTCTGCTCTGATGAAGTCCGAAACGTTCGTTTCCAACCAAGACTGCGTAGACCGAGCTTTATGACCTGGCGCCGAGTCTTGCTGGAAGGACCATTCTTGATTATTGAACATGGTGTTGTTAAGGGGCTTCAATACCTTCTCAAGAATGGTATCTTGATACACTTGTGCCGATGTTTTGATACCTTTTTCACAAAAGTATGGCTCAGTCACTCCTTTATAGCTAATACCCCATCAAACCATCACTGAAGTCGGATAGTGCAGTACAGTTCTTACTAAAAAAAATCTATCTACCTATTCTTTAAGAGGCTACTCCGGTTACGCCTGGATAGGTAGGTGAGCTCACGGGCTCGCCTGAGAGAATTTGCTAACACTAGCCCTAGCAAGAGCAGTGCTTCGCAAAATCTACCAGCGGATCGGAATCGCGGCCCACTGAGAAGATCTGGCGAGAAACTCAGTGGGCTGAGTCTATGGGTTAGTTCGCTCGTTGAATTATTCGTCCAGTAAAGTTCGACAAGGACGGTGACCGGTGCTTGAAGAGCTTAAAAGCACCGAGAGTGAATCCGGGGAATCCCATAAGACATGTTTCGGGCGATGGCGGCTTTTCGGCACCGGTCGGATATGGTTCTTGCTATGTGATGTCCGTCTTACTAATAAACTCCTGTCCAAGATCATGCGGTACTATGACAGCATCTTCAAATAACGAGACCTCTCAAGACCTCAGCTTGGCCGAGCTTAACTCTTCTGTTATCTTTTTTCTTTTTTATTGCTCAGATGGATGGACGAGCTCACAGCCCACCCGGTGATAAGTGGTTACTGGAGCCCATAGACATCTACAACGTAAATGCGCCACCCACCTCGAAATGTAAGTTCTAAGATCTCAGTATAGTTACAACGGTTGCCCCACCTTTCGAACCGAAACGCATTACTGCTTCACGGCGGAAATAGGCGGGGTGGTGGTACCCACCCGTGCGGACTCCCAAGAGGTTCTACCACCAGTGAAACATAAGGAAAGTTAAAGTTTAGACAGGAGGGTAGGTACATACCTCGCAGAGAATCCGTGCACATGTAATATCTTCATTTGTTTTATGATTGTTGTCTTCCCGCTCTCCCCCGTACCCAATAGCAGAAGTTTTATGGCCTGGAAATACATCGACTTTTTTATTTTGGATCGTCATTGGAAATGTCGTTTATGCGCCCGCGTGGGTATTCCTAAGGCTACTTCAAATACGTTTAAAGTTTGGGAAAAAAAAGCTACAATGTGATTGCTTGAGTAGCTAGTGAGTGAGTAGCTTCATGTATATGGTATTTTATTTATTTATTGCTTCGATGGGTGGACGAGCTCACGGCCAACCCGATGTTAAGTCGTTACCGGAGCCCATCGATATCTAGAACGTTAATGCCGCCACCCACCTTGAGACATGAGTTCTAAAGTCTGTTTTAATAGTTACAACGGCTGCCTCAGCCTTAAAACCGAAACGCATTACTGCTTCACGACAGAAATAGGCAGGGTGGTGTTACCTACCCATGCGGACTCACAAGACACCCTGCCACCAGTTAATGTGTGCTTAGTGCGAGTTTTTTAACGTTCTCGATAGCGTAAAAGTTAACTCAAAGTTGTATGCAGTTTGGAACGGCGCTCTTAGCGGCAAACATTCCGTCTATACTTACAAATTTGAGTTAACTTTTACGCTATCGAGAGCGTTAAAAAACTCGCACTGGGCACACTGATCCGTGAACGGCACTAGGTAATCGTGTCGCTTAACGAGTAGCGAAAGAGTTTTAATTTTTTTATTTTTTCCTACCTATGCTGATAGCCTTGAGAGGCTATTTCAGCTTCGCCCTAATTTGTGTTGGTGAGCTCACGGGGCTCGAGCCGGAGTGATGCTAACACTGACCCTAGCAAGAGCAGTGCTTCGCAAAATCTACCAGCGGATCGGAAACGCGACCCACTGAGAAGATCCGGCGAGAAACTCAGTGGGCTCGACGGACCAAACAGTACTTACACCGTTATAATTTTTAATCCATTGCTTTATCTGTCGGTCTATCTCAATTGAGTGCTCCTGGTCTTCGTCGTAGCCTTTCATGCAGGGTAGCAAGCGCATTGTATATCGAAAACCTTAATATTAACTACCCACTATTCAGACTTGTCGATGGAACGCGATCGCGCTGAAATTACAAAAAGCATTTTTTTAAGGGATTTTATGACCTGGTAACTGAGACCTTTAAGTCATGTCTTATTTTAATTTATATTCATGTTTTTATCAAAAATGATATTATGGAGTGAAATGAAATGAAGACGATTAATTTGAGACATTAATCAACTGGGATGAAATTAAATGAAATGTGAAATATAATCTCAGTAAAATTGTGGTCATTCACTAAGATTTTTTCAGTGGACTTTTTGGAGGATCCCGAGAAGTTACGTCCAGCGGCTTTGTTTAATTTTTCCACATTTGTGCACTTTCACAGATATTAAACAGATAATAAACCACCATTATTACACATTTAAACCCGAAGAAACACTAAATAGACAAAATAAAACAAATCACAAACTTCACTCCTCGCGTTCCCGCCAAAAAGTCCAAAAAGCATTTGACTTTCTATTTTAGACTACCCGACGCCGTCATTCATCTTGGGATATGAGTTCGAAGTTCTGTTTTTTTATTTGTTGCTTAGATGCACCTGGTGTTAAGTGGTCGCTGGAGCCCACTGACATCTACGACGTAAATGCGCCACCCACTTTGAGATATAAGTTCTAAGGTCTCAGTATAGTTACAACGGCTGCTCCGCCCTTCAAACCGAAACGCATTACTGCTTCACGGCAGAAATAGGCAGGGCGGTGGTACCTACCCGCGCGGACTCACAAGAGGTTCTACCACCGGTATATAACGATATGTTATAATGTTTGTCGCATTCTTCAAGCCGGAATCGCGGTACAAGCAGCAAAGTCCGTGATATCCGAATACAGAACAGTATATCGCGCGTCCCACAATAGGCAACAATTTTTTATTTATTTATTGCCCTTGTAGGCGTCCGAGCATACGGCCCACCTGATGGTGGGTGGTTACCGTCGCCCACGGACTTCAACAATGCCAGGGGCAGAGCCAAGCCGCTGCCTACCGCTTAATACTCTCCACAAGCCTCGTTTGAAGAAGGACATGTCATAACGCTCGGGAAACACCGTGGAGGGGAGCTCATTCCATAGCCGGATGGTACGTGGGGTAAAAGTGGTGCGCTCGCAACTTGGTGCACGTGAAAGAAGTGAAACTTCTTTTGCGGTATGTAGTATTGCGATTTTCTTTATTTTTCATCCTTAAATCAAATTTCTCTTGTTATAGGGAATGCTGTGTATAAGAGAAACGGCCTAGCTTGCTTTGTCCTTTCCCTCTCTCAACGGACGAATGGTTCGCGAGACGCCCTGTCTATTTTCTCACTCTCGCTCTTCCTAAATTGTATCTTTTTTCTCTATCCGTAACGAATCGATCGTGAGTTAAGTTTTACTCATAACGCGCCTAAAGAAGTTTCACTTCAAAAAACAAAAAAAACAGTAAATTTGCAACATACTTACCTTACCATCCAAAATATCTCAAACAATTACAATGTATAACAATTATAGTCGAGAAACACCTTTAATTTTGTATTGAAAAAAAATACAATATTAATCACTTTGTCGTAGATTTTTTTAATGAAGGCAAAATTGAACGGCGACAAAATAATGCTTATATGAAATTCCCTTTGATATTCATAACAGAAAACCTAAAAAATAATACGATACGACTCACTGAAATCACGGCGAATGTAATGATTAAATGTCATGTAAAATTTAATCAATAGAATTATCATTATTTTATCAGATATCATTAGCGCTATCGTCGCATTCGTGTTTACGATTTTTCTTTAAAACTATACTTAGGAGATGTAAGTGAAAATTATTTTTACCTGAGATATTTTTTTTTGCGTTTGGTGGTTTTTTTTTATTGCCCATGTAGGCAGACGAGCACACGGCCCACCTGATAGTGAATGGTTACCGTCGTCCGTGGACTTCAGCAATGTCAGGGGCAGAGCCAAGCCGCTGCCTACCGTAAGGTACTGCTAGGGTGGTTGGGTGAAGTCACGTGCTCAGGAAGTAAATGACGTAGGCCTTCAAAGGAGGCCAGTTAACTCAGGTCGTAACTGCGAGGTAAATTTTTTTTTATTGCATATTTGGGTGGACGAGCTCCCGAGTGGATAAAACCCACCCTCGCCCTAAGTACAACCCTGTCGTCCTCTCGGTCCACTCTGTGCCTTTGGGAATTCCAAGCACCCCGATCACCGTCTCTCGTCCGATTCTCGTCGAATGCAACCAAGAGTTTGACGTGAAACTTAACCCACATACACAGCACACTGAGTTTCTCGTTGGATCTTCTCAGTGGGTGGATAAGGCCTGTGTTAACAAGTCCTCTTAGGTTGAGCTTTGTGAGCTGAGAACTTGCTAATATCTGCCCTAGTAAGAACAGTCTTCGCTGAACCTACCACTGGATCGGAATCGCGACCCACTGAGAAGATGCGGCGAGAAACTCAGCGGATGTCGTCGTGGCCTAAAGGATAAGACGTCCGGTGCATTCGTGTTGAGCGATGCACCGGTGTTCGAATCCCGCAGGCAGCTACCGATTTTTCTAATGACATACGTAATGTTCACGATTGACCGAGTGGGGCAGCTGTTGTAACTAAGCTTGAGACCTTAGAACTTATATCTCAAAGTGGGTGGCGCATTTACGTTGTAGATGTCTATGGGCTCCAGTAACCACTTAACAGGTCCAACTCTTCATCACGTTTGAAGCGCCGATAAACATCTTTATTTGTGATTTTAGAGAGTAAACAATACGTAATAATACAAAATACAAATCATAACAATAAATACAAAACATAATAATACGTTCCTCGCGTTTGGGAACTTAACCCACGGACGACAAATAAAATAAGCTTTAAAACAAAAATAAAACAATTTTTTTCAAAACAATCACAACCTTTATTTCATTCGAACAATCAAAAGATTAATTGAAAACTTATAACAAACAAAAGTAAAATTCGGAATAGTACATACAAATTGAAATAATTTTTTATTTCCCTCCATTGCTTGAGGTATGAGGTATTGCATATGGTTAGCTTGAGGGTCACTTTGTATTGAACAACGAATATTACTTAACCCTTTGCGGTCTAAGACTATGTCCATTGACCATTGATTGAGATTTTATACAATATTCATTGTTCTAGCTTAGCTTTTTTCGATTTGAAAAAATATTAACCTGAGAGCAAATTATAATAGTTTATTACAAGTGACTCTAAGCATTCGAAGCATTATCTTGTAGCTTATCGTCAATGATATCCGTTGTTCCCTGAAATATTAAAAACATTTTGCTTTGACAGACTTTTGACATTGGGTGTCAATTGTATAGTTTAAATCAGGGATGAGCAACCTTTTTAATCAATGGGCCAATTTAAATTTTGGTGGGCCGCACATAGATTAACTCTTATTAATAACTAGCGACCCGCCCTCGCTTCGCTTTGGAAACATTAAATTTTATTATTGTCGTACCGTGGGTGACGCCGCGAGGCGAAGCTATTATATAAAAGGTAGCCTTAGTTACTCCTTATATCATCAGCTACCTATTAGTGAAAGTATCATCAAAATCGGCCCAGCCGTTCCAGAGATTAGCCGGAACAAACAGACAAAAATTGTAAAAAATGATATTTTGGTGTATGTACCGTATATATAGGTATATTCATATACATGTAGTAAAAAGCGGCGAATTCAATATTATTACAAATGGACACATCAATTTTATTTATATGTATGTATAGATTTACGCAACTTTATTTATTTCCTTCTTTCTTAAGAACAGAACAGAAGGAGAGAAAAACGAATTGATTGGAGAAAGTCGATACAGCAAAATTCCATTTTAGAAATGCTTGGCGGGCCGCGTGTTGCTCATCCTTGGTTAAATGATTTTTGACGCTATGGAGGAAACAAGGAGCGCCTTGTATAGAGGGGAAAACTTGAAAAATTGTCCGCCTGTAAACGGCAATTTGTTGTTGGAAGACTCACCGAAATAGGGCTAGTGTAGGAAGTGGAAATGATGTGAATATAACAGCTTTAAACAGAGTAAAGTGTGTTGGGTTACACTATTTTATGTTTTTTTTTTTTTATTATTAGTTACGTACAACTAAACTACAACTACTACTCGAAGTCGTCGTGGCCTAACGTATAAGACGTTCGGTGCGTTCGTGTTGAGCGATGTTCGAATCTCAGGCGGGTAACAATTTTTCTAATGAAATATGTACTCAACAAATGTTCACGATTGAAGGAATAACATCGCGTAATAAAAATGAAACCCGAAAAATTATAATTTGCGTAATAACTGGTGGTAGGACCTCTTGTGAGTCCGCGCGGGTAGGTACCACCGCCCTGCCTATTTCTACCGTGAAGCAGTAATGTGTTTCGGTTTGAAGGGTGGGGCAGCCGTTGTAACTGTACTTGAGACCTTAGAACTTATATCTCAAGGTGGGTGGCGCATCTACGTTGTGGATGTTTTTGGGCTTCAGTAACCACTTAATAACAGCTGGGCTGTGAGTCCACCCATCTAAGCAATAAAATAAAATACTACAACTTAGCGTCGCTCGGTGGAGCAGGAGCTAGGCGTCTTGGGCATGACGTGGAAGGAGCTAGAACAAACTGCCCAATACTGATAGGATTTGATTCGTGCCCTACACCGCAGCAGAGGGTAATAGGAAAGAAAGAAGAAGTTTATAAATGCCCAGCCAAGCGGACGGGTACAGCTAGTCGCATTATAAAAATAAACTTCCGAAACTATTCTCAGCTCCGAGGATGTGGATTCGGACCTCATGTCTCAATGTGGATAGCGGCAATCAAGCAGGTGAACGCTAAGAGGTCCAGTAACCATTCAACGACAAACACCCGTCCGGTGCAATACCAGTGTGACCAGAAAATAATGCGTCTATAAATTCTTTCCAACCTCATTATTTAAGTTCGTATATTCTTGCGAGTTACACAATACGTCAGTGCGCTGTAAGATCGTCGGTCTGCGTACGTTCCTCAAAATAGACGGAGCTTTGTTATTGATAAATACATTTTTTAATTCTTCATCTGAAAAGTCAAACACAAAAAAATTGCCTTTCCTCTTTTATTAAACAAGCTAAAACGGTCCTAATTTCATATTAAATAAGGTAAGTCTTTGGCAGCACCCGTGGCTGTTTGATAAAACTTTTTTTATTAGTAGAACTTCGTATTTTAAAAGTTGCAAATGGAAACAATCGTAAATGTCCTCAAAGTGCTGTAAGAAGCTCGACTGAGTGATGCGAACTTTTAATATCTCCCCATTTTTGGGGAAATTTCACAAAACTTAATTATTATTCGTCATCTCATGAAACTTCTTGGCATCTTCTTTTTTACAGGTATGCACCACGTTGCTAATTTTTTATTTTCCGTCCTATGCTGATTGCCTTGAGAGGCTATGTCAGGTTCGCCCTAACATGTAGGTGATTTCACGGGGCTCAAACCGGAGTGTTGCTAACACTGGCCCTAGCAAGAGCAGTGCTTCGCAGAATCTACCACCGGATCGGAAACGCGACCCACTGAGAAGATCCGGCGAGAAACTCAGTGGGCTGTGTCTGTGGGTTAATTTACTCGTCGAGCCCTTCGTCGCAAGCGACGGGTTCGACGAGGACGGTGACCGATGCTTGAGGTACCTAAAAGCACCGTTACTGGATCGGGAGGATCCGTAATGACGTGTTTTGGGCGACGTCGACTATTTACCATTCGGTCTACAGGATCGGGTATGTAGTTTCCAGCGGCCACGACAAAAGGGTTCTCATGTCGTGCCGCCTTCTCAAAATGGCGCAATGATGCCGACTGTAGATACTTACCACGTTGCGTTTGTAAAACTATAACCCAAATTTCAGGCCTGGACCGTTAGTATTAATAACTTTAAATTATTATTGCTTAGCTTAGGCTGTCGATAGGAAAACGACTGACTTTACAAACTACACTTACCGTTATTGCTATCCGACGGTGAAATGGTGACCGTTTCCTTAGGTACACTGTTCAATAAGGCCAAAGACCGTAACGTATTTGGTACTATAGTAGTCACGCCCTGAAATTGCCCAAACTAAACTATTACTTTGATGTGATCGAACCAACGACCTAACACCTTCCACCACCTTATCTTAAAATTATCAGATGAAGATTACTAGTGTGCTTAGTGCGATTTCGTTAACTTCTCGATCGCGAGAAAGTTAACTCAAATTTGTATTTATTTATTGCCGTATAGGCAGATGAGCATACGGTCCATCTGATGGTGAGTTGTTACCATTGCTCATGGACGCTAACAATGCCCGGGACTGAGCCAAGCCGCTGCCTACCATTGAGTACTCTCCCCAAGCCTCGTTTGATGAAGGACATGTCATAGCGCTCGGGAAACACCGTGGAGGGGAGCTCATTCCAAAGCCGGATGGTACGTGGCAGAAAAGATCTCTGGAAACGCGCTGGAGTTGGAACAATTCCTCTACGTTTGCTGCTAGGCTACTGATCGAGAAGTTAAAAAGCTCACTTAGCTCATTCTGAGGTATAAAATTCTCATTTCCACAGTGGTTACCATACTATTCAGTCTAAACAATAAACCAGTCCCAAAATTATGTCATAAGTAGGTAGGATAATGTTAGCTACCCGCACGGATTACAGTATTATGCCAGAAGATCGCAAATTGGGATTGTAGTGCTTGAGCCTTTGAACGATTATTGCCAGGATTAAGTCTAGCATTTCATCTTCTAGGCGGGCAATGCAAAATGCTTCTTGTAATCATTGTTATAAATGAACTTTCCCACTGGCTATTTCAGCCGCAAGATTGACACTTCATCAATCACTTGTCTCATTTGAGTGTGTGTGTTATTAGCTTCATCCCCATGTACATAATTGAATCTTTTAACTTAGTTTCCACCAGAGATCCGATGGAATTGAAAATTGGAAGACCTATCAAAGACTAATACGCCAATACAAGGACAAAAAAATATTGTTACTCAAGCCCGATGTCCTTGCAAGGATAAAAAAAGTTACAATTGGTATTTCGACTTGCTCTTTGAGCATTATTTAAACGTTACAGTGTACAAGAAAAAAGATTTACGCTTAAAGTGGGTACTTTTAATTTTTTTTTGTTATTGCCCTTGTAAGCACACAATAATATGGCCCACCTTATGGGGAATGGTTACCGTCACCCATGGACTTCAGCAATGCCAGGTGTAAGGCCAAAGGCCCAGCTGCTGCCTTAAAACTACCTACTATCTACCCACTACATGCATATTTACAATTGTTTTTTTGAGATAAAACATCTCAAGTGATTTTTTTACGTCGGACAAGTTATCACAACACGCTACCTTCGGAAACGATAGCTTAGTAATCTCAACTATCCTATTCGTCGGTATATCGTTTGATGCGACGAGCTTCAACACCTCCTCTGGACTATGCTGTAGACCGGCCACCTGTTGTCGGAATCGTACTAAACCGTTTATCTTGTTTATCTATCCTAGCAATGTCACGCGTACAGTACCCGGCAATAAATGTCGCACATCGGCCTTTGGAAAGGGACAATCGGCTAATTTCGGATTCGTAGAGCGTTATCTCTCTCGCACAGTATATATGTGGCGTTTGTCAAATTCGGAAGTGTACGGTTCGAATAAATTCCAGACTATTAATTTTTGGTGCTTTTTTTCCTACCAAGCTGGTAGCGTTAGAGGGCTATGCCAGCATAACCGAATGACTAAGTGAGCTCACGGAGCTCTAAACTGAGGACGTTGCTAACACTAGCCCTACCAAGAGCAGTGCTTCGTAGAATCCGGCGACAAACTTTTTGTCTTTTTTGGTGCGACAGAGCTAAGGCTTTACGAAGCTCTTTATAAATGTCGATGTGCAAGATTTATTGCTTGGTACTGTAGATATAATTTGTTGATCTTAAGAATAATAGAAGCAGGGCTGCCAACTAAAACTCTATTAAGTCTTTTTTTACTGCATTCATGTGACACACTATCTAATTATTATTTTTATTGCTTAGATGGGTGGACGAGCTCACACCCCACCTGGTGTTAAGTGGTTACTGGAGCCCATAGATATGTACAACGTAAATGCGCAACCCACCTTGAGATACGATTTAAGGTCTCAGTATAGTTACAACGGCTGCCCCACCCTTCAAACCGAAACGCATGATTGCTTCACGGCAGAAATAGGCAGGACGGTTGTATTTAATCCTGCAGGCTTACAGTAGGCTTTCAGTAATCCGATAACTTATACATGAGAACACAAAATATTTGACACATGCCTGAATCTCGTTTATGACATTTTCAACATAAGCTTGTATATATACAAGTTACTAATAACAACATTCGGACCGTCGGTCTACCGAGCAATATCACCCGCTCGGAAAATCTTCCCTCCGTCGTTAAACCTACACATGAAATACGTTTCCCGTCTGCTCTTATATTTTTAAGTACAGGAATTTTTCGAAGCGTTTTCCGGGAAAAACCTACGTAACGCTGGCAACCCTACAGTACGGGGATTACCTTTTTTATAGCAGTATAGGGCTTTACCTCGATAACGGCTATGTAGGACGGATGTTTCGTCCTCAAATGAGCTTTCAGTTCAGATTTAACTTTATAACGCTTGGGGCACGCGGTGCACGACCAAATCCTTAAATCTTGCTGCGACTGGGCCCTGTTCAAATTGATATTATAAGTGATGGATATGATAAAACAAAATATCCGTTTTGATATTACAAATCAACAGAGTTGTGGTTTGTTCAAATGGCAGAAAAAATTATGGCGTCGCAAGGACGCAATTGCTATACTTGAAAAAAAAAATACGTACAGCATGCTTTTTTTGCTATAAATATGCTTAATTTTACTCCAACAATAAAAGCTTACCTGTTGACAGTGTGTTCAAGCTGCCTAGTGAGGTCATCTGAAAAAAAACCTTTTTTGTAAGTAATACCAACTACCCTAGCCTACCCTACTCAACTACTATCGTTGTCGATAGGAGTTGCTTTTTTTAATGACAACATTAAAACAACAACATAACGATATTGTTTATGAAAATAATTGTTACCAAGAAAAATTATTAAAATATAAATGCTATATAAAAAGAGCAATTGCTTTTTTTATATAGCATTTAAGCTGCTATCCTTAGGTTACAATAACAATTGATAAAAAATGTCATTAGGCCGCAATGGAAAGTGAAGTCAGCTGGCTAACGCAATGGAAAGTGAAGTCAGCTGGTGCCCACCTTGCCTAAAGCGAATTGATAGCAGAGTCCATAGACATCAACATGCAGAATTACCGCCATACACCTTGAGATACGAGGACCAAATCTCAGTTTTATAGTACAACGGTGGCTTGACTGTTTGACGGAAGCTAACGGCAAGCTTGTGGTACCAATCCGTGCGGGCATACAGGACTTCATACAACCAGAAATCTATACTAATATTATAAAGAGGAAAGATTTGTTTGTTTGTTTGTTTCGAATAGGCTCCGAAACTACTGGACCGATTTGAAAAATTCTTTTTCCATTAGAAGCCGACATTGTCCCTGATGAACATAGGCTACTTTTTTAATTTTTTTTTTTTTTTTTTTGGTTTTATGTGTGTTTTAATGTTTCCGAAGGGAAGCAAGGGCGGGTCGCTAGTTACGTATAAATATTGTGGGTTTCATTTTTAATACACAATGTCATTCTTTCGCCATGGAAGTCATTCGTTAGCACACGTTGAGTACACACAGTGTGTTTACAGCAATATGTACCTAGCGAACAGACATAGCTGCATTGCTTGACACGTGTACCCTGGGCTCTTACCCAATAGGCCACGACTTTAAGGCTTCGACCAGAAAACTTTACTGGTGGTAGGACCTCTTGTGAGTCCACACGGGTAGGTACCACCTCCCTGCCTATTTCAGCCGTGAAGCAGTAATGCGTTTCGGTTTGAAGGGTGGGGCAGCCGTCGTAACTATACTGAGACCTTAGAACTTTTATCTCAAGCAAGGTAGGTGGCGCATTTACGTCGTAGATGTATATGGGCTCCAGTAACCACTTAACATCAGGTGGGCTGTGAGCTCGTCCACCCATCAAAGCAATAAAAAAGTAGAAAATAAGGCTACCAGCAAATATCAAAACCGTGGCAAGAACCAATTAAACAATAGTCTGTGAGCCAGAAAGAACAGTTTCCTACCTTCGCCGTCTCCATCGTCACTTAAAGAACAATGTTCTTTCTTCCTATGCTTGTAAAGTGCGGTTTTGTTTGACAAGATCACGTCGCAATCCCGGCATTGAATCCTGGTGAGGAAGCAATCTTAATATCGAATCTACTTCGGCTGGTTTCTATTTCGTTCGTTGTGGTCCAAGAGTGCATGTTGTGGTCCAATTTTAATTTTGGTTTTTCTTTGAATTTTTGAAGATCTTGTATTAATCATTGTCCAAAAAACTTAGTGAATGACATCACCCACGTTCGGTTATGAGGTTGGAGTCTCAGTTGTCGCATCCCCCAGCCGGAACGTGCGACTGCTTCATGGTAGTAACGTAACCCAAAATTACCAGCCACCAGTCGACCATACGATCACAATATGGTGCTAAAATGCTAAGAGCACGTTGCTATCCATTGTCCGATGACTTCTTTATTCCCCTTCGTTAGATACCCATGAGAACAGATAGGACGCTGTTCTACTACCCACAGATCCATGATCAAAGTACGCACCGATAAATCTGCTTGTGTCCCTGTTTCTCTATTCCAGTTTCAATCTTGTCGTGAACCTTCTTCCGATGGTATATGACGCTCCAGCTGAAGACGAGTCTGATTTTACTATATTGCTATTGATTGGAGCAACTGTTTGTAATTTGGCTTTGGTACTGAGAAATGGGAAGGTGAATTCTATGGCCGGTTCAAGACAAGAATGGGGTTTTGAATTGGTAAAGAACAATGAATCTATCTTAAATCTGGAATCCATGATAGCTTGGGGGCAGAATTGACAGGCCGGCTAAAGCTAAGCATTGATAGTAGAAACAAAAACTAAATGCGTTCCTCTAAAAGAGTAGGAAAAGTCAAACGTCGACGTTGTAACGTCTATGGGCCCCAGTATTCACTTAACACCAGGTGGGCCATCGGCGTTTTCAAGAATCTAGGGCAATAAAACCTTAGGGAAACGACGGTAGACCAAATTTGAGACCAAGCGAGTCCAATGGTGCCATGAAGAACAGGATGCGATCTTTAGGTCGAGAGGTCAGTCTTATACGATATAATTACGTCTAAAAGTCTTTAACGACTACATCGTGCCTTCTATGATTAATTACTTGCAAACCTGTTAGGAAAGGTCAGACCGCACTGGTTGCAAGTGTGGGAGCCATCGTTGACGTGCTTCATGCGTCTGTGGACTTGTAAGTAAGTCCAATGTAGGTAGGACCGACCGCAATCCTTGAAAAGACAGTATGGAGAATAGGGTACCGCGATCGGTGCTCGCGGTTGGTTTTATTATTTTTTTATTACCCTTGTAGGCAGATGAGCCATGGACTTCAGCAATGCCAGGGGCAGAGCCAAGCCGCTGCCTACCACTTAATACTCTCCACAAGCCTCGTTAGAAGTAGGACATGTCATAGCAATCGGGAAACACCGTGGAGGGGAGCTCATTCCATAGCCGGATGGTAAGTGGCAAAAGCCGTATGTATGTAAATGGTACGTGGCAAAATTTGATTAAATTGGAATTTGAAATTGGAAATTTTGATTAAAGATGAATTCGTTTCAATGTATTGGTATAATTTCTTTTAAGGATTTACATTAAAGTATAATTAGTGGCGCGGACATTGGACGACATCTTGTTTCATAGAGTAACACTTTTTTTACATAGATAAAAATAAAACATAGAGTAATTTAATCTTTGACGTACAGCTCAAATGTTCTATGCTAGGCGTTAACACAGTGCTTCCTTTACTGATGGAACCTATCGTTCAGACGAACAAATTCCTCGGTCATTATTATCCGCCATTTATGCATGGCGATCCTGTCTGATCCGACTTAATCCTGTTACTAACTTCTACATGATTTGCGAATCTAAAGCTTCCAACTATAAATTATCTGAAGGAATTAACGAGATGATCACGTCATTTCTTTTCATCATCACATCATCTTCATAGAACCGAACTCATCACTACTACGTTTCCAGAAATGGGCTTGGAATGAATTCTCCTCCACGATCTTTCTTAAGCTCTATCTATCACCTGTCATTCTTCTCTAGACTAGACTCTAATGTCCATGAGCAATGATGACTACTTACCTAGGAAGCCAATAAAAGTATAAGTGATCATGCAAGAGTCAATGTCACCAATGCCCTTATTAAAGTAAAGCTTCGATGATATATCCGTATGTGGTTAATACAAAAAAAAACTTACGAAACACTCCACATTATCAATTAATTACGACTAAAATGTAGGCGTAAAATGCATCATACGATCATTACTTGGGCAAGAGAATTTCGGAGCAATTAGGCCATACAAATACAAATGTCGAGACAAAGTTAGGAGCGAAATTCAATGGGAAAACCGGGCGCTTCGATACCATCAAAAAGTGACTTAGCATTTGCTATAGTTTGGATCACGATCGTTTTGGCTAAGCTTGAATTAATTAATGCACTAACTTCGCAAAGAAAATGTTTCACAACCGGAAAGTCTCCGTAGCCTAAGACTCCGTTGGCTGTCGCCTCAACCCCCGCACCCTGCTTCTTCGCTTCAGTCAAAGAGCGCTTGTAGAAACCGTGCGTTGTTTTGTGGGTGGTGCATCTAATAAATTATTTTTTATTGTTTAGATGGGTGGACGAACTCACAGGTTTGGTTTTAAGAGGTTACTGGAGCCCATATACGTTTACAATGTAAATGCCTAAATACCTACCTTGAGATATGAGTTATAAGGCCTGAGTATAGTTACAACGGCTGCCCCGCCCATCAAACCGAAAATCATTAATTACTGCTTCCCGACAGAAATAGGCAGGGCGGTGGCACCTACCTCCTAGCTACTCACAAGTCGTCCTATTACCGGTAAAATTAATCACGTCAACCATCTATACATAAAACGGCAAACGCCAAACTGGTTTAGTATAGTTTTCTTGCCATTCTGTTTTTAATAAAAACAAATCTAAATTATGCAGGTGATTTCGATCAAATTTCAATCATCAGGCCACAATTAGTACTTTTAAAAACGATTACATTATTACATTGAAACAGCGGTCCCGGTTTAATCTAAATCTAATTCGCCTTTAACACGACTAGAAAGCTTTTGAGGCTTTAGCCTAGTATCTCAAAGTTCTCAAAGTCATTAACCTCACACAACCTATCGTGTAAAGTCAATAAGGATTGCCAACAAACAAACAAAACAGCGTCCATTACCAAATGTTTATCAATGCTAATAAGCCAGATATCTATTTAAATCAACTCACCTTGAATACGTCGCGAAACTCACTTTGCAAATGTGACACACGAATGGATTTTTAACACCCTTGTGGATAGCTCTGTGTGTGTTCAAGCCCTCTTCCAGATAAAATACACTGGAAAACGGTGAAGGATCAATTGCAAAGGTCCTCTTTATCTCTTTCCTAGAGTGTGGTACAAGGCTACTAAGCCATTTATCACCGGATATTGGGACAAAATCCTGTTCTCTGAGGATTATGCTGTCGGAAGCCGGCATTTACTGCTGGGAAGGATCGTTGTGAGCACACAGGAACAGCTACCATCATGTATTTTATGGGCTCCTGTTTGAAAAGTTGGTATTTCTGTTTTATAAAACTTAAAGATTCCACATGAAACGTCCTACGAAATTCACATTACCATGTCTCCTTATCGAAGTGGCAACCAACTAATCTGATTGATTACCACCAATTAGCCAGTAGTGTTTACTGGTGGTAGGACCTCTTGTGAGTCCGCGCGGGTAGGTACCACCGCCCTGCCTATTTCTGCCGTGAAGCAGTAATGCGTTTCGGTTTGAAGGGTGGGGCAGCCGTTGTAACTATACCTGAGACCTTAGAACTTATATCTCAAGGTGGGTGGCGCATTTACGTCGTAGATGTCTATGTGCTCCAGTAACCACTTAACACCAGGTGGGCTGTGAGCTCGTACATCTATCTAGCAATAAAAAAATAAAAAAAAGCCAGTAGTGTACGACTAAAAAAGCGCGCTTCGAACACCACCCAACACCAGGCCAGTGGATACTTTTACACCACTCAATTAACCCTCCCAATTTCCTTCTCGACCAGTTAAATTCTACAGATTGGTACCGGTCTTTCCCGTTGCATTCCAGTTTGGCGAATATCATAAAGATCGGCATCAGTCCGTCCATCAATAAAGACCATCATCTACCAACGTACAAAATGAAAACAAAACTAACTCCTCGCAAAATTCACATTTGAATGCCTTCTCAACTTCGACGACGCGGATCACGCACCGAGACTTTTCCGTCAAACCAGACAGTAACGGCTCCGATACGTCATCGTCGACCTGTCTAGGTATCGGACGGGAGAACGCGGATTGGCCTAAACGTAACGGATAATAGTGTTATAGAAATCGTTACGAGTGTTAATTAAACTAAATACACTTTGACCATGGAGATAAATATCCAATGTTTTAAAAGCTTGGTTAATTAAAAAAAAACAGGCCGTAATAACAATGTAACTACAACAAGTCTGGACACATTTATTGATACGGATATTGGTGGATTGGTTGTCGACGCTCATGGATGTCAGCAATGCCAAGGGAAGGCGCTAAGCCGCTGTCTACCGATAAGTACTCTCCACAAGCCTCGTATGAAGAGGGACATGTCATAGCGCTCGGGAAACACCATCACAGGGAGCTCATTCCAAAGCCGGATGGTACCGATGTTAATTTTCAAACAAATTATCTTCATGTTATAAACCGATAGTTGTTGGTCATAGACAAATGCACCACTGATTTCGGGGATTCCCAGTCGTGTTCAATTGGCATTCAGGATTGGGCTGTAATTAATCTAGCACGTGTGTTTCTGGTAACCATAACACAGGAGGAACTCTAAAGCTCCATAGGTCCTAAGTACACAAAAGGACACCTAATCAAGGCTCGTAAGTGTCGCCATCCACTTTCGTGGTAACCAAATAAAAAACAAGCATCCAAAAATTCTCAATACACTTAGTAGAACTTAAAGCTATCAGTGTACTAGAAAATTCAGAAAGAAAGAAAGAAAGAAATCATTTATTCGCCAAGCATAGTGAAAATGAGTTATTACATAAATTAAAAGCAGCGTGTATGCTTTGTCATTATTTGACATGCGAATTTTAGTGCAGTGCATAGTTATAATATTATATAATTTACCATTCATTCATCCATAATTCAACTAATAATTAAAAATCCATTTCCAAATCCATCCATCCAAAAATTAAAAAGCCACATAAGTACCTGTTCCCTTTGGGTCATCGCTGACAATCTCACTGATTGGCGACAACACTGGGATCTGAGCCTCATTCGTCTCTCTAACGTGTGATTCAAAGCAATCCGGATACAAACTCAAATGCTCCTGTATTTTGAAAGGTTTTTAAAATAAGTTTTTTGTATTTTTATTATTACTAGTGGCCTCGCAGTAGTCGAAATTCGACTATAATTAATGGAATTGTATGTTTGAACACTATTATGATTGCATTTTATACTTCTGTAATCACAAATTTCGCCAAGACTACACTACACTGTAAAAATATTAACAAAGACAAACAATATTTAATATATTCTCAATTTGACAACAGACGTCAAGAACAAAAGTTTGACAATAAATAGTATGCATGCGTGTGTGCGTCAGACACATGGTATGTAGTGTGTGTAACGTTTTCTTTATTGATTTAATGTATCTTTTATGCATTATTTTTAAAAAATATTAGCATTGTGCACTTCTTCTCTATATTCTCTATAAGTGTGGAAAATTTCATACTCCTCCGTCCGCGCAATTTTCGTAAAAAGGGATACAAAGTTTTTGCTTCACGTATTAATATATAGATTTTTTGCATAAACAACTACCGTCTTAACCGATTTTTGAGAGACGGAGACATCATTAAAACTACTATTACGATTCGATCTCGCATTTATTATTTCCATGATAATAAAATCGAGCGGTAAAAGGCTATTTGGCTTAAGTGAAATTTCGCTTGATTGGCGTCATTCATCCTTGTAATTAAAGGTGCCTTTTATTTGGTAATAGCATCAAGAGTTCGATGTTTTGTTTTATTGAACTTCAATTAAGTTTACTTCATTCAAACAGCTGATGAAGTTTTATTGTTAGGATATTTTATCCAAATATTAAACTCTAAATGACTCTAACCTAACCTTTAGAATAGCCTTTCACGAAACGATATGAAAACGATTATTTTTCCCGAAATTCTGGTAATTAATGGAACAAACCACAAGCCTAGGCCAAGTGGCGTTCACCCTGGGAATAAAATTGTCGTCCTGCATAAACTTCCGAACAATTCTGCACGTGTTCATATTACATTTGGATGCATGAATAGAGTGGCAAAAGCGGTCTAGGAAGAGATAATTCTCGCGGTGGGGAATTTTTATCTATTACGGATATCGTAAGGCAATTAAGGAATTCAAAACAAAAACAATCAAAATTCTAGATAAATAAGTAAAACAACAGTCACAACCTCCGTCTGTTCGTTGTCCCTAAATGCTCTGAAACAGATCCTGCAGACCAGCAAGGTCCTCGGGCGAAGCTCTGCTTCGTGGGCCCTGATGTGCATCCGGAGACGGGACCTCCTAGTCAGATGCTTCAAGCATATGTGACATTGGAACGGCTTTATCTGTTTAAAAAGTACACTACTTGCTAAGTCTACTGGATGATATAAATAAATAATGAGGACTAAAACCGAAATGACACTGAACCATTATCCTAATGTTAACGCAAATTTATTAATAATTTAATTTTTAACTAAACACGCAATCGAAGGTGAAGGTAGTTACCGGACATGCGTAGCGTTTTCACGTGGTCATTGACCCCGCGCTCGTTAAGCAGAATTGGATTGTATTTCATTGCGTGCAGAGCAAAAGTAATTTTTGAATATGAATTTTTACTTTTATTGTGTTAGGACCAATTGTCAACCAATTATTTTCACCGTTTTTATTGTATTTATGAGTGAAAAAGCCCACAGCCCAGTAAATATAATTACCAGAGGAAACCTTGAGATATTGAATCGACATCTTCAGTTTTACGAAAGCACCATAAAATATAACATAATGCGTTTCGGTTTGAAGGGCGGGGCAGCCGTTGTAACTATACTGAGACCTTAGAACTTATATCTCAAGGTGGGTGGCGGCATTTACGTTATAGGTATCTATGGGCTCCGGTAAGCACTTAACACCAGGTAAGCTGTGAGCAAGTCTACCCATATATACAATATAAAAAAAGTAATTGTTTTGAAAATCTTATCTAATACAATATCGCGAAAGCCCTTAGCGCAGACTTTACAAGAGATGCTTGCGGTACAACTTGAACTTGTACATACGAATCCTACCTGCAGATGCGTCACTCCGTGCTCGTCCAGGGTCTGTTTATCTAGAAACTTCTTTCCGCACGTGCCGCACACGTAACGTCGCGTGTCCGTGTGTGTTCGGCTATGCTTTGTGAGCGTCGCCCTGTTTTATATACCCTATTTATACTTTCTATAAGACTCAGAACCGAGGACCAATCATTTCTCAAGTTCAAAGGTATTTGTCGAACGAAACAGATCATAGAATCGTAGCGAATTGCCTTGCGGTTATTGAGAAGATTATAAGAACCCTTTAATGAAAACACTGATATCGGGAGACCATATTTTCTGAGCGCTATAACGCGTCCTTCAAATGAGGCTTGTGGAGAGCCCTATGGCCCCTTTACGTTACCGATATAAGCGTCAGTGGCCATACACCAGCAAGTGCCATAACAGCTTTAAACCAACGAAATTACCAGACAAGGACCTTACTAGCATTTGGTCAGTGCTCGATAATGCGTGTTTGTGTGAGTCGTATCATAAATTCTAATGTTCCATATATTTGGTTGGGAGCAAGTCTTATGTCTATTGTTGATTTACTGGTACAACATCTATAGTAAAGTCATAATCATTTGTAAAGACCAGTTTAACGATAAAGTTTCTTTCATATCCCCTCGAGGAATTCGATTCAGTTTGGCGATGTCCATGTGCGTCGGTATCCACCGCTTAACACCAGACTGATTTGGTTTTCCTCCCCTTTATGGATTCTCCCATTTATCCTTGCGTCAACAAACACATACAACTAAAATAAAAGTTCAAGTCATAATCACTGGTTACCAGATTCACCAGTTGAATCATAAAGCTTCTTTCATATCGCCTCAAGAAATTAGAAATGAGAAATCGGTATCACAAATTGGAGATGTCCATGGGCGTCGCTATCAACCGCTTAACACCAGACTGGACATGATTTGACTTTCCTCTTCATTATCGATTCTTCCAATGATCCTTGCGTCAACAAACACATAAAACTAAAACAAAAGGTTACAACCTAATGTCGTAATGTTTCCAGTCATATATGGTACCTTCACCCGATCCTGTAGACCGAATGGTAAACAGTCGACGTCACCCAAAACACGTCATTACGGATCCTCCCAATTCAGTAACGGTGCTTTTAGGTACCACAAGCACCGATCACCGTCCTCGTCGAATCCTTCGCTTGCGACGAAGGGCTCGACGAGCAAATTAACCCATAGACACAGCCCGCTGAGTTTCTTGCCGGTACTTCTCAGTGGGTCGCGTTTCCGATCCGGTGGTAGATTCTGCGAAGCACTGCTCTTGCTAGGGCCAGTATTAGCATCACTCCGGTTTGAGCCCCGTGACCTCACTTACTAGTTAAGGTTAGGCTAAAATAGCCTCTCAAGGTTATCAGCTTAGGTAGGAAAAAAAATGGTACCTCAAATGGAAAGTCTTTCCGCAGTCAGAGACTGGGCACTCCCATCTCTTCTGCTTGTCGTGCTGGAAGTGAACGTGATCGAACAGTTCCGTCTCGTTGGCGAATGAAACATCGGCGCAGTCGCCACACTTGTACCTACCGTCTTGCATTAGAGACGTTGCTTCGTGGAACTGCCTGAGAGGTTCGATTTAAAACACAGTGTTTAAATCTCGTATACCTTTCGTTCTACAATAGAGATGACGGTGCAAATCGAATCATCTTACATTGCCCCTTCAACGACCATTAATTTTTCACTACCAAAAAAAATTAGGAAGCTGAATTTTTATGAGGAGCTCCACGCCAAATAAGCATTCCCTAGGTTTAATTTTATTGGTGGTAGTACGTCTTGTGAGTCTGCACGGGTAGGTACCACCACCCCGCCTATTTCTGCCCTGAAGCAGTCTGCCCGGCTTGAAGGGTGGGGCAGCTGTTGCAACTATACTGAGACCTTAGAACTCATATCTCAAGGTGGGTGGCGGCATTTACGTTGTAGATGTCTATGAGCTCCAGTAACCACATAACACCAGGTGGGCTGAAAATAAAAACAAACTTATATGTGGCCCTCGTGATGGTTCCGGGCTACACACGACTGTACAGCAGTGGGGAATTACCCAAAAAAAGGCCATTCAAAAGTATCCACTCATAACTCACGCTAAAACACTTACATGTGAAACTTAAGGCGAACTTTCGACGTAAACGTCTCGTTACAGTTGTGACAAGTCAATATCTGACTCGAGTCGGCTTCTTTGGATTTCTTCTTACGAAACTTCTGGAAACCGCAACAGAGACCTCGGTTTATGAAAAACGGTTTTCGGTTTCAATTTTAATGGAGTCTGGTTTTGAAAAATTTTTCAACCCTTTGACAGCCATGTAGGTGTAGGAGAGAAATCGACATAATTACTTCAGTGCGCCACTTAGGGCCACAGAGACCCACATGGCAGTCAAGGGGCTAAAAAACATGAATTTAAGTTCTTTAAAATGTATCCTTGAATATCGAAATGCTATCTCTGGTTCAAATTTAGAAGATATCCAGTGAGCTTGTTTTTTGTGTTAAAATATTTTTACTATTTTTTTTGCTTAGATGGGTGGACGACCTCACAGCCCACCTGGTGTTAAGTGGTTACTGGACGCCATAGACACCTACAACGTAAATGCGCCACCCACCTTGAGATATAAGTTCTAAGGTCTCAAGTATAGTTACAACGGCTGCCCCACCCTTCAAAGTGAAACGCATTACTGCTTCCCGGTAGAAATAGGCAGAGTGGTGGTACCCATCCACACGGACTCACAAGAGGTCCTACCACCAGTTCATAGCTGATGCATGGGTTAGATTGCACGTCGACCTCTTTGTCGAGTTCGGCGAGTACGGTTATGGGGGTCCCTAAGCCTGCTCCTAATGTTAGAGCTGAAGGTAGCCAATACTCACCGCTGGCATCTGCTTATGAGCCGACATCTGGTCGCTGTTCGTCTTCCTTTTGCGCATGCGTCGGCGACACGAGTGCGAGGCCAGCGCTGCTATGGTAGGAAACAGTTGGCTGCGAACGAAATCGTACTCTATTGCGATCGACACTGGTATCAGAGTAGAAAAACCTCCTGCAGCAAGCTTTTAGGCCTCATAGCGGACATAGTATTTAGACTTAAAAAAAAAAACACCCTTTATTATTTTTATTTTTATTGCTTAGTTGTGTAGACGAGCTCACGGCCGACCTGATGTTAAGTAGTTACCGGAGTAAATGCCGCCATCTACCTTGAGATATGAGTTCTAAGGTTACAACGGCTGCTCCGCCCTTCAAACTGAAACGCATTACTGCTTCACGGCAGATATAGGCAGGGCGGTGGTACCAACCCGCGCGGACTCACAAGAGGTCCTACCACTAGTAAGTAGTATTACAAATCCAAACTTTTTTATCCTGAGCCGCGTATTAAAACAATTTATAATAATATGGGGTATAAAAATATGACAACCTGTGACAAGGACGTGGGGAGGGGTTCAAAAGTCCTAAAATTCGTGTGACGTAATTTATGGATGGCCCCTTAGTCGATTCTTATAGGATAGTTCTTTTGATGCTTAACCCTAGCAATGTTGGCTTCAAATCTCATTTGAAGAAAAGCATGGAATGATCTTGGAGGGATTAGGTTCATTGCACTCCCGAGACAGATCTAGTATCTAAAAAATTGATAACTACCTGCAATTGTAGCATTTTGGCTTCCTTTTCGTGGCGCCATCTCGATTTTCGACGACCTGAACGCCAAATAGAGTTCAGTGAATGCGATGTGGCTCATGGACATCAGCGGTGCCGACACGACAGCCACAACACGAGGTTGCAGATCAAGGCCTCGTCTTGGATAGTTGCTCAACAGATTACCGGAGGCCGAAGAAAATATCAACGCCCAGCATGAGACATGACGCGGAAGACTTTTTTACTGGTGGTAGGACCTCTTGTGAGTCCGCGCGGGTAGGTACCACCACCCAACCTATTTCTGCCGTGAAGCAGTAATGCGTTTCGGTTTGAAGGGTGGGGCAGCCGTTGTAACTATACTAGAGACCTTAGAACTTATATCTCAAGGTGGGTGGCGTCGTAGATGTCTATGGGTCCAGTAAACATTTAGCACCAGGTGGGCTGTGAGCTCGTCCACTCATCTAGCATTAAAAAAAAAAGACTTGACGGCATTACACCATCTTCCTCCTACCCTTTAAGTGGGTAATATACACCCACAAGGGAATAAAATTCGTTTTAACGCCTGAGCAATCAGGAGAAATTGGCGGAGAAGGTTTTTGAAGACAACATCCTGATATTATCGAGGGTACGGTAGCTGACCATTATACCTTTACTGCACTATTATCATCGTCGGATCCTCTGACCTAACCCATGATGTGGTAAATATCAATCATGTTAAGGGGTCTTCTTACATAAGTTTAAGGTCTAAGTCGTCGTGGCCTAAAGGATAAGACGTCCGGTGCATTCGTATGTAGCGATGCACCGGTGTTCGAATCCCGCAGGCGGGTACCAATTTTTCTAATGAAATACGTACTCAACAAATGTTCACGATTGACTTCCACGGTGAAGGAATAACATCGTGTAATAAAATCGAAACCCGCAAAATTTTAATTTACGCAATTACTGGTGGTAGCATCTCTTGTGAGTCCGCGGGGGTAGGTACCACCGCCCTGCCTATTTCTGCCGTGAAGCAGTTTGTCGGTTTGAAGGGCGGGGCAGCCGTTGTAACTATACTGAGACCTTAGAACTTATATCTCAAGGTGGGTGGCGCATTTAGGTCGTAGATGTCTATGGGCTCCAGTAACCACTTAACACCAGGCTGTGAGCTCGTCCCTCCATCTAAGCAATAAAGAAAGGCGTTGCCGACAAGAAACAGCCACTTGAACCTGCACAGCGTCTATCAGCTTTCTGACCGGGCTGGTGGCTTCGGCGTCGTTGGTCTGCACGATCCAGATCTCATCGTCGCTGCTGTTCAGACACTCCTGTTTCACTTCCGTCTTCAGCTGCAAGGCTTGGTGCTGTTATTGATATAACACAATAACTCGCCATTTGTATATTATTTATTCGTAGCATTGCAGACTGTTTAGCATTAATTATTAAATAAGTGGATCTTATTAAATTAACTATAGGTCCCGCAGTAGTCGAAATTCGACTATAATTAATGGGAATTGTAAATTTTATACACTATTATGATTGTATTTTATACTTCTATAATCACAAATTTCGCCAAGACTATACTATAAAAAATATTAACAAAGACAAACCATATTCTATTCTCAATTTGACCACAGTCGTCAAGAACAAAAGTTTGACAATAAATAGTATGCATGTGTGTGTGCGTCAAATACATGGTATGTAGTGTGTGTAATGTTTTCTTTATTGATTTAATGTATCTTTTATGCATTATTTGAAAAAAATATCAGCATTGTGCACTTCTTCTCTATATTCTCTACAAGTGTGGAAAATTTCATACTCCTCCGTCCGCGCAATTTTCGTAAAAAGGGATACAAAGTTTTTGCTTCACGTATTAATATATAGATAACAAAATTTCAGTTATGTTTTGAAAGTCCAAAGTCAAAAATTTTAAAAAACTTTGGCACCCGCTGGTCTGTGTCTAGACCGAGTGAATTTGTTTGAGTTTGAAAGCCTGGATTTGTTCAATCATATAGAAAAATTTTAGTGAAGATCTACATAATTCAGTTTGAATTTATTTCTTACCGGAGTGTTTGTGGTTTCGCAAACGCTTTTTTCTGGCGATTTATTTTCCGTTTTCTCTGTAATAAATGATATGAAACAGTTTTTTACAGATAAGAAAAAGATTACGTAGCAAGCTTTTTTGTTGCATATCTTAATATATTATGAATATATACAGTACCAGGCAATAAATATTGCACATCGATACTTAGAAAGAGACAGTCGTCTAATTTTGTTTTTGTTGTGGGGCGTTACCTGTGTGCGACGAAACACTAACCGATCCGGTATCTATGGAAACATTTATGGCAGTGATTCTCAACCACTGTTCCGCGGCACTTTTGTGTGCCGCCAAATTTCAAAAGTGTGCCGCCAAATTTTACGAATTTATAATAATGTTAATATTATTAAATTAAATCATTTTAAAAGAAAAATATTTTAAACATGAATATAGTATATTTAAATCCACAAAAAAAAATTATAGTACATATATTTTAGTTTATTTCGTATATTAAATTTTTTTGATAAACTATTTATGCAGTGTGTTGTAGTAAGTAAATAATTTTTATGTTTTTTTTTTTGTGTGCCGCCAAATTTTAAAATCGTAAAATATGTGCCGCAACAAAAAAAAAGGTTGAGAATCACTGATTTATGGAATGGTCAATTATGTAATGTGTGACAGGTATAACGCTCTAACGGTGTTTTCCGAACGCTATGACATATATCCTTCTTCAAACGAGGCTTGCGGAGAGTACTTAATGGTAGGCAGCGGCTTGGCTCCGCCCCTGGCATTGCTGACGTCCGTGAACGACGGTGACCACTTACCATCAGGTGGGCCGTATGCTCGTCTGCCTACAAAGGCAATAAAAAAACAGGAAAGAAGCAAAAATTAGCCGTCTCTTTCCAACGGTCGATGTGCAATATTTATCGCCGGGTACTGTAAATTGGGTGCCACGTTGTTTGTCCGTGATGGACACCTAAACTACTGAAGCGATTTTAACTTTTTTTTTAATATGTGTTTTGTTCCAATTTGGGCCATAGTATGGTTTTTATTTCGATTAATGGTCGCAAATATTTATTGATTAACAATAAAATGATTTCTTATGTTGATTATTGTTATTAATTGTAAGTTTCTTAAGTCTAAAACAGATAGCGCCTTCAACCAGTTTTTACCATATAGTTTTTTTTTTCCTACCTAAGCTGATAGCCTTGAGAGGCTATATCAGCGTCGCCTTAATTAGTAGGTGAGCTCATGGGGCTCAAACCTGACGACGTTGTAACTATACTGAGATCTTAGAACTAATATCTCAAGGTGGGTGGCGCATTTACGTTGTAGATGTCCATGGGCTCTGGTAACCACTTCACACCAGGTGGGCTGTGAGCTCGTCCACCCATCTAAGCAATAAAAAAAAACGTTGCTAACACAAACCCTAGCAAGAGCCGTGCTTCGCAGAATCTACCATCGGATCGGAACGCGACCCACTGAGAAGATCCGGTGAGAAACTCAATGGCCTGTGTTTTTACTCGTCGAGCCCTTCGTCGCAAGCCACGGGTTCGACGAGAACGATGATCGGATAGAGTTAGTATTTACTTATTAAAACTCCATGGTTTTTACAGACAATTGCAATACTGTCTGACATTAATATCTCATAGATAGCGCTGTGTTCAAAATACCAACGTTTCACATAAGCTACAATTAAATGGCAGAAACACCACGTGTTGCTGAGGCTAAAGTATAAGTGAAATTTATTTCGTAGTAAACGCAATACAGCGAAATCCAATTGTTCTTACTTTGTATGGTATTAGCATAGCCAGCCACGTGTTATTTAGAAACAAAAACCTTAGCCACAGCAACGTGTGGCCGAGTCTGCTAGCAACATATAAATGTTGCTATAGTGCTACAACAAAATTCTTGTATCGTTATCGGACCGAACCGGACCGGATCGGACGTCTTGATATCCGCCAAAATTACGTTGCTAAGTCTTATTACATTTTTATATATAGATGAAAATAACAAACAGCTTAAATTATTACACATCGTTCGTTGATTAAAAAATAATATAGGTAGGTACGTTTTATCAAAAATATCAGTATAACTATACTGAGACCTTACAACTTATATCTCAAGGTGAGTGGCGCATTTACATTGTAAATGTCTATGGGCTCCAGTAACCACTTAACATCAGGTGGGCTCTGAGCTCGTCCACCCATCTAAGCAATATATATATATAAAACAATAACTACCAACCTGATCCGTTTAAATCGTTGGTATTCTCAATTTTGACGCCAGTTTCTGGTCTTCGTTGGTGTGCCGCCATTATGTGCCCTTTCAGCCATTTGAAATGAGTATAACCTGAGTACCAAACACCATTAGTTTTCATCTCGATTGTATTCTATAGATTATCGATAGTTTTTAGTATTGTTACGCCGGTAAGAGTAACGCCATCTATCGCCAAATAGTCGAACTTGAATGTCGTGCCCATTTTGGGTCACGAGGTAAAAGCCTCATCAGAACTGCATTACGACTTCAGTCTGGTATGCACAGCTTCTACTCACGTGGACTCACAATACGCTCTTTTCTCAGTCTGGTACTCTCCTTAACAGTAGTAATGGCGATCACCATCATTGATTGATACTACTCTTGTCAAGAGTGACTCTATTGAGAAAGGGTATTTCGATATTTAGAAAAAAAAATCAAGTAGAATTCTTTTCAGGAAGTAAAACTTTATCATGAATAGCGGCCCGCTCCGGCTCCGCTCGGGTCTTTAACAAAAAATTCAACGATATTTGACGGTGTTTTATTTTTTAAAATAAAAGAACACTTATTGCTGCATAATAGTTAGACTTAAGCTGTCGCGACACTTTTTGTAATTAATAATGTGTTCTACAAAGTCGTAGTACATTATTTTATTCTATCATCAATAGTTTTCGCAGGGCACGCGATATAAAGAATATTTTAGGTAATTTTTTTACACCTTGGGTTACATTATTGGAGTTTTAGAAAGATCCATAATTTTTTTCAAAAAAGATGTCTATGTCACTCGGAAATAGTGTAACTTCCAAACATGCTTTTTTTTTTAAATCGGTTCAGTAGTTTCGGAGCCTATTCAATACAAACAAACAAACAAATCTTTCCTCTTTATAATATTAGTATAGATATAGTTTACAGTAATAACCCGGCATGTAAACTGTACAAAAACTCTAAGGGTCAATGTATTCATGTAACGTATAAAATCTGAAATCACAAGTAAGTTATTAAACTTACCGTAATCGCAGAGTGGACACGGGTAAACCATTTCACTGTCCATCTCGTGCTTATGAGCATCTCCGTGCTCAATCACGCCGGGTATACCGGGAAAGGCGGTGTCGCAAAACCTTAAATAAAAAATCATTTAAGTAAAGCACTTTTGTGAAGAACCACTCCTGACTGAGGTGAAATCTTTCAAGATGGAAAAATTAATGGCTACCTTTGCCTGTGACCTTGCATCTCACCCGAAATTGACAAGAAAGTGATACCAACATGTACTGTCAGCAGTATAAATAGCTTTCAGTCGTGAAACCGCATGAGTCCGCACAGGTAGTTACCACCACCCTGCTTATTTCTGCCGTGAAGCAGTAATGCGTTCCGGTTTGAAGGATGGGGCAGCCGTTATAACTATACTGAGACCTTGGAACTTATATCTCAAGGTGGGTGGCGCATTTACGTTGTAGATGTCTATGGGCTCCAGTAACCACTTAACATCAGGTGGGCTGTGAGCTCGTCCACTCATCTAAGCAATAAAAAAAATAAAAATAAGCCGAATAGCCCATGAGTTTCTCGCCGGATCTTGTCAGTGGATCGCGTTTCCAATTCGATGGTAGATTCTGCGAAGCACGGCTCTTGCTAGGGCCAGTGTTAGCAACACTCCGGTTTGAGCCCCGTGAGCTCACCTACACGTCAAGGCGAAGCTGAAATAGCCTCTCAAGGAGGTAGGAAAAAAATGGAACCGGCATCGACTCTTGAAATGGGCCTTACTGTACCAAGCTGTATGTAAATTATTACACATAATACTACATTAAGTACACAACAATCGGTGGGGCGCAAAAGTACTGGAGTGGAGACCTCGTACTGGACGTCGTAACGTGGCCAGAGAACTAAAGAAGTGGACCTGGTCAAAATAGCTGATAAGGACTGGATGCGAAAGGCAAAGGACCGAAAAAGATGGATTGCACATGATTTACACTCAACATACACAGATTGAGTACACAAAGCGTACAATTGCCACACGAACCTGCACTTAAGCTCCGATATCCCATCGTCAATCTGGTATTTCCCCAAAAACGCCTTAACATCATCATCGGCATTCTCCAGGTTCTCTATAATCGAATCTATTTCAGTTTCGGGTTCATTCTGTTCAATAATCTCTACTTCGCTCGAGGACTCACTGGCATCACCGCCTTTCATCATCGCCACCTCATCAGGTCCCCCCTCTAGAGGTTTCGTTATTATCTCGCCATCAGAACCGATTTCCACTTTAACGTACTCATCAATAGCTGTATTACTATTCTGTTTTTTGCATTCTTTTTTGTTGATCAGAAAACGAAACTCTTTAATCTTCTTATAAATGTACTGTTGATTGTTTTTGATGATCAAATATTCGTCGGCATTCAAGAATTGATTGGCGCCTTTCATCCTACACGTTTTAAAATATTCGTTCAGGCAAAGCTCACAGATTATTTTTAGTTGGGTCTCCGATTTCTTGCACGGCGAAAACCTGTGCTTTTTCTGGTCCTCGTTATCAAATAAATAAGCTTTGTCCTTGTTTACTTTACGAGCGCATATTGTGCACATTTCTCTGGCATTCTCATTGATTAAAACCCCGTCGAATTCGTATACAGATTTTCTTTTGTGGATCCGAGATGGATCCGTTTTCCTCACGTGTTTCCTTTCGTTGTAACCTTCGCAGGGCAACGAAGTTACTGGTGAATTCTTAAATATATCGAGTATCTCATCACGGTAAGCGAAACTATCGGACTTTTGCCGATAACTGTCGTTTCTTTTAAAGCTATTATCGGTATTCATATAACTATCACTGGTGATTGCTCCAGAAAAGTTGCGAATAGCGGTCACATCAGAATACATCTGGTAATGAGATTCCAAATTCAAAGTGCTATCACGAACCAATCTGAACGGTAACGAATTGGCGAAGTCTTTGAGGTTGGCGCCCTGATCCAGCCTTAATGTTGGACTCCCAACAATATTATATTTAACGGTATCCCCGAAAACAGCATCATTGCGGTCTTCGTCGTCATCTTTAAAGCGAACAAACGGAAGAGCTTCAACTGATAAATCTAACACAGAATCCTCATTGTCGAAATGTATCTGTGACGCTCTGATTTCTGTACCATCATCGAGAACATACTCTAGGCCGGCACTATTCAAGCCCTGATCGTATGTCGGACGTGTCGGATTACATTCCACATTCGCAAGGAATTGATATATACTATCGTGCAGCGAAACGGGTTGATTCTGTGTTATGGAGTTTATATCTATGTCGTAGCCGAGGACAGCTCTGAAATGGTCAGTTAAAATTATACCAAATTCGGAATTTAAATAACATTGATTATAAAAATAGCTGGATGAGGATTTTACTAGATGTTCCCTTGTGTGATATGTTCGAGATTGGAAGAAAGCTTACTGTGAATGGAGGCGTATTGTCAATGGTGAACCGCCAAAACTTTTCACATGAAATCATAACTAAGGCTCTATAAAAATATTTGTCGTTTGCGGACTTCCCTGAAATACTTACTTGGCTTTATCCAGAAAGGATTGGAAGTCGTCTTCAGGTTCAATCCTAAATGTAACCTCTTCACCTGCAGAGTTCTCTGTGCACAGCATCAATGGTTGCAGCTCGTTGGCCATTTTTGTCTGTAAATATCAAGACTACGGGATAGTTCGTAAGGCGTCAACCTTCGTCTTCTTCTAGTCCTTATCCCACATTATGTGAAGTGGGCATAGCGTGTCCTCTTTTTTCATTCATCAACTACCACACGTCATCTGTGCACTCAAACAACTTCTTTCACACAATCCATCCAAATCTATTTAAGACTCCTTACATTACGTACATTTGCTGGACGTCAATCACTGGATATAATTTGGCTCATGCTTTTTTTTCTAAGTATTGAGAAAGTTCTTGTAAATGAAATAAGGTTAATAATATTTTTACGCATTCTACAGATATAATTTTTTATTTACTTAGCGGGATACTGAACTAACAGTCCATCTGATGGTGAGTGCCTCACTGCCTTTCTTTTTTCTACCTATTTTAATACCTCGAGGGGTCATAATAGATTCACCGAACTAGTAGATGAGCTCACGGGGCTCTAACCTTATGACATTGCTAGCACTAGCTCTAGTAAGAGCAGTGCATCGCAGAATCTACCACCGGATCGGAAACGCGACCCACTGAGAAGACCCGGCGAGAAACTCAGTGGGCTGTGTCTGAGGGTCTAACTATTCATGAAAATCGCGCACAATCAGACTTTACAATACCTGAGCGCGGTATTTAACACACGGTATACTCTTTAAACAATAAACGAGGGTTCAAGCCTTCAGGCAGCATGATGGCGATACCATTGGCATTGCTAACATCCATGAGCTTCGACATGAAACCACCGTCTGCGCTCGCCTGGCATCGAAGGCAGTAAAAGAATCGATTTTGGTGGATGCTGCATTTGATTCGTTTCTGAAGATAGAAACAACGAGCAGACAGCCCAGCTCGTGGTAGCTACTGGAGCCCTCTGATATCAGAAAACAAATACCGCCACCACTTTGAAGGGTGGGGCAGCCGTTGTAACTAAACCGAGACCTTAGGACTTATATCTCAAGGTGGGTGGCGCGTTTACGTCGTAGATGTCTATGGGCTCCAGTAACCACTTATCACCAAGTGAGCTGTGAGCTCGTTCACCCATCTAAGCAATAAAAAAAAATCAAGAGTTTACTGCATAATCATATCACTCATCTCACTCAAATATATCACTCTTCAAATCGATGTATATTATACAGCTTGGCTTGATAACCAGAATGAGAGGCGGTGTCCCCTACATAGAGATAACTGTTGCCTATTAACAAATAAATTCTCTTAGTCAGCTTTTACGATACCTCCAGACAGAGATGGGCTGGTGGTATTTTCAACCGACAGCCGCGGAAACAGGTGGAATTCCTAATGGTATTACGGCCCACCATACCACGACCGTACCGATACCAACATAATACTTCTGCCGCAATTTAAAAGGTAGGAGGAGGTATTTCTGCAATAAATTGAGGCTCGACCTCATATGTCTACGAGCTACGGTGAACAATTAACATCAGCTGGTTCGTGATCCCATCTGCTCATCCAGTACAAATTAATATATCACGGATTCTTTATACTCATTATTCTTGAAAATGTTTAACGTGTCAACAATAGATCACGTCATTATATTTTTTTAGCTGAAAATACTGACCGGTACAATGCGCGCTACTGATACATTCGCACTATTAGGAGATACGTGACAGCACGTACCGCAAAAATATCAAATTTTCATAGCACATTCGAATTTAGTCTGCTGTTACGTCCATTTTAACATTTTTGCTGGGATTGGCGACGTCTATGCTTAAATCGTTTGCTATTCCACCAGTAAAGACCAATTAAATTAAATTTCAATATATTTATTTATGTTAGGCGGTGTATCTAAATACAATCCTTAAGCACCATTATAATTAGTAAATTTAAAAAGTTTTGCGTTTTCGAGGTCATTGAACTCTTACATTTGAAGCAGTCATGGCCACGAATGCGAAACGTTGCAAATGATAATTTATTTATACAAAGTACGCTTTTCTCTGTGCTATGTAAAATTTTGATCATAGAACTATATCTTACATACTAAAGAATGTATAGATTGTTAGTTGTAATTTTGAATAAAACACACAATCCCGCCTACAAATAATGAAAGTCAATAAATAGGTTAATATAATGAATCATTATTATTGTTTGTCAAAATAATTGGTAATTTAACTATTTGAAATTTATGACTGTTTCCGATACTTTCCATAACTACAAATAAATGGCTGACTATAAAAGAATTAAAATTTTGCAACAGCCAGTGTCAATGGCAAGGAAAACAGTCGAGAAATTTATTTCCGTGATGTAGATCAAAACCAAAAATATAATATGAGTTAACTACAAATGAGTTTACTGAAAAAGGAAAAAAAAACTAACCAGTTTTATTTATTTCTTCAATATAAAACGTTTCTTCGCGAATAACTGGCACAATGACAACGAAAAACAATTGAAATTTAAAACTTCCTCCATTTTTTTGAAATCTCCGACATTTCAAGAATTCAACAGATAATATTAGAAATTCTCATATATCCAGTAAAGCATTCACTCTTTAGACGATTCTTAAATCGATTCAGCAAGCAAAAGGTTTTTGAACTTGTAAATTGACAGAAAAATTTGTCAATACATCTATGACTGCCTTTCATGTGTCAATGTCAAAAATCGTCAAAATGGCCGATTGCATCTAAATATGGAACCTATATAATAACATTGTGCGACAATAAAGATATTTTTTGTCGAATACTACTTTTCTAAACTTAATGACATAGCTAACAAAGTGTACGGTATGTTCCCGTTAACTCCGCCGGTCGTGAAGCGATTGTTGGGCTGGAAAAAAGGACCCGAGGGATCGTCGGCCGCAGAAGATAAATGGTCCGAGAAGGCCGTAAAGAGTTTGGTAAAAAAATTAAAGAAAAGCGGGGCTTTAGAAGAGTTAGAAAGGGCAATCTCGAGTCAGAACAGTCATACGAAATGCGTTACGATACCCAGGTGAGTCGTAGTAAATTCTGTTTATTGTACAATCGTTCTAGTACGATGACATTTCCGGCCAAATGTCTTGGGAGTCTTGAACATTGAGATTTTGAACTTCCTGAAATAAGATCTAGTCTCCTTTGTTTGAACTGCTCGCAACTTTGATGCCGATAAACGCAGTAATTTAAATTTAAAGGTGAAGAAGTAGTCTAGTTTTAAGAAATTTATATAATGCAAAATTGCAAAAATTCTCAAAAATCTAACTTGAAACAAATTTATTCGCAAGCTAAAAATCAGCTGATTTTTTCCGGCATTGAAATTCACGTTCGGAAATTCGAAGTTGAATATATTCGTCGTATAATCCGACCAAATCCGATAATATCTTATTAAAAGCATGTTTCGCGAAAATGGCGTCATCTCGCTTTTAGTAGGATAACAAAGTACAGGACGCAAAATCGAAAAGGTCAAGACACCGTCAAAACAATCGAATCTTTTGTCAATATGGCTGCCGTATTTTGATGTAGCGAATTTTTCATTTCCTGTCCTTTAAAAAAAATACAAAGGCATTAATCGTTCTATTGTTTGTCATAAGAAACCGGACGTGTTTCGCAAAATTTCGCGAGTGATTTTGAGTAACAAAGTGAAGTGGTTATACGAATAAAATTGTCATAATTAAACAAGGTAAGAGTTCTTGTTGTTCGTTAATTTATGCAAAAAATACGGCTTTCGGCAATAAATACGTATCATACACCAGTTTTTCATTTAATTTGAATTAGAATAGGAATCCACTCGTCATTGTTACAATTTAACTACATTGTAAAAATTGAAAAGCAAAAAAAGCCATTGACTATCACATGTATTTGACTTGAGATGTCATTGCACTGGAATTTCGCAGTGTATATTGGTTTCCAAGAAGTTAGAATTAGAAATTAAAGTCTTTAGAAGTATTTTTTTTGGAAATAATAATATGCAAAGTGGCACCTATTTCCTAAACAATCAAGGAAGTTGATTACAAGATAATAAAATACATATTCATAAGTCATTGTTATCCAATGCCATTTAAACAATAAATACACCACTGTGAATTAATTGCCTAACTAACTTATTGGATTTAATTATTTCAATAGCTTATTGGGCTAATGGTCTATCTTTTTTACTGTCAACAATGATGAGTAATCGTGCGTATAGCCCTAAGCTATTACTGGAAACTGAATTAAAAATTTCCATCTTAATGATTCCACAGCACAGTAATAAAAATGTAGCATTTATAATTTGTTCATGTCTGTCTGTATGTCCCAAATGTTTTGCGAACCTCCTACGTATGTAATTACTATTTTTTGGTTTCTCAATTAAAAATTAGTTCAATATACATATATGTAATTGAACATCTTCTTCATTGTTCCCTCACTGCTGAGGATTGTGACCAAATGTGACTTTCCTCCTTATTGGTCATGGGTGGCACGGACCACATGGTATAGACTACCACTAGCCAATTTCTTAACAAGACCTGAACATCTGGCTGGTGTTCTGCCCACAGGGCGCTTTCCTTTTATGTATAATTATGAGCTTCTCTAATTCATATCGGGGAACATTCTTACTGAAAGTCAAAATAAACTCTAGCTGGTTTACTGGTTACAAGAAGAACCACAGTCCTGAAAAGAACGGCCGCAACAAATTAGCAAGCATGTTATGACCATTATTCTAAAACTAATATGATTCCAATTTCAACATATTGTTTGATAATGTTTATGTAAGTCAGTTGTGCCATATGCTCTCGCTTGCTTGGAAGCAAGTATTTCATAAATTGGATATTTGTACTACACTGTTTGGACTGTTTTTGGAAAGCCACCAAGTGGATGGTAATCAAATTTTCCTTTCTACGGTACTTGAAAAGAAAATGTTGTTTGTTTGTTTGTAAGCTGTGCATTCATATGTCAGTTATTTTTTTATGTATTAAATCATGCACATTAACATACATTAAAGGACTTAATGATGAAGTTGTGTACCATTCGATGGCGTCTAACAGAAATATATATGTAACTAGCCGTACTCGCCGGCTTCGCTGGGCATTTAAAATTGAGAGAAAGAAAGGGAGAGTATTCTTTCTTGTACACCAAAAAACAAATAAACACTGCAATACATTAAATACAAAAAAGTACAATTGGCGGTCTTATTGCTAAGAGCGATCTCTTCCAGACAACCATTAGGTGGACAAGAATCATTTGGAAACAAATTACGATTCACATTAGGGAGTCCAACACTCAAATAAATATTATCCTATCCATCAAGTACAGGTATTTTCTACATATACGAAGTTTCAAGTCAATTGGATGCACGGTTCAGTAATTATAATGGAACATCCCTAAAAGCCACTGTAGATTTATATATTAGTATATTTTATAGATAGATGCAATGGCTGATTAATAAATAGGAAAAGATTTACTCTACAATACATGTCTATTAAATTAGCATATAAATACAATAAATCTAAATTTAAATATAAATATACATCCTTGCCTTAATAATCCTCAATGCTGAGGGTCGTGGCCTCATGGGGCTCTCTTGGGAAAAGAAGCAAATAATAGCATAAGGAAAAAGAAGCAATAAGTTCGAAGTCGTCGTGGCCTAAAAGATAAGACGTCCGGTGCATTCGTATCGAGCGATGCACCGGTGTTCGAATCCCGCAGGCGGGTACCAATTTTTCTAATGAAATAGGTACTTAACAAGTGTTTACGATTGACTTCCACGGTAAAGGAATAACATCGTGTAATAAAGTCAAACCCCGCAAAATTATAATTTGCGTAATTACTGTTGGTAGGACCTGTTGTGAGTCCGCACGGGTAGGTAACACCACCCTGCCTATTTCTGCCGTGAAGCAGTAATGTGTTTCGGTTTGAAGGGTGGGGTAGCCGTTGTAACTATACTTGAGACCTTAGAGCTTATATCTCAANTTCCACGGTGAAGGAATAACATCGTGTAATAAAGTCAAACCCCGCAAAATTATAATTTGCGTAATTACTGTTGGTAGGACCTGTTGTGAGTCCGCACGGGTAGGTAACACCACCCTGCCTATTTCTGCCGTGAAGCAGTAATGTGTTTCGGTTTGAAGGGTGGGGTAGCCGTTGTAACTATACTTGAGACCTTAGAGCTTATATCTCAAGGTGGGTGGCGCATTTACGTTGTGGATGTCTATGGGCTCCAGTAACTACTTAACATCAAGTGGGCTGTGAGCTCATCTAACCATCTAAGCAATAAAAAAATTAAAAAAAAGTACTATCAACAAAGAATTGTTGAAGTTTGTGACACACAAAATCAGAGTATTTTTTACTAATAAAAATATGAAAAATTATATACGTATGTGGTACATTTCAGGGTGAAGCCGAATGAGAGTGGTATCAACGGACAGTACAGGAAAGGCCTACCGCATGTGGTTTACTGCAGACTCTGGCGTTGGCCTCAGTTACAGGTGAGATGTTGTTCATAATGTGTTTTTGATGAAGTGTAATCATCTATTTGACACAATTGGATGGATTTTGCTAGTGGGAGGGCTTATTAATGGGCTTATTAAAGTAAGTTCTAATGGGTACCTAACTGCCCAGTTCAACTGCGTCGTAGGTTCCAGCTTATAAAGTAACTAGCAGGGTTCACATTGTGTTGCCTATGGCCTCAATAAATACTTAACACCAAGAGGTATGTGAGGATGTCACATTTTAATACATATTTAAAGCTTATTAATACTCATTACAGGCAGTAATAAAATTAATGAAACACCACCAAAACTGGTGAATGTCTTGCTGTGTCGGTAAAGTGTGTGCAAAACTACTTGTAATAAACCATCCAGTTTCTTCATTGCGATGCCGTGAAGGCGTGCACCAAACAAGTTTTTACAGTTTACTTAACTAAACCTATTTAATAATTATATGTACAGAGAAATGAATGTTCATTTTTAAAAATTCTGAATATCCTGGTCAGGCTATATTTTCTTGATCTTTTCAGAGCCAACATGAACTGAAGCCAGTGGACCATTGCGAGTATGCATACCAGCTGAAGAAGGACGAGGTGTGCATTAATCCCTATCATTACAACAAAATCGATTCGCCTGGTGAGTCTATTCAATTTTATAACTCTAAGGAAGTATATGTAATTGTTCACTTCCGTTGTGACAGCTATGGCCACTAGATTGTATTAACCAAGGCAGTGACTGGGTTGTATCCCTTGCATTGCTGACATCGTTGAGTGACGATAAGCACTTACCATGTTTCATTTCGGTGCTATTAATCACTGATGAGTATCCTAGGACTGTTAAAGAACTTCTAGGTATTGATGGACAAGGAAAAAAAATCCAGTTTACTGGTTACTTATTCTGAACAAGTCTGAATAGACACACCCGGGTGGCAGCGTCAGAGTCTCAGTATCTCTTTTGAAAATGTGACCTTCTGCCGCTAGTACTATTTTCCTATCATCAGTTCCATTTCACAATCTTCAATCAATCCGACCAACGCCTTTTAATTCCTTTCATCCTCTCGCTGGTATTCACGGTGCTGTGATTTTTAGAGCCAGCAGCAGAGATTATGTTACCTTAAGAACATGAGTTAAAAATTAAATCGGTTACATTTCGTTTATTCGCCCCCCCCCCCCATTAGCGAAGGTTAAATTTTTGTAATATTGGATACATCAAAGTGAATATACAATTAAAATGCTGAACTGCATTTTCTGTTATATGTAAAATTTAAAGGCCCAATAAAATCTTAATCTAATAAAAATTTATCTTTATTCTTTATTGTACACACAGTTAATATGCGTGGCGAGCTTAACTTAACAATTGAGTTTTCTACCAGCTAACCGTTCTTAACGAAGGAAAGCTTTAAATGAGTGGGTAGAAGAATACAATCTAAACAATTTACAATTTACAATCTAGACAAGAACTTAATAAAAAAAAAACACTGATACATAATATATTAGACTACATATATATACATATTTGGGGAGATGTACGACAAAGGGAAGATCTTCCACCGAGCGGATGATATTGCTCGGTAGACCGTCGGTCCGAATGTTGTTGTTCGGAACTTGTATATATGCGCTTTATCTTGAAAATGTCGTAAGCGAGATTCAGGCATCTGTCAATTATCTTGCGTTGTATGATGGCTACCCGCCACATCACTCCCCTCCGAGACCGGAGGTCGTGTCATTTAGTTAGCGTTGTCCGTGCTGAGATTAGCTTGCAAGTGCCAGTGCTGCTCGAAGTTTGCGGTGAGTCGAAACTGAGCTTGAATGCTGCGTGATTGTCGCCAGTGCTGCTTGAAGTCTGCGGTGAGTCGAGACTGAGCTTGAATGCTNTCTTTATTCTTTATTGTACACACAGTTAATATTACAATAATTGCGTAAGATATAAAAAATGGCGAGCTTAACTCAACAATTGAGTTTTCTACCAGCTAACCGTTCTTAACGAAGGAAAGCTTTAAATGAGTGGGTAGAAGAATACAATCTAAACAATTTACAATTTACAATCTAGACAAGAACTTAATAAAAATAAAAATAAAACACTAATACATAATATATTAGACTACATATATATACATACACACATAAATAACGTAAACATATACATACACGTACATATATAATGAAATACATAAAATAAATATATATAAGTAATACTAAATTGATAGATAGTGCTCCTTTAATGCCTTCCTGAATACCTCAAGTGAGGGACTTGCACGGATTGAGTGTGGAACTGAGTTCCACAGACGCACAGAGTGCACATATCTAATAAATAATTAATGTAATAAAATTATTATAATATTTTAACCAAACTAAACTTTCTTTTTACTGAATGTCAGACTTCACTGAATGACACTCAAGAAAAATTCATTTATAAATACTAAAAGAGTTTAAAATAATAAAGGTTTTTCTTTACATATTTGTAATGTGATGGTGTTGTTTCAGCTCTTCCCCCGATCCTGGTGCGTCGCTGTAGCGAGGGCGAGGTCCGCGCCCCTCCGCCCTACGCCGACTACCACCAGCCAATACTGCACGAGCACCCTGACGTGTGAGTATATACAACTTTATAGAGAGAGAGAGAGAGAGAATACACTATATTGCACACCAAAACACAATTTACATTCAAAAAACAGTAAAAAAAGCAGACACATTTGTACAATATAGGCAGTCTTATCGCTAAAAGCGATCTCTTCCAGACAACTGTTTCATTTACAAAAATTCTGGAAAATATAAAAATATAGCAGGTATGTTACGGTGTACTAATGACAATAAATACGTTTCTAGAGGCTTACGACGAAAGGAAGATCTTCCACCGAGCGGGTGATATTGCTCGGTAGACCGACGGTCCGAATGTTGTTGTTCGGAACTTGTATATATGCGCTTTATCTTGAAAATGTCGTAAGCGAGATTCAGCCATCTGTCAATTATCTTGCGTTGTATGATGGCTACCCGCCACACGTTATTATAGAATCTATATATATACAATAAATAAAAAATATACCGTTTACACATAATATATACCAATATACATACTTACATACAATACATACTAATATAACTTACATACACATAATAAATCAACTTTATACTTGCGCATCAATATTATATTTTATTTATTTATTTATTGTTAACATAGAAGTAGAAACACAATGGTATATGATAGAAGAGTATGGAAGGAGAAAACATGTTGCGCCGACCCCAGGTGACTGGGAGAAGGGCAGGATAATGATGATAGAAGTAGAAACACAATCATAATTTGCATCTGTGCTTGAACTAAGTGATAAAACTTGTATCTCAAGCAACGGTCCTCCTCGTACAAAGCATACAACAGCTTTGCTTCAGATACACAAAAATACAAAATTACTAGATAAAAATTAAATTGAAATTTATGGATTGTTTAAAAGTGATAATATGTGAGCTTAAAATATTACAATCAACAAAAGTGTGATATTGAAATGAATGTATTAAAGATCCCTTTGTGCGTAATGAGTGGGAGCACGAGTGAGTGTAAGAGGGGTGTGTGTGGGTGTAATATTGAAAGCTATTTAATAAAATTTCAGTGCCTTTATACATTAACATTTTGCATCCAATTAAATATAGAAGTTCTGCATTTCTTGCTGTTTACGGGATAATAAAATTTAGATGAATTTAAATCTCAACATAACCGGTTTGTTGAATGTCAAAATATTATGTACACACTCTAAGGATATTATGTACACACTCTAGATAAAAAAATAAAAAATAAAAAATTATAGGCCTATATCAAAATTGTGCTTATTTGCTAAACTGTTTGAACGAGTTGTGTATTCACAGTTGTACGCTTTTTTAAAACCTACCTTCATAGCGCAACAACATGGTTTCTTGAAGAATAGATCGACTATCACTAACCTAGTTACCTTCACGGAATATCTCACACGTAATATGGATTCTGGTGGTCAAGTTGATGCTGTCTTTACTGATTTCAGTAAGGCATTCGACCGCATCGATCACACGATTCTGCTACAAAAGCTCTTTAATGCTGGAATTCATGGTAGTCTCTTCAGGTGGTTTTCTTCTTATGTTGAAAATAGATCACAAAAGGTTGTGGTCAACGGACATGCTTCTTCCTGGGGAGGGATCCCTTCTGGTGTTCCTCAAGGGTCTCTGCTCGGCCCGTTGATGTTTAATATTTTTATAAATGATATAGGTACATGTTTTCGGTCTTCGGACTTCCTCTTGTATGCGGATGACATGAAAGTTTATAGAAAAGTTAACTCTTCCAATGATTGTCAGATGATACAGGAGGATCTTTTAAGGCTCGAGGAATATTGTCATCTTAATAAATTAGACCTCAACGTTTCGAAGTGTTTTGCCATGACCTTCACACATAAGACTACACCTGTTAAGTTCACATATCAGCTTATAGGAACCAATCTGGCAAATGTAGATGAATTTTGCGATTTGGGGGTAACACATGATAGGAAACTGTCTTATGAGAAGCATATAGACAATATAGTGAAAAGAGCCTATATATCATTAGGTTTTATCAAGCGGCTTGGTGCGCAATTTACTAGTGCTAAAATTTTTAAGGTGCTGTACTGTGCATATGTGCGCAGTATCCTAGAGTATTGTTCGCAGGTGTGGAATCCGCGATATAAAATTTATATAAATAGATTGGAGACCATACAGACCAAATTCATGAGGTTTCTTCAATTTAAAACTAAAGTGTATGATCCCGACTACGAGACGAGATGTAGAAGGCATCACATACTTCCACTGGAGGAAAGACGTAGGATAGCTGATATTGTTCTTTATAGCAAAATAGCTCAGTCTGAGGTGGACTCGTCTTATCTTCTATCGTTGTTATGTTTAAGGGTGCCCCCGAGATCCATAATGCGCGAGAGCCGTCAATCATCTCGTCTCGGAGTACCTCGTGGTGGTACAAATTACAGACGTAATGCATTCTTTATAAGAGCTGCTAACAGTTTCAATGCTCTAGCTGACTTCCCTGAACTGGACATTTTCAACACTTCTACTAAGAGTATTAGGAGATCATTAGTCAGTCGATGGTTGAATGCAAATATTTAATTAATTATTTTCTATTTACTACGTTTTTCTGTTTTTTTATTTTCTCAAACTGTATTATTTTTGTTTTTGTTTTACGTTTTACTTTAATTATTTAATTCTAGGCGATGCGACGCCCCAATCGTTTGTAGTTATTTAAATGCGGAGACATTTAAATGGTGTTTAGTTGTAAGGTTAGAGTTTATATAGTTTAAGTTCACTGTTTGTCTTCCTAATAAAATAAAATAAATAAAATAAAATAGCCAACCAAAGCATACCAATTAATATTTCAATTTTTATTTATTAGAAAAACAAGAACATAATATTCCTAAATAACCTAAAAGTACATGTTATTATCCGCAACATGCTTGGTCAGATTACAGAAATAGAGTTATCAGCAACATGCTTCGTCAAAAAGTAGAATACTTACTATTAATATTGTGTTATAATTATTGACAGTGCCATGCAGTCTGGTACAGGACACAGCGCACTGTATCTCGAGGCTACACTTGCACAACACGTGCCGGGCAACACAACTGTACACGTGTGAGTACTGATTATTTTCTAAATAGGCAGAGGCGGTTCTAGTGACTTTATTGTTATTTGATTTGATTCCCCTATATAACCATTTATTGCATTAGATTAATCCAGTGATTCTCAACCACTGTTCCGCGGCACTTTTGTGTGCCGCCAAATTTCAAAAGTGTGCCGCCAAATTTTGCGAATATATAATAATGTTAATATTATTAAATTATAACATTTTAAAAGAATAATATTTTAAACATGAATATATATTTAAACCCACAAAAAAAAATTATAGTATATTTGAGTCGACTATTATCAAAGCCGGCAATGTGACTTTTGGACAATTATTGGTAAATCAGAAAAACGAATTATTGACTTTGTATTCCATTGGCAGTCACAAAACTCTTCTGAACGACATCTTAGATAAATAACAGGTTAAGTATTAACTTTTATTTAATGCAGGTTTTGAACCGTATTCTTTGAAGGAGACGATTATATTCAAATCAATCTGTATTGACATATCAATAACATTTTTTTGTCCAAATGCACAGATTGCCACCTTTGATAATAGACAACTCATTTTAGTTTATTTCGTCTATTAAAATTTTTTGATAAACTATTTATGCAGTGTGTTGTAGTAAGTAAATAATGTTTATCTTTTTTTTTTGTGTGCCGCCAAATTTTGAAATCGTTAAATATGTGCCGCAACAAAAAAAAGGTTGAGAATCACTGATTAATCCATCGAATAAATCTGACGGTCCAAGGAGTCCACAGAGCTGATTCACCCTCTGTGTCTTGGTAGTGGTGGATTGGAAAATCAATACTCGTTTTCGTAGAACTATTACGTTAGATAATAAGAAGTTGATGCAGACTGACACCTCACACTAACTGATACATATCGAAGCTTGAAAGGCTGTAATTGCATTGTAAATTGCTGCATTGTAAATTTCACGCAATGTCGCTTAGTCACGTTTGCCTTTCAAACGTCGATATGGATTTTGTATTAATGTGTTTGTGTGTGTTTAATTTACATTTCAAAGCTCCTAAAGTTATTTATTACCTTTGGTTGACTGGTAGAAAAAGCCCGAGTAAATCTATCAATGTGTAAATATACATGAAACCTGGGTCATGTACATACATGAAAACAAATACATAAAATAAAGTCTGTTGTCAATTATGTAGAATTTCTTTTTAAGTGGATACTGGAGCCCATAGCCATCTACAGCGTAAATGCGCCACCCATCTGGAGATATAAGTTTCTAAGGTCTCAGTATAGTTACAACGGCTACCGAAACCGAAATGCATTACTGCTTCACGGCACAAATAGGCAGGGTGGTGGTACCTACCCGTGCGGTCTTAAGAGGTCCTACCACTAATAATTACGCAAATTATAATTTTGCGGGTTTGATTTTGTTACACGATGTTATTCCTTCACTGTGGAAGTCAATCGTGAACATTTGTTGAGTACGTATTTCATTAGAAAAATTGGTACCCGCCGGCTGGTACTCGAACACCGGTGCATCGCTAGATACGAATGCACCGGACGTCTTATCTCTTAGGCCACGACGACTTCTAAAGGCTTTGCCCTCGTGTCCCAAGCTGTGCTCACGTTGTGATGTCTATAGGAAATATGTCATATAAAAGAAAATATTGAGTACCGATACGATCACACCCTGTAGATGCACTCATTTGTACTGGCTGATAAAGGGTATAGCGTAAATAGAGTCTCCAACGTAACTAGGAAGTTTTGTCACGAGAAACAAAATACATTAGTATTGTAATCTATACATATAAATAAAATTGGAGTGTCTGTTTGTAATATGAAAATAACCGCTTTTTACTACATGCATATGAATATATATACGGTACATACACAAAAATAACATTTTTTACAATTTTTGTCTGTCTGTCTGTCTGTTTGTTCAGGCTAATCTCTGGAACGGCTGGACCGATTTTGACGGGACTTTCACTGATAGGTAGCTGATATAAGGAGTGACTTAGGCTACTTTTTTTAGACTAGCTTCGCTCCGCGGCGTTACCCGGTCACGTCACTGTAACATCGCGGGACTCGGCCATCAATAATAAAATTTAATGATTCCGAAGCGAAGCGAGGGCGGGTCGCTAGTATCAAATAAAGAATGTGTGTTGTAAAATTTCAGGAGCTCCTCAACAGTGGAGACTCCGCCCCCAGGCTACATTAGCGAAGATGGAGACCCGATGGACCACAATGACAACATGAGTGAGTTTGTATTAATTTTTATTACTATTATTTTATATCACTTAAGATCTGTCATTCAGTAATAGTCATTTGTCTCACATTAACAAATGATATAGTGTAAGACCAACCTATCTTACCTGATATTGGGATAGTTTTTTTTACTGTTATAGCCTAGATGTAGATGAATAAGCTTACAGCCCGTCTGACGTTGAGTGGGTACCGGCATCCAACTTGAGACATGAAGTCACAATCTCAATTGTACTGTATAATAACTGGGATCTTCAAACCGGAACGCGTTACAGCTTCGCGGCAGGAAGAGACTACATGGTGGTACCTACTGACGCGGTCTGCAAGACGTCCTACTACCAGTAAATATGGTTGTCGACCGCAGTAGACCGCTGTCCAGTCTCCAGGGGGAAACCCTCAGTAGCGTGACGATGTAATATATGTTCAAGAGATAAGGTGGTGGTGTTCTAGACCAGCCTTTCCCAAAGTGGACGATAACGCCCCCTAGTGGGCGCTGCCGGCCTAAAGGGGGGCGGTAAGAGACCCAGAAAAAAAAATTACATGTGTGCAATTCACACGTGGTAGAAGTGAAACCTTCCAAATTTAAAATACAATTATCCTAAACGTCTTAAGTATATGTAAAATTTTGTCATTAGTAAATAATTGTAAGGTAGCGCCCTCTGTGAATTGATATTTTAATTTCACGTATAATCCTAAATTAAAATTCACTACAAGAGCTTTCATACACACGTTAGTAATAAAAAATCTCACAGATGGCGCTGTATTAAATAGTATGTATATTTCTGTCTCATTTTTGTATTTGTGTCTCTTACCTGTCGTTTTTTCCGTTGCATCCGGTTTGAAATCGCAATGATTCTAAAGAAGTTTTCACTTCTAAATGAGGGTGTAGTGTAGAAGCCTGGGAGGTGATTTGTAATTTCATCTAGGAGAACTCTTAGACACCGACTGAGCTCTCGCTATAGTGGTCTTTAAGTAGTTGAAAAAATGGGGCGCTAAAAAAGGAATTTATTCTCAAAGTGGGCAGTAGACAAAATAAGTTTGGGATTCCCTGTTCTAGATGAATAACAGGCAGCCAACTTTTTTTTAATAGTCTCAGTAAATGCAGACGATGAACGACCCGTCTCGTGGTTAGAGGTCATCGTAATGGCTTTGGTGCACTATTGGGTTTGTGCGTGCGTGTGTGTGTCTGTATGTCTATGTATGTAAGAATACTGAAGGCCGTTGGTGTCACGGGTGACCCCTCGCTGCAGAGAGGGCAGGAGGATGGAACTTGAGGGGGGGATGTTTAGTTACATCAAGCGACCACGTAGTCGTCCGTGACCACGAAAACTGTTAAGTGTTTGAAACATCGAAAATACTAGAAAAACAATAAACAAACCTCCTCCATCCACTCTAACCCCTCAATTTTATTGCCCGATATATTAATCATAGTTGTTTGGTTACAGACCTCACACGTCTAAGTCCGTCACCAGGCGGCCTGGCGTCCGAGGCCTCGCCGGTGCTGTACCACGAGCCGGCGTTCTGGTGCAGCATCAGCTACTACGAGCTGAACACCAGGGTCGGAGAGACGTTCCACGCCTCGCAACCTTCCATCACGGTCGACGGATTCACCGACCCGAGCAATAGTGAGAGGTTTGTGGACGTCAACCGATCCATTAACGGTGCTTTTAGGTACCACAAGCACCGGTCACCGTCCGAGTGAATTAACCCACAGACACAACCCACTGAGTTTCTGGCCGGATCTTCTCAGTGGGCCGCGTTTCCGATCCGGTGGTAGATTCTGCGAAACACTGCTCTTGCTAGGGCCAGTGTTAGCAACACTCCGGTTAGAGCCCCGTGAGCTCACCTACACGTCATGGAGAAGCTGAAATAGCCTCTCAAGGCTATCAGCAAAGGTAGGAAAAAAAATGTGGACGACTTCATGGTCAAGACCGAGACGAGTAGGTGACGACAGCTGTGCCCGGTACATCCGGGGATATCCTCAGTAGGAGCCGGGCCGCTACGGACCCCTGCAGTGAACTGTAGCAACATCATTACTCTTACTGGTGGTAGGACCTCTTGTGAGTCCGCGCGGGTAGGTACCACCCTGCCTATTTCTGTCGTGTAGCAGTAATGCGTTTCGGTTTGAAGGGCGGGACAGTCTTTGCAACTATACTGAGACAATATAATATGTGCACTTTCCCTTATATTAAATTAATTAATAATTTTTTTCGCCAGATTTTGTCTCGGCCTGCTTTCGAACGTGAACAGGAACGAAGTGGTCGAGCAAACGCGCAGACACATCGGGAAAGGAGTCCGGCTGTATTATATAGGGGGTTCGTTTATATGCTTTTCATATACAGAGTGGTGGTCAACAAATGTTCACGATTGACTTCCACGGTGAATGAATCACATCGTATAATAAAAATCAAACTCGCAAAATTATAATTTGTGAGTTTGTGAGACCTCTTGTGAGTCCGCGCGGGTAGGTACCACCGCCCTGCCTATTTCTGCTGTGAAGCAGTAATGCGTTTCGGTTTGAAGGGCGGGACAGCCGTTGTGACTATACTTGAGACATTAGAACGTATATATCAAGGTGGGTGGCGTCGTAGATGTCTATGAGCTCCAGTAAACATATAACACCAGGTGGGCTGTGAGCTCGTCCACTCATCTAGCAATAAAAAAAAATGTATATAGAGAAATGTATTTACAGAGTGTTCAAAAATAAATGATTTTATATACAGGATGTCCTAGAAAGAACGGATAGTCCTGAAACACTTCATAGTAGAGCTATTGGGGACACAAAATAAATAAATAAAATTCTCAAGTAGTACCCAAATTATGTATTTTTTTAAAAAAAGTTGATATTTGCCATATTGCTGTGCGTTTCTGGAATATACAACAGATACAAATAAATGAAATCCATAGACTTTTTGGTGTTATAATATTCTACATGGATTATACTAAGGAATATGCAGGAAATCGTAGAGCCGTGCCACGTGAGCTCACCTACACGTTAGGTCGAAGCTGATATAGCTTCTCAAAGCTATCAGCACAGGCAAGAAAAAAAAGAGGGTACGAGTTCGATAGCCGGTCAGGGTCATTGAAAATAAATTGATGTTTGATATCTGTAGTTGTCTGGTAGGTTTTTGGGTGCTAACCATCGATGCAGCTCGTGCGATGATAATCATGTATATCTGTTGTGTTGCAGGTGAGGTCTTCGCGGAGTGCCTGAGCGACTCCTCGATATTCGTGCAGAGTCCGAACTGCAACCAGCGCTATGGCTGGCATCCGGCCACCGTTTGTAAAATACCACCAGGTAAAACCTTTTTTTTTTTCTCCTACCTACGCCGGAAATTCGGTTTTCCTCCCGCTGTACAGGGAAGAAAGTCTAACTTTTCCTCCCGCTGTACAGGGAAGAAAGTCTAACTTTTCCTCCCGCTGTACAGGGAAGAAAGTCTAACTTTTCCTCCCGCTGTACAGGGAAGAAAGTCAAACTTTTCCTCCCGCTGTACAGGGAAGAAAGTCTAACTTTTCCTCCCGCTGTACAGGGAAGAAACTCAAACTTTTCCTCCCGCTGTACAGGAAAGAAAGTCTAACTATTCTTCCCGCTGTACAGGGAATAAAGTCTAACTTTTCCTCCCGCTGTACAGGGAAGGAAGTCTAACTTTTCCTCCCGCTGTACAGGGGAGAAAGTCTAACTTTTCCTCCCGCTGTACAGGGGAGAAAGTCTAACTTTTCCTCCCGCTGTACAGGGGAGAAAGTCTAACTTTTCCTCCCGCTGTACAGGGGAGAAAGTCTAACTTTTCCTCCCACTGTACAGGGAAGAAAGTCCAACTTTTCATCCCGCTGTACTGGGAAGAAAGTCTAACTTTTCCTCCCGCTGTACAGGGGAGAAAGTCTAACTTTTCCTCCCGCTGTACAGGGGATAAAGTCTAACTTTTCCTCCCGCTGTACAGGGAAGAAAGTCCAACTTTTCATCCCGCTGTACTGGGAAGAAAGTCTAACTTTTCCTCCCGCTGTACAGGGGAGAAAGTCTAACTTTTCCTCCCGCTGTACAGGGGAGAAAGTCTAACTTTTCCTCCCGCTGTACAGGGGAGAAAGTCTAACTTTTCCTCCCGCTGTACAGGGAAGAAAGTCCAACTTTTCATCCCGCTGTACAGGGAAGAAAGTGTAACTTTTCCTCCCTGGGTACTGACAAGTGCGCATGCGCGTTAGTGTCTACGTCTGCTCTCAAACACCTAAAATTCTCCGCCATTGTTGTGCTCGGGTAATTTGCAATATTGTGTTTAGTGTAAAAGTGAAATAAACAAAAGACAATAAAATTTAATAGTGAAGTATTAAACAAAGATGAGTTCATCAGACAGTTCTTATTCAATTTGTAGTAAATTATTTAAAAATAAAAAAAACAGTTAAATTGTTTTTTATATGAGTGGGGGCTCCGCCCCCCCCCCCCTCCCCTCGCCAGCGCTTTGCCCCTGGACCCCGTCTCGGTACTCCACGGGTGCTAAGTTTTTTACAATGTCGAACTTTCGGCCTAGTAGGAGAAAAAATAGTATGTGCACCGCGGGAAAAAAGTAGAATATCTATGTAGGAATGTACTATTTTCGTCTTCTTTTTTTGTTGTTTAGTAGGGTGGACTAGCTCACGGACCACCTGGTGCTAAATGATTACCGGAGCCCATAGACATCTACGACGTAAATACCGCCACTCACCTTAAGATATGAGTTGTAAGCTTTCACTTTTAACTACGGCTGCCCCGCCCTTCAAACCGAAACGCATTATTGCTTCACGGCATAAATAGGCGGGGCGATGGTACCTACCCGCGCGGACTCCAAGAAATCCTACCACCGGTAATTACGCAAATTATAATTTTGCGGGTTTCGATTTTTATTACACGATGCTATTACTTCACCGTGGAAGTCAATCGTGAACATTTGTTGAGTACGTATTTCATTAGAAAAATTGGTACCCGCCTGCGGGTTAGTCCACGACGACTTCAAAACTTCTCTGTGACTTGTCCAGCGCCGTGTGGAGTGTATTGTGGTGATATCAATAGAATTACCTCTAAATAGTTACCCTGGTGTACACCCTCATTAAAGAACATCTGCATTGGTACCATCAGGCTCCAGACTCTGCTCTCGGCATCATCGAAGTCCACCTCACCGACTCCTCTGTCTTCGACAGCCACAATAGCCTAAAAGCGTTTCCGTCCTAACACGTTCCAGGTTGCAACTTGAAGATATTCAATAATCAAGAATTCGCGGCCCTCCTGTCGCAGTCTGTCTCGCAGGGGTTCGAAGCCGTCTTCCAGCTGACCAGGATGTGCACAATACGAATGAGCTTCGTCAAGGGATGGGGGGCTGAATACAGGTACGACCTCGATAGAGTCCAATCGTATAATGAGTTAAGGGATTTTGATCTCAAATCGCACAGTCACAAAGGTCAAAGTGAATTCCACCAGCTATTTCCGTTAAGGCAACTGTCTCACATCATACTGTCTTATGAGAGTCATTGAATTTAAAATGAACTAACTAACTATCATCATAAATTTATTAAAATCAAACCCGCAAAATTACAATTTGCGTAATTACTGGTGGTGGGACCTATTGTGAGTCCGCGCGGGTAGGTACCACCGCCCTGCCTGTTTTTGCCGTGAAGCAGCAATGCGTTTCGGTTTGAAGGGTGGGACAGCCGTTGTAACTATACTGAGACCTTCCAACTTATATCTCAAGTTGGGTGGCGCATTTATGTTGTAGATGTCTATGGGCTCCAGTAACCACTTTACACCGGGTGGGCAGTGAGGTCGTCCACCCATAAAATAAATATGCTATATATAAATAAATAAAAAACGCAATGTAATACTCAAATTATGTGTGAGGTCAACGCCCCGCGCGGCTACGTCTTACATTGCTGCTTCGTAAATAAACTAACATTAACTGCTTTTTTTTTACAGGCGGCAAACTGTAACTTCAACTCCGTGTTGGATCGAGCTGCATCTCAACGGTCCACTTCAGTGGCTGGACAGAGTCCTCACACAGATGGGCTCTCCGCGCCTGCCATGCTCCTCTATGTCCTAGATGTGAGTCCTACTGTCATGTTTTGTAGCCAGAGCAGAAAAAGTTTAAGTCGTCGCGCCCTAAAGGATAAGACGTCCGGTGCATTCGTGTCGAGCGATGTACCGGTGTTCGAATCCCGCAGGCGGGTACCAATTTTTCTAATGACAATACGTACTCAACAAATGTTCACGATTGACTTCCACAGTGAAAGAATAACACTGTGAAATAAAAATCAAACCCACAACATGTTAATTTGTATAATAATATTAAAAGTAAAAAAAAATTATAATTAAAGAATTAGTGCCGGTAGGACGTATTGTGAGCCCGCACGGGTAGGTAACAGCTTCCTATCTCAGTCTGCCGTGAAGCACTCTTGCTTTCCGGTTTGAAGGGTGAGACGGTTATACACGGTTGCATATTGAATGTGCGGTAGGCAGCGGCTTCGATCTGACCCCGGCTTTGTTGATGTCCATGGGCGACGATAACCACTCACCATCATGGTGAGTATGCTCGTTTATCTAAAAAAACAATTGTACTTCAATAACCTATATACAGTTTTCGGCTTGCTATAACCGTTTGTGGAACACCCTGTATACACAAACAGCGTGTTTACTAAAATTAACTCATAAAACTTGCTTTTCAGTTTATGCGCGATAACATACTCAATAATGGAGGCGAATGAGGTGAGTTTAGCTCAACCAGAACATAATTCTACAGTGGAGTATTAAGTTATATATTCTACAAATATATATAATTATAAATATAGAGTTTCTACTATAGCATGTCCATGGAAACATGTAATCGAAATTCGACCGTATTCACTGAAACTACAAGGTTTAATTTTTTCGATTCCATTCTCTCTTTTGTTTGCCTCATTAACTCAATTTCGACGAACCGGATTTTTTTTAATTATTGACAACCCTAAAGTTGGTCAATAGTTACTAAACTAACTGAGAAATAAAAGAGAAAAAATGGTACTTAGTTTTATGTAGTACACCCATAAGAAGCATGAATATTCGATTTGATTGACGCAAGAATGATAGCTTCATTCACATTGAGATAAAAAAAAACTGTAATAAGAGTCGTCTATTATCAAAGGTGGCAATCTGTGCATTTGGACAAAAAAAATTTATTGATATGTCAATACTGATTGATTTGAATATAATCGTCTCCTTCAAAGAATACGGTTCAAAACCTGCATTAAATAAAGGTTAATAGTTAACCTGTTATTTATCTAAGATGTCGTTCCGAAGAGTTTTGTGACTGCCAATGGAATACAAAGTCAATTCGTTTTTCTGATTTACCAATCATTGTCCAAAAGTCAGATTGCCGGCTTTGATAATAGTCGACTCATAACAAGATTGTATCAGTTTGTGTGTCTTCATTGGGAATATGAAATGTGAACACATTTAAAAAAAAATCAATATCATTGTCTCTCAAAGAAGATTGTCTTTGAAAAAAAATATTTTACAGCCAACCTTGTGGTTCTAGTGAACAGAAAAAAATACCATATAAATATATTGTTTTCTTTTTTAATTCTATTTATATATGTCGTTAGTTGTGTTTTAGACGTTTATTAATTGTTATCACTTACGATCGGATGGTCGTGTCGTTTTCTATTATTAAGCGTTGAAAAGATTGGTTAAAAACCTTGCATGATTTTGGTATTACAGATTATATTATGAACGGGCATCTTGAAAAATGTTGTTAGACTAAAAAAAAATGTTGCTCTGTTCTAAAACGCAACTGACGTACATCACATTTGCCATTGTATAAATGCATTTAATTATATTTCATTAGGTTATAATATTGTTTTTTTTTTTTAGTAATTAATATTTTTTAGCTTTGACAGAATGTAATCATTTCTCTAAGAATAATTACAATAACACTTATTAAGGAAATGTTATATATTTTTACATTGTAGCCAGTCGGTTAGTTTCAAAGGCGTTGAGAATTCTCTATGAAAGCTTATGCAATTCAATAAATCACTCATGATATAATTTTCCACTGTCATGTGAAATTGACACCATCGTCTCAAAATGGCCAAAGAAAATAATAAGTACTTGTCAATTAGAAAAAAAAAACAACAAAAACTATACCGCCTTTGCAACTAATCGACTAAAATTTCAAAAATTTGAAACGAGATTCTATATAGCAATAAAACTGTACAAAAAGTTTATAATTAATGAATAATATCGATTATTCAATATCGATTTTACATCACAATTGATTAGTAATTATTTTCATAAATTGAAAAATTGATAATTTTAGTGTTTAAGATGAAAATGTTTGTAGATTAAATTCTTATTTGCATTGTGGATGCTGAATCGAGAAGTAATTTGATCTATTACATCATAATAATGGCTCTACCGTTTGATCTTTTTTTACGAAATATACAAATCCATTGAGACGTACTCTGTGCTATTTTAGAGATGTATCCTAAAGAGTCTACAGTAATTATATAAAACTTTAATTCAAAGTGAGCAAAAAAAACCACATCAATTAATATTTTTTTCGTGTCTATTAAGATTATTAAAAAATCTGAGACAGGCTAAAAGGTCGTGTAACCAATGGACGTAAACGAAAAAATTAAGTAACTTCGTTAACAATTGATAATTTATGATATACTTATATATGCAAATAATTATACCAGCATAATTATAGCATATATTTATCATCGTTTTTGTTCTTTTCTATCCCAAATCTACTTGACGTATTTTGAGATGGACCATTTGAAGGTGTTTATTTTTTTTTCATTCAAATATCTCGCATCTACAATATAAATGACAATTTTTACACGTAGATTTTTTAATATTAGTCATATATATATATTTATACAATACGTTATTAAAAATATCACAATTTTTAAATGTATTTTTTTAAAGAAATAACATAGATTTTTTTTTTGCTGTAATTTATATGATAGTTCTTGTGTACGTTTGATAAATGTTAGCGTCTTAATATGTTTTTGTATGTATTTGTAAACTGAAAGAGTTTGTAACTTGGAAAATAAGGAACGTTTTTTTTTTTCAAGTACAGGACCAGGGAATAGGCCTCAGAGTCCCCTGATAAGCTAAATTAAGTATGCGGTGTGCTGACCTTGACGTATCTTAAAATTTGGTGGTGCAAAAAGTATTTGCATTTCCGTTGATGGTCTGCCTTTGATTTGTGGCCCTAATACCTATACTACTGAAACTAATAATGATAAAGTGTAAATGGGTATATATTTTGTAAAATATCGTACTTTTTTTCTTTGTAATTATTCCGTATTCTATGATGGCACCTCGAAATTTCCTCGACCTCGACTCGAAGGTCGTTGTACGCCTCGGAAAAAAAAATGTCAGCTAATCGCCATGTTGAAAGATTTATTTTTAAATTAAGAATAACGAGTTTCGTTAAGAGTTGAAGTCCCGAGGAGGTTTCATATGATATGAAATGTAAGTGAAATAAAACTGTCATAATTTTAAATTTAGAATAAAAATTAAACTGCACATCAATTTGGCGACCACGGTTACAGTTTGTTAAGTTTCCCATGTTGGATAAGAGATGGCGCTGTAGCACTAGCAAATGTTATAGTAGCTATGTCGATAGATGGCGCTGTGCATTTACGTCCCCTTTTCTAAATCGCGCTGACGAGATGCTCTCTGTTTGAATCACCTCTTGTCGCACACCAGTCTGAGGTATCGCTTCTCGGCCTTTTGGCTAAGATCAAAGTGTAGTATCTGTTCTTTTCAGCTTAATATCTGAAAGTTCCCTCATTGAGGGACCAGTATATTAAACTGATTTTTGTAAAACGACGGGATGTTCGGGGCTCGCTCCACTCCCGTCACGGGTCGGCCCGGCATTGCAGTGCCGCCGGGATCGGCCCTCAGAATTCTAATATCACACTCTCCAGTCTACACAAGGCAAAGAGATTTTCCATAGTTAACTTGAGGAAAATCGTGTCTTTTCGGTTCTGTTTCTCGCAAGAGCATGCTTTGCAGAATCTGCCACCGGGTCAAATATTCGACCCACTGAGAAGGAAGATCTGGCGAGAAACTCAGTGAACTAGGTCTCCGACTCTTTTTTTTTTTTTTTTTTTTCCTACTTAAGCTGATAGCCTTAGAGGCTATTTCAGCGTAACCGTGGTTAGTAGGTGAGCTCACGAGGCTCAAACCTGATGACGTTGCTAACACGAACCCTAACAAGAGCCGTGCTTCGCAGAATCTACCACCGGATCGGAAACGCGACCCACAGTGAAGATCGGCGAGAAACTCAGTGGGCTGTGTTTGAGAGTTAATTTACTCGTCGAGCCCTTCGTCGCAAGCGACGGGTTCGACGAGAACGGTGACCGGTGCTTGAAGTACCTAGAAGCACCTCTCCGACTCAATGGTCGATCCTCCCAAAGAAACCTATTAACAAAGTCATTTATTCCATTCACTGTTTCCAATCCGAATAGCTATTGGAAAATAATTCACAAAGTTAAATACTGTATCCAGGATTTGAAATTTGATACTAAATAATAAGCAAAGGATAAAATGGCTCATTTACTGCTAAAAAAAATTTCTCTGCCATATACTACCAATATTATGCTTAGTTAAGTAAATGATGGGTCAGTCTTAGTTGGGATAGACATTGACATGCGATATTTTATTGAAATTTATGCCCATTTATACATTTAAAATGTGAATAATATTCTTTTTTAATGATTAGGTATCTGAAGTAAAGTTTATTGTTTAATATTGAAATATATTAAATATAGTTTAATATTAAACTATATTACGGTGTAATGTAACAGTATATTATTGCACGACAACATTTTATTGTATTAGTTTTAGTAATAAAAACTTGCTCGAGATATCGTCTTCTCGCATTAAAACTGTATAATCTCAAAACTTTTTAAATTTTACAGGAGAGTGTTTTAAATAATAATAATAATGATAATAATGTTTTTATTTCAAGTATCCATGACTCATATAAATTGTTAATAAGACTTAGACCTATGTTAGTAGTTATATTTACATCACAATGAATTACTGTGGTAACATCCCATGGGAGATGGCACCACAGCGACCCATGTATATACAGTCCAGCCTGCTTGCGATCATGCTCAGGATACTGTTGGAGCTGGCCCTCGCTCTGCTTACCAGATATATTTTTAATATTAATCATCTTTGCAACGTTTATCTTTTAGCTTTTACCAGTTACATTATCTGTATTTTAAAGTAAGATAAAATTATGTATTAATTTTGTTAATAGTAGTCAAAATATAGGTAAACTAACAAAAAAAAAAAAAAAACTACCTTCTTTTGACAGTATTTAGAGAGAAAAATACTGGTGATACCAAATGTTTACGCATGTTAACTCAATTTCGAATATTTTTGGAAATTGTACACTTTTAATGCGAAAAGACGATATGTGAGAAGCGATTGTTATTAAGTAGTGTTTTTGGTGTTCGTTTTTCAAAACGTAACGGGCAGGCGATCGTCGTGAAATGTGAAATACGAAGGCGCCCGATCGGATTCCGAAGCGCGGGACTTATTGGCGCGAACCGTACAAGCGTCAACCGTTTATCGTATGATAGTGCTGCCAATGATTCTGTTTAATTTTCACTATTTTTTTTGTATATACATATTTTTTTTTCGTTAACTACCTTATTATCGCTTAATTTCAAAGATAACGTTGCGTCTTGTAACGTAAGCCACCAGGTTGTGAGCGTGAACACTAAGTTTGATTTTACGAAATTGTTTTTTTTTTTTTATTTTTTTTTTTAATCTAGATTTTAAGACAAACGGATAAGTTGAGAATGCGAATGAGAATGTAACGGGTCAGAGTTCCGAAATGTCGGAATTTAAATGAATGCAATATCAAGGTATGGTGCTAAGATGTTCGGAAACGGGTGTGTTAATGTCGTGGGATCGCTTCCCGGTATAGAAAAAACGTATTTGATTATATTTTGCGAGACCATTCAAAGGTAACACAGATTCTCGACATCAAAATGACACTTGTGATTTCAAATTGAATTCGGTATTGGTGTATTATAACTTCTTAATACGATTTATGTAGGGTTGCCAGATTTTTTTTTCAGCCTATAAGGGAAAAATGCTTAAATGGGCAAAAAAAAATGGAAATTTAGTTTTTTGCCCGGGACAAATAAAAAACAGTTATATAGTGACATTCTTTTGTTTTTATATTTCTCCGAAGAGCAAGTCAGTTTTAACATATTTTTATCGGTTTTATATTAACATGTTTATAAAAATCAATACAATTATAATCGTACGGTTCGAATACAGGACAGACCCAGTCCCGCCGGTACATTTTAAACTAAGCCTTAAAACACGGGACGTCTGGCAACCCTAGGTATAAGATTAATTGATCTATATATTCACGAAAATGTCGTCTAAAAAATCGAGACCCAAGAAAATATATATAGTATAGTTTTTTTTTAAACTAGACGCGACCTTGTCCTTCTCTTGTCGAGTATTGTATTAGCTTCCTAAAATATCGATTGTATTTGCGTAAGGCTTTTTAAACTATGTGTACCTCTATTCATTGGAAACAATAAAATTGTGTGCTTTCATTAAAAACTAAGCGCAGTGCGTATAAAATTCCCAAGAATATCCTACGATTTGTGTTGAAAATAACATTTATGAATTGTTAACTGTCAGATGACGTTAAGGCGTTGTCATGAAATTTGTTTACGTTGTGTTAATATATATATTTTTTTTTACGTATTTTATTATCGAAATGGCTTCCATGTTTTTTGCTAATTGCGATCTCACGGTTATTATGTGAGAAGGTGAAAAGATGAAACTGCAAATAAAGTGTGTGGTTTTTTTTTTAATTTGTGTTTTATTCACCAACTTTCCCGTTTTGACAGTGGTAGCTGATTTTCTCTATAATTGTTTGATGGTAACAGTAGCTTTTTTACCTAAGAACACCGAGAGTGAACCAGGAGGATAAGATATTTTAGTTGAGAGTCACGACCTTTGCGTTGCCCCGCCACGATAAGGTTATCGTGTCGCGCCGCTTTTTAGAAGAAGCGTTCTGACGCGATCTTCAGATACATATCTATACTAATATATAAATCTAGTGGTTTTACGGATGTTCCGTTATAACTACTAAACCATACATCCGATTGACTTGTAACTTGGTATCCATACAGAAAATACATGTACTTAATGGATAGGCTAATATTTATATGTGTTGGACTCCCTACACCAGTTGCGGGGGGTGTTAATGATGAGAATCTTTGTGGGAGTGAGAAATAATAATGTTAATTTTTTAATGCCCAGCGAAGCGGACGGGTACAGCTAGTCAATTCTAATTGCTGAATAAAATAAAAAACCACAAAGGAATTTAATATATTTACATAGACAAACACAAATGCCACTTCACGACACACTACACCGAACTAGGAACGCACGATTTGATTTTCCGGGGTCCATTTGTAATTGGGACCTTTTCTGGGTGATTTTTTTTGACCAAGCACTCGAGTATGGACACTCGCAGACGGCGCACAGCTGACAGAGTCCTCGGACGCTTCGGAGACGGCCGTCAGCGACGTGTCAGCGCTGGTGACGTAAGACTGACGTTTGCCGACAGTCTGCACGTTAATTTTCCCGTCCTCCGAGACGACGTCGATGCGGTTTACTCTTGGCCTGTAGTTGATTATGCCGGCGCAACTGTGGAACTTTGAAAACTTATCGTGCACCCGATGCTCTAGGTCCACGTGGAGGCTTAATTGACGACTGTAAAAAACATTTAAAACGATTTATAAGTAATTAGCGACCCGCCCTTGCTTCGCTTCGGAAACTGTATTTTATTATTGATTTCTCCACTATTTAATGGATGTTATTATACATATAAACCTTCCTCTTCAATCGCTCCGTCTATTAAAAAAACCGCTCAAAATCCGTTGCGTAGTTTTAAAGATTTAAGCATACATAGGGACAGAGAAAGCGACTTTGTTTTATACTATGTAGTGATAGTAAATAAGTGGGAGAGCAAATAAGGCACGATCATCCGACCCCAATTTTTGTCTTCACGGTCTTCTCGGTACCAGAGATTGACTTATATACGTTTTTATAATATATGCTGGTGGTAGGACGTCTTGTGAGTACGGGTAGGTACCACCGCCCCGCCTATTTCCGCCGTGAAGCAGTAATGCGTTTCGGTTCGAAGGGCGGGGCAGCCGTTTTACTGTTAAAGTGGGACCTTACAACTCATGTCTAAAGGTGGGTGGCGGCATTTACATTTTTTATGTCTACGGGCTCCGATAACAACTTAACACCCGGCGGGCTGTGAGCTCGTCCACCCATCTAAGCGTAATAAAAAAACGCGTTATTTTTGGAGTTAGTGGTTACTGGAGCTTATAGATATCGTTAACGTAGCAGCGCAGGACCGATCGTTCGTCGACCGGCGAGGCTTGGGGGAGGCCTATGTCTAACATAGACGTCTGTGAGCTGATAGAAGAGCACTCTTACCGGCAGTCAAAGTTTTCGCCGCAAATTTGACAAACGGCGCCCGCACCAAAGGGGCTTTTGGATGTGGCCTCCGAGCCGGACAACGACGACCAACGACCAGCGCCTCGTCGCGGCAGATTGACGCAGCTCACGGTTTTCTTATCGGATGCATCCGAACAATCAGCGGTCGTGTCCAAAGTGACCGTTTTCGAACGATTAGATTCGAGGTTGCATTCAGAGCAACGACCCTTCCCGATATCCGTCAAAACTTTCTCGGGATCGATGATTTTGTCGAAAAACGAAACTAGCTTCTTCAGTTTCTCGTCTGGAAAATCGCATTGCGTCAAACTCGGATCGGTCTGGGTGTCGCTGGCGATTTTCAATGATTCAGGCGTCGGGCAGTCCTTCGACGCGCCCAGTTTCGTGATGCCAATGTGCTCGTTCTCGTGAACGCATTTGTCGCGTTCCCGCTCAAAGCCTTCGTGACAGTAATGACAAACGAATTTACGATCGGCGAAGTGGCAAAGGTTTAGGTGGTCGTTGTAGTTTATTATGCCTGAAAAAGTAAAATGCCACTTAACCCTTTGACTACCGTGTGCCGTACGCGGCGCACTGAAGTAATAATGTCGACTTCTGTTATTGGATTACTTAACTTTGCCTTTCGTTTTTTTATTTTTACTGGTGGTAGGACCTCTTGTGAGTCCGCGCGGGTAGGTACCACCACCTCGCCTATTTCTGCCGTGAAACAGTAATGCGTTTTGGTTTGAAGGGTGGGGTAGCCGTTTAACTATACTGAGACCTTAGAACTTATATCTCAAGGTGGGTGGCGCGTTTACGTAGTAGATGTCTATGGGATTCAGTAACCACTTAACACCAGGTGGGCTGTGACCTCGTCCATCCATTAAAGAAATTAAAAAACAAAATATTTTTTGGCTTTTAGATCTCTGATAAATAGATTCATGCTTAGTATCTTCGGATTCGTCTTTCCCAGAGTCTACTAGATATCCCTGGCCTTAATAAGAAGATCGAAGGGAGAAATCGACATAATCACTTCATTGCGCCACGTAGGGCACGGGTGACCTACACAGCAGTCATTGGGTTAAGTAACGTGGAAAGTAATTTGAAAAAAAAAACCGGCGCTTAATTTTTTGCATTTCAATTAGTTTGATTTTTTTCTTTCTATTCTAGTAACCTGGGGTTATTCTATATCACCGAGCAATTAAGTGAGCTCACAGGGCCCTAACCTGGCGAATTGCTAACACAGGTCTAGTAATAGCAAGAGCAGTGCTTTACAGAATCTGCCATCGGATCAGAAACGCGACCGATTGAGAAGATCCGGCAAGAAACTCAGTGGGCTGTGTCTGATGGTTAATTTACTCGTCGAACCCTTCGTCGCAAGCGACGGGTTCGACGAGAATTAGTTTGATAGGCATTCGTATAGTATAATTAGGAATCGTAAGATCTCTTGTATCATGATGATTGACAGAATTTACGTTTTTATTAAAATCTATGACCTTCGGCAACCACTTGATACTAGGTTGGCATCAAATTCCTTTGTTTGCTAATTCATTCGTTAACAACAAAGTTATTAACATCAAAACTTACGGTTTACATCTAGACATTTTAACTTTGTGCTTAACTTTTGTAAATGAAAGACATGGTTAAATAATATTCAAACTCCAAGATGCTACTGAAATAAAAAAGTTCCGTACCGTAAAACATCATCTTGCATCCCACTATTGGGCACTGTCTCGCAGTTGTGTCCATCAGACAACTCCTCTGCACAGACTGCACGAAATTCAATATGATCGGGTCCCTGGCGCTCCTCAATGCCCCATCTGACTGGATCTTCTTTGGTCGTCTCAATCTCCTAAACTGAAAACCTTTCCTCCGCCTCTTCTCGTAGTAATTGTGAGAAATATTATTGTCGCTCGCCGCGTAAATATGGCCACTGGGCGTCACGTAATTCGCGTATAGCTTGTCGCTTCTAATTCCGAATAGTCTTTGAACGAAGCACTGAAAGCGCGTAGGTTTCCGTGGCTCTTGAATCAAATAAGGCACAGCACGCAGTGGCTCTTCTGTATGCGGAACATATTCTTTATCTAGAACGATATTATCGACGGAGCGAGTCGTGCATTTATCGATTTTGGGAATAGTCGATTTACTATCGAAATTGACCAGCGAGCATTGGGTCATTTTTAGATCTCTCATCACTGCTGTGGCCACAGATTCCTTGTCTGCCTCGATTAATTCATCTCCGTTTGTCGTCTCTGCTGTACCAGCGCAGGCGTCGGTTTTGGTGCGAAAAGATCTCTTTTTCCTGATCGTTTCTTCTTCTTGTGTAGCTTCAGGCAGGATCCCGATGACGCTGGCATCATAAATTTGGAATAGTTTCTTCAAGCATTTATATTTGGCTTTTAAAACTTCATGTTTTTTTTTCGGTACCCATTTTTTGTGCAAATTATCGTCTTCGTTCTCTTGATCCTCAGGAATACTGGTTAGAGCGGCTTTACGTTTGTAATGCATCGATTTCACTTTGTATCCTTTTAATGAACAAACAATTTTGACAACGAAATAGAATAGCAAGCTAACGATTATTTCGAAATTTTGATATAATATCATAACGTCCGATTACCGAATTTGTAATTTTGTTTAAATAAATTCTCCCAATAATCGAGTGCATAGTGTAGTGACATTTTGAATGAGGTCTGTCAAATACGAACGTCTGACAGAATAATTTGTTTATGTAAGATATGAGAATTTTCTTTTTCGGCCAGCTATCTTCGTACGGAGGGCAGAAGTAAAGAGTACACTCTCTGTATGTGAAAAAAACGTAGAACGCGACCATTTAGGGCGGCGACGCCATGGCGAATGATGCAATTTCAAAGATGGCGCCTAATGTTATTATGCAAAATTTACAACACGGCACACACTCCATTTAAAACTGCCACTCATATCACTCGATACATTAGCGTGTGTTTCAGTCGTTTTTTGGGTTGTAATTTGTTGCTTTTTCAAATTTTGTCTCTCGTATAAGACATCTTCCTGACCTCTACTCTCCATGCATCTTTCATAATTATCGTATTTAATTTCAATCTGACCGCTGCTATATTAGCATTGACCGCATTTATTAGACGCATTAACACCATATATAAGAAAATAAAACCAAAAGAATCAAATTAACGAAACATATATTACTACACAATTACATATATTTACAATGAACTAAAAATAAATTAAATAACACACATATTATGTTTAATATAAAAAAAAACTAATACTATTTAAGTAAAGGCTAATAAGTGGTACGTATTTTTTTTCTTATTACGTTAATTATTACGTCAGATGTGTGATGGATACTTAACAATGGCTAGTTATCAATATAATGTTTGATACTTCGTTCCTTTTTTGTTTTTTTTCCCTAGAACTCTTAATTTTATTTTAATTTTATTGTCAATAGCCAAAGCTATGTATATTATTACGGGTTTGCTAAGTGCATATATCATTTAGATTGCAATCCAGATTAGATTTAGGTACTATTTTTACGATTTAATATAGTTAATATGTAATGTACTGTAATGATTGCGATTAGTTTTGTGTCTCAATAAATAAATAAAAAACTTACCTTACTCTTACTTATTCTAAAAATTATCGGTTCATTTATATTTTACTGATGGTAGGACGTCTTGTGAGTCCGCACGGGTAGGTACCACCGCCCCGCCTATTTCTGCCGTGAAGCAGTAATGCGTTTCGGTTTGAAGGATGTGGCAGCCATTGTAACTATACAGAGACCTTAACCTCATATCTCAAGGTGGGTGGCGGCAAATTCCCTTGTAGATGTCTATGGGCTCCAGTAAACACTTAACACCAGGTGGGCTCATAGCTCGACCACCCATTTAAGCAATAAAATCAAAATAAAAAAAAGATATTGACATGAAATTCACCAGAAATTAGACGCATCTTTTATCTCCTTTAAACGCGTATGCAACGGATACAATAGGCGTCCAGCCTTATAAATAAACGTCATCAAACGAACTCTACTTTTCTTCTTCTCTTATGCTTCTTTCTTCTAGTATTTCTCTTAATATCAAATAAATGCTCCGTCCGGCATGAGTAGCGCTGAAAATGAGAACACGATATCACTTGAAGCAAACCAAAGACCTTACATAATATATAGGTAGCTTTTTTTCCCTTTTTGCTTTGTACCTATGCTGATAGCCTTGAGAGGCTATATCAGCCCCTCCTTGACGCGTAGGTGAGCTCACGGGGCTCAAACCGGTTGTGTTTCCAACACTGGCCCTAGCAAGAGCAGTGCTTCGCAGAATCTACCACCGGATCGGAAACGCGACCCACTGAGAAGATCCGGCGAGAAACTCAGTGGGCTGTGTCTATGGGTTAATTTACTCGGACAGTGACCGGCGCTTGTGGTACCTAAAAGCACCGTTAATGGATCGGGAGGATCCATCCGCCATCCGCGCAGCCGAAGATAGGCAGGGCTGGCGCAGGATAGTCCAGGAAAAGTTATTAAAAAGGCAATGACCCTCAGCACTGAGGATTATCGAGGCAAGGGCGAGCACAATCTTCAAACATAGGCGACTCTTTTGAAGCCCCTTGTTAACATTTAAAGAGTGCTGTAGAAGGAAGGTCATACCTGTCCCACAAGATGACCCAGACAGGCAGGGCTGGCGCAGGATAGTCCAAGAAATGTTATTAAAAAAGGCAATAAGCATTGAGGATTATCGACGCAAGGACAAGCACAATCTTCAAACATAGGCGACTCTTTTAAAGCCCCTTGTTAACATTTAAAGAATACTGTGGAAGGAAGGTCATACCTGTCTCACAAGGCGACCCAGATAGGCAGGGCTGGCGCAGGATAGTCCAAGAAATGTTATTAAAAAAGGCAATAACCATAAGCATTGAGGATTATCGACGCAAGGATGAGCACAATCTTGAAACATAGGCGATTCTTTTGAAGCCCCTTGTTAACATTTAAAGAATACCGTGGTAGGGAGTTCATACCTCTCCCTCAAGGAATCTTCACAAGGAAACTAGAAAAACATCCTCAATCTCCTCTAAACCTAGACCTGGGCTTTGGATTGAGCGCGTTAGTGGACTTTCGTCTTTAGGTTCACACTGTGGTCTCGATCCTCAGCGTTGACAAGAAAAAGAGAAAGAGGAATAAATGAGAGAAATTAAATTAAAACTCACCAGCTATACAAGCGGTCATGAAGCATATCCCGCAACCAGCGAAGAAAGCCCTCAACGCGATCTAGAAACGATAAAAGATTACATAACTCTTGTGAGTCACAGATCACTATTGTAACCCCGCACGGATAGGTACCACCGCCCTGCCTATTTCTGCCGTGAAGCAGTAATGCGTTTCGGTTTGAAGGGCGGGGCAGCCGTTGTAACTATACTGAGACCTTAGAACTTATATCTCTAGGTGGGTGCCGGCATTTACGTTGTAGATGTCTATGGGCTCCGGTAACCACTTAACACTAAGAGGGCCGTAAGCTCGTTCACCCACTTAAGCACAAAAAAATCAATTATTAAATATATGTTTTCATTTAATTGTCCAAAAGTATGTACTGCAGGCTTTTTTCCTTACTAATTACCAGTAACCTGGTAAGTCTATACTGATTTCATAGAACTGGCAGGCGAGCTCATGTGGCTTCGCGTTCTATTCAATGTGTCACCACAGAAGTCTGTTTAATAGAGACTGGGGAATTTATCAGAGCATCCGTAGCGTCGTAGTAGTAGTCGGTTGTATTTATTTATTTAACATTAGTTACTTATAGCCTTTCGCTGAACACTGATTTAGGTTTTTTTTTTTATTGCTTAGATGGGTGGACGAGCTCACAGCCCACCTGGTGTTAAGTGGTTACTGGAGCCCATAGACATCTACAACGTAAATGCGCCACCCACCTCGAGATATAAGTTCTAAGGTCTCAGTACGGTTACAACGGCTACCCCACCCTTCGAACCGAAACGCATTACTGCTTCACGGCGGAAATAGGCGGGGTGGTGGTACCTACCCGTGCAAACTCCCAAGAGGTCCTACCACCAGTGATTACGCAAATTATATATTTGCGGGTTTGATTTTTATTACACGATGTTATTTCTTCACCGTGGAAGTCAATCGTGAACATTTGTTGAGTACGTATTTCATTAGAAAAATTGGTACCCGCCTGCGGGATTCGAACACCGGTGCATCGCTACATACGAATGCACGACCGGACGTCTTATCCTTTAGGCCACGACGACTTTATTATACAATACTAGCGACCCGCCCTCGCTTCGCTTCGGGAACTGTAATTTATTATTAATTTCTCCACTATTTCTTCTTTTTAGTCGAATACTTCATTGCTGAAGGTCGTGTCCTTGAAAGCCCTTCGTGGCTCTTTGTACCCTCAGTTTCCATTTGCTTCGGTTTTCGGCTTCTCTCAGGGCGTTCGAAACAGAGAGTCCAGTGAGCGCAGTTATCTGATCCGACCAACGGTATGGTGGCCGGCCGGCGGGTCTTTTCCCTTCTACCTTCTTATCACTAATGGATGTTATTATACATATAAACCTTCCTCTTCAATCACTCTATCTATTAAAAAAACCGCATCAAAATCCGTTGCGTAGTTTTAAAGATTTAAGCATACATAGGGACAGATATAGGGACAGAGAAAGCGACTTTGTTTTATACTATGTAGTGATTTAATGTGACTGTATTACCTGATGAGTTGTGTGCGACTGACTTAATATACAATGGCTCGATACATTGTTAACCATACTACACCTATGATAAGCTAACTACAGGTGGCACAAACACCATCCCCACTCCATAAGTATAGTCATCACTTCAGTACACGAGATGCAAAATCAACTAGTAACTGTGTGCTTATTGCGAGTTTTTAAACGTTCTCGATAGCGTAAGAGTTAACTCAAATTTGTATGCAGCTGGAACAGCGCCCCTAGCGGCAAACGTAGGTAAACGTTCCAAATCTGAGTTAACTTTTACGCTATCGAAAACGTTAAGCAACTCGCAATAAGAACACTGGTACTGTTTATATCTTTTACGTATATCGACTGATATCGCAATGAATACTCGGCGGTAGTCAGCGTCTTGTTTTGCTGATGTCCATGGGCGACGGTCGCTACTCGGCAACACGTGAGCCTTGCAGAGTGGTGGAGTGATAGCAGATTCGTTATCACTCTGGTATGAGGAACTCACACTGGACAATGTCTCCCGCTGGTTTGGCGCCATGGCTGCTATGGCTCCGATCATGATCCCCGCTGACCCTGGGTTGGTGAAGCCGCATAGAGCATACGTCGCTATCAGCTCAGCTCGAGGCTGAAGATAATTAATTAATCATAAATCTACACATCTAGGGACAAAAAGCTATTTGGTTTCGCGACATTTACAGCTTAGATGGGTGGAAGAGCTCACAGCCCACCTGGTGTTAAGTGGTTACTGGAGCCCATAGACATCTACAACGTAAATCTTTTACTGGCGGTAGGACCTCTTGTGAGTCCGCACGGATAGGGTACCACCACCCTGTCTATTTCTGCCGTGAAGCAGTAATGCGTTTCGGTTTGAAGGGTGGGGCAGCCGTTGTAACTATACTTGAGACCTTAGAACTTATATCTCAAGGTGGGTGGCGCATTTACGTTGTAAATGTCTATGGGCTTCAGTAACCACTTAACATCAGGTGGGCAGTGACCTCGTCCACCAATCTAAGGAATAAAAAGAAAACAATTAAAGTATTTATTAGGCATAATTAAAAAACTATTAGCATTCTGCACTTCTCTATATTCTCTATAAGTGTGGGAAATTTCATACTCCTCCGTCCGCGCAATTTTCGTAAAAAGGGATACAAAGTTTTTGCTTCACGTATTAATATATAGATAACGAAGGGTTTTTAAACAGCCGAATTATAAAATGTATTTCGGGTTAATTTATCACAGCATTTATGGAAATCGTCACTTAAAGGATACTAGAGATCCCGCAGTAGTCGAAATTCGACTATAGTTAATTGGAATTGTAAGTTTTTACACTGTTATGATTGTATTTTATACTTCTATAATCACAAATTTCGCCAAGACTACACTATAAAAAATATTAACAAAGGCAAACAATATTTAATCTCAATTTGACAACAGACGTCAAGAACAAAAGTTTGACAATAAATAGTATGCATGCGTGTGTGCGTCAAATACATGGTATATAGTGTGTGTAATGTTTTCTTTATTGATTTAATGTATCTTTTATGCATTATTTTAAAAAAATATTAGCATTATGCACTTCTTCTCTATATTCTCTATAGGTGTGGAAAATTTCATACTCCTCCGTCCGCGCAATTTTCGTAAAAAGGGATACAAAGTTCTTGCTTCACGTATTAATAAAGGATATTTCGTCGTGAGGAACTAAATCTACAGTAGGCGCGCGAGTTCATGTCCATCCTTAGGAATTTAAATATAGTCATGTCGATAATAACTACCGATTTAGTCAACAGCTTTCAATTTGGTTTAATGTAATTCGGTCATTTTGCAAATTATAAAATAAATGTGATAAGCAATTACTTATTTATCTCTAATAGAGAACTATATTTTTTAAATTCCAATTCAATTACTATCAGATGAAAAGGCAACCGACAGATCAGAGTCCGAATTAGTGTAGGTTTTTTTTCTACCTGAACTTGTTGGAAGCGGAGTAGTCATGGTTTAATCACCATGAAATAACACAATAACTTTAGCGGAAATTTTCGGTATCTATAAGCACGCGTCACAACTGTCAAAGACAACACTAGACGTCAGACAAACGCGGGGGGCGGGCGGAGACGGGGCGAGCTTCCCCCCGCGCGTCGCCTCTGGCCCCGATGGACATGAACTCGCGCGTATTCTGTACAGCTACATTACCGATAGGAGACCATCCTTCAGCATCTCCCCCATCCTCTGATACGCAACGAACTCATTCACAATGGTCTTCAGGCCGATTAACGACCCGACCAGCTCGCACTCCTCCCAAGGTACACCTGAAAATAACATCTCCTAAGTTCCGTGCTAGCTTAATCTCGCTTTTATCATTATGGGATTCGTTTGCATATACCGATTTCTCGTAAAGCAGTAAAAAAAAGTATTTGCAATATTTTTTTTAATGTAACAAAAACATCGGTCGTGAAGCAAATGAGAACTTTACCTGTTCTGCCCTAGCCTGCAAATAGACTGCACAACTCACCCATGACGTAGCAGAGCGGAATGAAGACTTTGCCCATGACCCACTCCAAGTTGAGCTCCGGAAAGCCCAGTAGACCGCCGCAATACCCGAACACACCATTTACGAAGGCCACAAAAGCGACAAACGCCACAATATTGGCTATTATGTTCAGAATCAGTGCGATACCATTCGTGGCGCCGCGGGTCGCAGCCGACAAAACGGATTGATCCTCGCTAAAACAAAACAAACGGGTATTGACACGTCGAACGCCATATGACAAAATTAATAACTCCTGAAGTCGTCGTGGCCTAAGAGATAAGACGTCCGGTGAATTCGTGTTGAGCGATGCACCGGTATTCGAATCCCAGGCGGGTACCAATTTTTCTAATGAATTTACGTACTCAACAAATGTTCACGATTGACTTCCGTGGTGAAGGAATAACATCGTGTAATAAAAGTGAAACCCGCAAAATTATAATTTGCGTAATTACTGGTGGTAGGACCTCTTGTGAGTCCGCGCGGGTAGGTACCACCGCCCCTTTTTCTGCCTATTTCTGCCGCGAAGCAGTAATGCGTTTCGGTTTGAAGGGTGGGGCAGCCGTTGTAACTATACTGAGATCTTAGAACTTATATCTCAAGGTGGGTGGCCAATTTACGTTGTAGATGTCTATGGGCTCCAGTAACCATTTAAGACCAGGTGGGCTGTGAGCTCGTCCACCCATCCATTTTTTGCCTTTAAAAACAAGGTTGTCAGTCTGAAGGCTGAGAGGAGATAGCACATAAATTGCGTACTCAACATAATGTCCTACCTGACGACCGGCTGTATATTATCGACGGTCGTGAGCGATCTTTTTGTCTCCGGCATCAACAGCTTCGCGTAGCACACCGCGGCCGGGGCGGACATCACGCTAGCCGTGACGAGATGCGTCGCTTTGGCCCCGAAATTAATATACGTCGCCAAGATTGTGCCTGTTCAATCGAAAATGTATATCAGTTCTTCGACATACCAAGGCGAATCATGATACCGAAAAGCACCAAAGGCCGAATAGAGGTTCCTCCTAGTTGCGTCAAAAATCCTCAATGCTTGAGGGTCGTGGCCTCATAAGGCTTTCTTGGGAAAATACATGGGGTCCCGCATCCTTCTACGGCAATGCTTTTGGAAGAAATTTGTTTTTTCGAGGCTGCTGAAACCTTATTTAGGTCTGGCTAATTAACCGCCGCCAGGCATTTGGCGTTGAATAGCGGTTATTTCGAACAAATTGCATTTGTTGTTGGGCCATTTATGGTGTTTATGCCAATTGGAACTTAAGATAATTGGGCCAAATTAGTTGAGCTTTAAAAGACATACCAATGTGCCTATTCTGAACAGAAAGGCTAAAAAGATTAGGTGAATCGAGGCTATTCTGGACATTTTCGGTAGGTAGGTTGTATTCTGGTCGGAATTTTTCGGTAGGCAGCGGCTTGGCTCTGCCCCTGGCATTGTTGACGTCTATGGGCGACGGTACCCACTCACCATCACGTGGGCCGTATTAAATTTACTAAACTTTAACACGCACGATAGATAAAAGCAGCCAACTTATCGGACACTACTAAAAATGATGTGCTTCAAGCAAATTTTCTTTAACATTAGCTGCTGTTAGTAGTGTAGTAATCGGTGTGCGAAAACTGCTTTCTCATTCTTGGGATGAATTTAGACATATGTGCTGCTGTTAGGCGGATTACTATTAGTCCGGAGGCTTCGTCGCTGTACACGGATAGATGGAGAACCTCGAGGCCTCAGCCGGCAAGAGAGTGTTTGCTAACAAATACCCGAACGCCTCTGAAGAAGTCCTAATATATTTTGTATTTACCGCCGGATCACAATCGTAACTCAGTGGACTGATGGTATTGCATAGACAGGGTTCCCACGTGAGCCAATTTCTAAATTAATTTGACGCCTCAAAGTTGGTAAAGATTGCGTTAAAATGTTCTGTTACACATACACAGGCCCAGCAACGAAAAGCGTGTTACAAGAAGGCTTTTGTTGAGACGGACATATTTTGTTTTCTCTCCACCATGATGGGTCTAACCATTCAAAGTTTGCTATAAAGTGTGTATAGTGATAATTACTTGCCCGATACGGTGGCGAAACCCGAAGCCATCACGACGTGCATCTCCGAAGGCGTCAGCAAAGCTAGATACGGTTTCACCAGCAGGACTGATTCGGTCTGTTAGAAATTAATTTTTATCTCTAGAGCCGCTAATTTTAATTAATTGCTTTAAATCAGAAGAGATTTATGTGTATTGTGATAAAAGCTGCCAGCACTCCATAACGTTAAGTGATGACTGGCATAGCTAAGTGCCTTAGCAACTAGTCCAATAATTTGTTGGAGTTCTTACTAAAAACCTTCCGTTTATTACGACCCATGTTGACCGAATACGGGCGCATAGATCACCGAACCCTTCCAATGGGAATTTCGTATGCATTTTTCCTGGTTTCCTAACCCAGATACATGCACTTCTACCGAATTTGACCATAAATAAATTCAAGATATCTTGAAAAAACAACATTAGCGAAATTCTTCGGAACAGAATTAGTTGAAAAGTCCGTCGAGCGTTTTTGACTTGGTGCAAAGCGGTTACAAAAAGCCTTTAAACATTACAACATGAATGCCAGACATCTTCAGACGTGAGGTCAGAGTTTTAATAGTATTACATAGCATCTTCCCACTCTTCGAAAACGCAAAACTGGTGATGCCTCCCCGTGGGGACTGACAATACGCCCTACCACCAACAGAGGTCAGTTAATGTTAATATTAAGAGGTAACCCTAAGATATCAGCCCGTTCTCTGATAATACTTACCATTCCAAGAAAGACATTTCCAATGGCGATAACACTCTCGACCACCGTGGTGCTGGTGGCGGCTCGCAACACCCTCCCCAGGGTCAGACAGAACGCCTGCAGGGCGCCCCAAAAGAACAATATCTCCACTAACATGCTGAAGAAGAAGATCACTGGCAGAGACTGAAAGAAAACAACGCTGTACCTTAATTTAACAACCTCAAAGCTCACTTTAGATTGTCTATGTTATCGATTTTAGCTTTATCTCTTCTCCATATTATTCAAATACAGCAGGGCTACAAACACCAAGCATTTCCAATTGGTCTCTGTTTGCTAACTGAGTTCAGCGTCTTGCAATAAAACCCATGGCTAATAGCCCTAAAACCCAATAATTCTCGGTATAGAAAGGACGTGAACCGTCTCAGCAGCACCAAGTCCGAAGTTTCAATTTCCCATCTCAAAAAGACTGCTACCTACAAAATTGACACCCGAAACATTACTCACGCTAAAAGCAAACACTCCTTCTTCTCTGACCAGCAGATTGCCAAACGCGAAGGCGGCACCTTCCTGGCCGTATAGCAGGAATGTCGCCACCTTGAAGATATGACGGTTGTTATATTTGTACTGTAGAACTGAGACTGATGTCTGAAGGTGGGTTTTATATTGCTTAGATAACTGGACCGATACAAAGCCCACCTGTTTTTTTTTTGTTTTTTATTGCCCTTGTAGGCATACGAGCATACCTGATGGGTGAGTGCTTACCGTCGCCCATGGATTTCAGCAATGCCAGGGCAGAGCCAAACCGCTGCCTACCGCTTAATACTCCACAAGCCTCGTTTGAAGAAGGACATGTCATAGCGCTCGGGAAACACCGTAGAGCGGAGCTCATTCCAAAGCCGGATGGTACGTGACAAAAAAGATCTCTGGACACGTACTATCAATGAACACAGTGGCTCCAGGTAATATGGATGAACTCTACTCCGGTGGGGGGCGGTGCAATGGTAAAAACGAGATGATGATATCATCTCAAAGAATTCTTCAGGGCACTCCCCATGGAACATACGGTAAAAAATACAGAGAAAGCCGCAGCCCAAAAGCATCAACAATCCAAATGCCACCACTTGCGACACGCGGCTACAAAGTATTACTGCTTCACGGTAGAAACAGGCAGAGCGGTGTTACCTACCCGTGCGGACTCATAAGAGGTGCTACCACCAGTAAAAAACAAAAACATTGGAGCATTAACTAGCACCAACTAGTTTGCTGAATGAAAAATCCTAAAAGAAGCATTAAGCAGTCAAAGATACCTTATCGGAAATGCAGTGGAGAGCAAGCCTTCCATGGTCCCACCTGATGAAGACCAGGCCAAACACGAACTGCAACAGGAGCCCGGATAAGACGGTGCGCCATTTCACTCGGCCGGGATGCGAAGAGAATATAAACCCTAAAACGAATAGTGTTATTATTAGCTATATCTCCAATCGTGATTCTCCTCTCCGAGGGTCGCGACAACCATCATCCATGATTTTCGTCCTCACGATGCTGTGCCGTCTTCGATTGTTTGTAGATGGTGGTAGGACCTCTTGTGAGTCCGCGCGGGTGGGTACCACCGCCCTGCCTATTTCTGCGGTGAAGCAGTAATGCGTTTCGGTTTGAAGGGTAGGGCAGCCGTTGTAACTTACTTGAGACCTTAGAACTTATATCTCAAGGTGGGTGGCGCATTTACGTTGTGGATGTCTATGGGCTCCAGTAACCACTTAACACCTGGTGGGCTGTGAGTTCGCCCACCCATCTAAGCAATAAAAAAATAAATAAAAAAAGATGGTTGTAGACGATAGAATCAAATGTGGTGTGAATCTGGCCAGATCTACACAGTAACCAAGATGGCCCCCGTCTTTTCTGACAATGTGTCCGTATTTCACTGGTAGTAGGACCTCATGAGTCCGCGCGGGTAGATACCACCGACCTGCCTATTTCTGCCGTGAAGCAGTAATGCGCTTCGGTTTGAAGGACGGAGCAGCCGTTGTAACTATACCGAGACCTTAGAACATATATCTCAAGGTGGGTGGCGCATTTACGTTGTAGATGTCTATGGTCTCCAGTAACCACTTAACACCAGTGATCTGTGAGCTCGTCCAACCATCTAAGCAATAAATAAATAAAAAGTATTATTATAGGATTTGCTTGAGCCAAAACCTGGAGAGCCTTGTTTTAATTTTAGTTTCGCGAAAATAGTTCTATTGCTCATTAGCTATGAAGAAAGTAATTCGTGTACCAATTAAAGACAGGGATGACTTCCGATATCATACTACTAACCTAATCCCATGAGTAGAAACAGTCCGAGCAAGGATATAAGCCGTTCGGGTGTGTCTGTCGCGTCTAAGACCAAGAAGACCAGGATTCCACCGAGCACCAGCAAGCAGAAAGACCAGCGGAACAAACTGTAACATTAGCAAATATTAATTATTACTTAGGTTCGTTTGCCGTTTTTAATACGCTTTTATTAGCTTCAGACGTATGAATGTTTGTATGTAAAGGAATCTTTGAACATGATTTTGACCCCCTCAAAACGTTGGATTAACTCGAAATTTGGTATACTAATTAAGGACCGATGACAATACAATATATAAAAAAAATTGAAAAAATCGAAATTCAACTAAAATATGAAAAATAAATAATAGCTTAAAAAACTAACAAAATACACTTTTATAGAAAATCCAACTAAAAAATAGAAAATAAATTTTAATAAATTTGAATTAAAAATAGTGTAAGAAAAATGATTTTATTGTAAAAAAGCGCGGGGTGCAGGGTATCAGTAGTCTCGGCGGAGCAATACGGCTTCAGAGAGGGCCGCTCGACTATCGACGCAATTCTGCGCGTGCGGGCCCTCTCCGATGAAGCCGTATCCCGGGGCGGGGTGGCGATGGCGTTATCCTTAGATGTAAGGAACGCCTTCAACACCCTGCCCTGGTCGGTGATCGCGGGGGCGCTGGAGTATCACGGCGTCCCCGCATACCTCCGCCGANGACCTCGGAGGGGATCGGACGTCGGGTGTAAGAGTGCAGAGGAGTCGTTTAGTGGGTGGGCTCTAAAATCCTTGGGCCCGCGGTCTGCTCACAACACCATGCAGATCGTTGAGTCTCACATACCCCGCGCGCCCCTTTTGCGCGGGGACCTCGTAGGAGGTTCGGCCCTCTACCCGAAAAAAAAAAAAAAAAAAAAAAAGGGTATCAGTAGTCATAAATATTATATGGGTAGAAGGGTTATTTTGATAATATCCTGAAAAGCTGGATTCTATAAAAGCGTATTTTGTTAGTTTTTTTAAACTATTATTTATTACTAACTAATTATTTGTTGAGGACTTGTCTCTCCGTGTGTAAATACGAAATTCACCTTTTAACTTACGGTACTGTGAATTTAAAAGCGCCATCTGTCGATGAATAGTAGCACTAGCGAATAGCGCAAAACCTCGTCGAGTAGAGAATAGAACAATAAAACTATTGAGCCGTTACCAGAAATGTTTCGAGAACGTTCGTGAATGTTACAAATTCTATTTGTATGTATGTAGGTGGCGCTAGGACGTCTAGTGAGTCCGCACGGGTAGGTACCACGACCCTGCCTATTTCTGCCGTGAAGCAGTAATGCGTTTTGGTTTGAAGGGCGGCGCAGCCGTTGTACTGTTAAAACTGAGACCTTAGAACGCAGGTCTCGAGGTGGGTGGCGGCATTTACGTTGTAGATGTCTATGGGCTCCGGTAGTAACTTAACACTAGGTGGGCTGTGGGCTCGTCCACCCAAAACAATAAAAAAGTGTAACACAAATGACAGCAGCAGAAGACAAAAAAAGAATGAAAAAATTGGAGGGTAGTCAGTTGCTGCCCAAAAAGTTGACTAAAATAAGAATCAGCAGCAATATCGCACCAGAGGCCACTTTTCCTGCCCACAACAATGCCAGCATATAGATATACTTAAGATAGATAGATTCTTCTGTTTCTCGTTCCTAGCGTTTTCCTGGTGTAATGTCAGGACCTACTTTCCTATTTAAGCTCCTCCACTTTTCCCGGTCTTCGGCATCATGGCTGAGGCTATTCTCCTCCATATCCACCTTTACCACATCCTTTATATTTTCACATAATATTATTACAACAATTAAAAATTACTTAACTAAACAGGATAAAAAAAATCCACCAAACTCACGCATATTCCCAGAGCTTTAAAGCCACACGTTCGGCTTTATTCCAGACGTTAGCTTCGAACCAGTCCCCGAAGTACCTCTTGACCACCAAGTAATATATGACAAAGAAGTAGACTATTGACAGCAAGGCTATCAAGCTACCGAAGCCTTCGCACAGCATCAACGGTTGGTTATCTAGAAAACGAATAAGCTAAGTCATCCGTGACTGTTTCGGGCGTGGGCTGTATTCTGTGCTAGTGTGGCGATCCCGAGTGCGACCCTGCACTGAATAAGGCCCTGCGCTCGAGCATCAGTCTAGAATCTTCGACGGTACTCGCCAGTGATTTTGCTCGAACCTATCCCATGATTTGCAAGCGAAGTAAATTGTCCCTTCGTAATAAGGTGACACTCTACAAAACTTGTACACGTCCGGTCGTGACCTATGCAAGTGTAGTGTTCGCTCACGCGGCCCGCACTAACTTGAAACCCCTTCAAGTCATTCAATCACGTTTTTGCAGGATAGCCGTCGGAGCCCCATGGTTCCTAAGGAATGTGGATATGCGTAGAAGCATCCCAAGAGCATATTATTATGTCAGCGTAACCGGGCGAGTAGATGAGCTCACGGGGCTCCAACCGAGAGTGTTGCTAACACGAACCCTAGCAAGAGCCGTGATTCGCAGAATCTACCACCGGATCGGAAACGCGACCCACTGAGAAGACTAAGCGAAAAACTCAGTGGTTTTTTTTTTCCTACCTAAGCTGGTAGCCTTGAGAGGCTATTCCAGCGTAACCGTAACTAGTAGGTGAGCTCACGGGGCTCAAACCTGACAACGTTGCTAACACGAACCCTAGCAAGAGCCGTGCTTCGCAGAATCTACCACCGGATCGGAACGTGACCCACTGAGAAGATCCGGCGAGAAACTCCAGTAGGCTGTCTGTGGGTTAATTTACTCGTCGAGCCCTTCGCCGCAAGCGACGGGTTCGACGAGAACGATAACCAGTGCTTGAGGTACCACGTAGGAAAAGCACCGTTAGTGGATCGGGAGGATCCGAAATGACGTGTTTGGGGCGACGTCGACTGCGTTTCATTCTGTTCGCAGGATCATCATCATCAGCCTGCGGCAGTCCACTGCTGGACATAGGCCTCCCCCAAAGCTCGCCACTGAACCCGATGTTCGCAGGATCGGATATGTAATTTCCGGCGGCCACGATGAGAGGGTTCTCGTATCGTGCCGCTTTATCGAAGTGGTCGAAAACAAATAAACTAATCTCGTATATATATACACAATATGTACATATACACGATGACCATAAACAAAGCCGCAAATTAGTTTTAGTTAAGTCTACGATTTGTAGCTCCTTGTCTGTGGTTTTTAGATGCACTAGCGAGACTCAGCCTGAGAGTACATGCTAACAAAAGCCCTAGTAAGGGCAGTGCTTCACTGGATTTACCACCGAATCGGAATCGCTACCTACTGAGAAGATCCAGCGAGAACCTCAGCGGATTGTGTCTATGGGCTAGTTCGTTGAACTCTTTGTCTTAATCAATAAATTCGACGAGGGCAGTGACCGGTGCTTGAAGAGCTTAAAAGCAACGAGAATAAATTCGGTCCAGAGTTAAGTACCCAGAGCACACAGGCTTTTAAAGACCAGATAACTTCCCTGTGCCGCGAATCCACTCCCCGCGATTAGTCATTAATAGTGTTTTTTTTTATTGCTTAGATGGGTGGATGAGCTCACAGCCCACCTGGTGTTAAGTGGTTACTGGAGCCCATAGACATCTATAACGTAAATGCGCCACCCATCTCGAGACATGAGTTCTAAGGTCTCAGTTTTAACAGTACAACGGCTGCCCCGTCCTTCATACCGAAATGCATTACTGCTTCANGACGACGACAAGGAGGAGGCGGAGAGCTCAAATCGGACGTATCTGTGGTCCGAGAGCGTCTCCGCCCCCTCGAGTACGCGCCAGCCGCGGGTGCGGCGCACGGCGGACGGGGACGCGAACGTCACGTCCACGTGAGATTGCCCGTTCCACCGCACGCAAGTCGCGACCGTGCCTCTGTTTAGGAGACAGAGGCCGGTCGCGATCGCCCACTCCGAAAGGGCCCCGCCTCGCGAATCCGTGCGGGGGGAACCCCAAGAAATAGGCGGGGTGCCTACCCGTGCGGACTCACATGAGGTCCTACCACCAGTAAAAAGTTTTTTTTTGATCTTGTAATAAACGATTGTATCTCTGTAGTTTGATTTTCCCTGTCGCCGAAGTCGGTTATGTAATTAGCGGCAGCCACGACAAAAGTGTTGATCCTGTCAGCATCAATACTCACTATGATACAAATGATAATATAAGCATCCGAAGAAGAACCCGATCACCAAGCCGTTCAGCACGAAAAGGCTTATGATCTTAATAGATGGTCCGTTTCTTTTGAGGAACACCTCCGTGGAACTGCCAACCCTGGCAAGCGAGGTCTCCAAGCAACCAGACGGCTCATACTCCAACTGATCGAGGACGATCTGCAAGAGAACTTACACGTTTATCTTATTCTAATAATCGGTTTTCCCATTTACCTTACTAATTCAAACGCAAACAAGCAATATTTGTCTTGGTTACACCTGTATTAGATATGATGTTGTAATGATTTCTGTAATATCTTCAGTGTGCTTAGTGCGAGTTTTTTAACCTCCTCGATAGCGTAAACGTTAACTCAGTATACAGTCGTGTAATAAAAATGTAACCCGCAAAATTATAATTTGCGTAATTACTGGTGGTAGGACCTTTTCTGAGTCCGCGTGGATGGGTACCACCAGCCTGCCTATTTCTGCCGTGAAGCAGTAATGCGTTTCGGTTTGAAGGGTGGGGCAGCCGTTGTAGGTAGCTATACTTAAGACCTTAGAACTTATATCTCAAGGTGGGTGGCGCATTTACGTTGTGGATTGCTATGGGCTTCAGTAACCATTTAACACCAGGTGGGTTGTGAGCTCGTCCACCCATCTAAGCAATAAAAAATAAAAAAACAGTCGGAACAACGCCCCTAACGGCAAACGTAGGCAAACGTTCCAACTGCATACAAATTTGAGTTAACTTTTACGCTATCGAGAACGTTAAAAAACTCGCACTAAGCACACTGAAGACTGTGGGTTTTTTTGTTTTTTTTTTCATTACTGTAGTTAGACGAGCTCCGGCCCACCTGTCAGATGCTGCCCGTGGACATCACAACGTGAATACCGTTTCGGTTTCGAGTTAGTTACAATTCTAATGTAACTACGAGTATTAATCTTTTATATAGATAAAAATGAATTGTTGTTCGTTAGTCTCGCTAAAACTCGAGAACGGCTTGACCGATTTGACCAATTTTGGTGTTGAATTATTTTTGGAAGACCGCAGAAGGTTTAAAAGGTAGATAAATATAAAAATGCTCGGAATTAAATAAAAAAAACCAATTTCGTTTTTCCTTTGATCTGTCCCCCGTCGGACGGATTCCTTTTGTTTGTTTTAAGTTTATTTTATACAAAAGTTCAGGTCTTTTATTTATCGATTGAGGCACTACGAAGTCTGCCGGGTCAGCTAGTCGTAAATAATTAATTACAAATATGAGGAACACTCACTTGTTCATTTTTCGGTTTCACATCTGTCATTTCAACGTCTCCATTTTGGGATTGCTGTAATAGTGGAAAATACATCATAATATTAAAAAAAAAATGTATCACAATTCCTTTTTTCTTAAGTGTAGTGTTCCTTTGTGTTACAGTGCTAAAGGTGAAACTTCGGTTGGCTGGTTAGCCACTTATGACGTCACGTTTCGCATTTCTTTTTAGTTTAAATACAGATGAAGATAAATAAGCCTCTATTAACAATCTTAGTTCATATTTAGATACACGTATTCTATTAATGTAATTTTTGTAAACATTTAATAACATCGGCAAAGATTGTTTTGCTTTCAGAATTTCATAGAATGGATAGAAACAAAAATCACTATACAAAAATACTCGATCGAAAATTGGTTCTGTCATTGTTTTTAGAACGGTTTTTTTACATATGCTTTACTACTTTATTATTTAAATTATTTATTGGCCATCGGAATTTTATTTAAATGTACCTTTGTTTGGATGCTGATAATCGGATTGTAATAAATAAAAAAAATACTAGCGGCTTCGCTCACACAGTCAATGATAATAAATGTGAGTGTAGTTTCCCGCGGGAATGAGATGTTTTTTCGGTAAAAAAGGTAGCCTATGTCACTCTTCATCAGATCTAAAACTATAGCTTTAAAAAAATCACGACCATCCGTGACTTCATTTCGGCTTGAAAAACGGTCAGACAAACAACAACTATTAAATTAAATAAAATTAAATATTTACAATCGAATAATAAACTATACTCACAGACTTGGCGGGCGGAAGGTAAGCGGCGTCCATATTGTTTTTTTGTTTAATTAGAATTTATAAAGAAAATTTGAACAATTCTCGTTACATATAAGAAACTAGTGCTCGGAAAATCACTGCCAACATTGATTGGCTCAGCATTGTCTGAAAAAAATTACTAAAAGTTAATTTGAAGTTAAAATGATTTTCTGTGCCTACTGAAACTATTATTCCTTATTGCTCAGATGGGTGGACGAACTCACAGCCCACCTGATGTCAAGTGGTTACTGGAGCCCATAGATATCTACAACGTAAATGCTTCACCCACCTTGAGATATAGTTCTAAGGTCTCGGTACAGTTACAACGGCTGCCCCACCCTTCAAACCGAAACGCATTACTGCTTCACGGTAGACATAGGCAGGGTGGTGGTATCTGCCCGTGCGGACTCACAAGAGGTCCTACCACCACTCTCGCTAAAGTTAATCTTCCTACATATACTTATATTAATAATAGGTCTATCTATCCCTTTCCCGCAAATCAAAGACTTTATATTTATATAACGGATGTAAAAATTAACATTCTTATCACTAAAAACAAAAAAAAAAAAATAGAAATATCAACAAATCCTAACAATACGTGTTTAGTTTATAAACAAAGTGAATGCCTGTTTGTTTAACGAGTTTTAACAAAATTATAGTCGGATTGTTTTACAAAATGTACACCAAACAGAGTCTAGAATGTTGTTCTATGTTAAGACAAACATTACAGCGTGAATGTTTTAGATTTATCTGTTCATTCAGTTCTATAACACTAGCGACCCGCCCTCGCTTCGCTTCGGAAACTGTAATTTTTTATTGATTTCTCCACTATTTAATGGATGTTATTATACATACAACCTTCCTCTTCAATCACTCTATCTATTAAAAAAAACCGCATCAAAATCCGTTGCATAGTTTTAAAGATTTAAGCATACATAGGGACAGAGAAAGCGACTTTGTTTTATACTATGTAGTGATACTTAAGTACTGGTAAATCGCCTAAATAAATGGTAAAATAGTTCGCGTCATTGGCATCATTGGAGATATAACTCAAGGAGGGGACTTTTTGGCGGGAACGCGAGGAGTGAAGTTATGTGATTTGTTTTATTTTGTTAATTTAGTGTTTCTTCGGGTTTAAATGTGTAATAACGGTGGTTCATTAACTGTTTTATATCTGTGAAAGTGCTCAAATGTGGAAAAATGAAACAAAGCCGCTGGACGTAACTTTTCGGGATCCTCCAAAAAGTCCACTGAAAAAATCATAGTAAATGACCACCATTTTACTGAGATTATATTTCATCCCATTTCATTTCATTTAATTTCATCCCAGTTGATTAATTTCTCAAATTAATCATCTTCATATCATTTCACTCCATAATATCATTTTTCATAAAAATATGATTAAAAATTAAAATAAGACATGACTTAAAGGTCTCAGTTACCAGGTCATAAAATCCCTTAAAAAAAAAACTCAAGGAGGGTTGACCATTGTGCTTAGTGCGAGTTTTTTAACGTTCTCGATATCGTAAAAGTTAACTCATATTTGTATGGAATGGGATCGTTTGCGTACGTTTGCCGCTAGGGGCGCTGTTCCATCTGCATACAAAATTGGGCTAACTCGTACGCTATCGAGCACGTTAAAAAACTCGCACTAAGCACACTGAAGCAAGCGGTCGGGCGTAAAGGTCGTGCCAAATCCCTAAGCAACCTGAAAAGAAGACATGCTGTGCCGAACTGCACATAACGTCGGATAATAAATAATAATAATAATAATAAATATTTACTAACAATCACGCCACGTTAACTGGTCCCGTGATAAGTTCGTAAAGAACTTGTGTTACAGGTACCAGATAACGGATATAAATGTAAGATTTTTATTATACACATATATTTTAATATACATCCATAACCCTGGAAAAGACATTTATATTTATCATACAAATATCTTCCCGTGGCGGGATTCGAACCCGCGACCCCCTTATGTAGTGACCATGTCACTTACCTCTACACCAGACGGCCTTTATATAATAACAAGAAGAAGAAGAAAAAGTTGGTGTCATTGCTACAAAAAATCAATTTGGCCCAAACATGGCCAGTTGATGCGCGAATATTCATGTTGTCAAAATATAGTGCAATAGCATTTGTTTTTTAAGGGATTTTATGACCTGGTAATTAAGACCTTTAGGTCACGTCTTATTTTAATTTATGTTCTTGTTTTTATGAAAAATGATAATATGGAGTGAAATGAAATGAGATGCGATGATATGGGATGAAATATAATCTCAGTAAAATGGTGGTCATTTACTGAGATTTTTTCTGTAGTATTTTTTTATTTTTTATTGCTTAGATGGATGGACGAGCTCACAGCCCACCTGATGTTAAGTGGTTACTGGAGCCCATATACATCTACAACGTAAATGCGCCGCCCAACTCGAGATATAAGTTCTAAGGTCTCAGTATAGTTACAACGGCTACCCCACCCTTCGAACCGAAACGCATTACTGCTTCACGGCGGAAATAGGCGGGGTGGTGGTACCTACCAGTGCGGACTCCCAAGAGGTCCTACCACCAGTGAAATGAAGTGAATGAAGTGAATCCTTTTTGGAGGATCCCGAGAAGTTACGTCCAGCGGCTTTGTTTCACTTTTACACATTTGTGCACTTTCACAGATATTAAACAATTAATAAACCACCGTTATTACACATTTAAGCCTGAAGAAAGACTAAAACACTAAATAGACAAAATAAAACAAATCACACAACTTTCACTCCTCGCGTTCCCGCCAAAAAGTCAACCGCTAACCTAATTGCCGTTTCTTCCACAGTATTAGTAAAATGCTAATGGAGGATATATTTAAGAATTTTAAATTAACGATGATTAAATATTAATATTAACATTTGATTTCAAGTCGTTTTGAACTGTGACAAGATCCATACAGATGCTATACAAATAAATATACACATAACATGTTTACATTAACTACGTTTGGCTAGGATTCAGATAAATAAGACAATTGCCTAGTATCTTTCACGTTTCTCGTAGTTTCCACACGATTTACTTAGTCTTAGAATACATAAGATTGGTCGGCTCATCGTACCGAAGCATAGTTTTAAAGCAAAATTAGACACGAAAGAACTTCACTAAGGGACTATGCTTGAGCCTACATAGTTTAGAGTCACGCTGAGATTCGGACCCTCCGAACTAGGAATTGTGACTTCGCGGCAGATATAGACAGAGATCGTGGTACCTTCTTCCTAAGAGTGAAAACCTTCATTTCTGAAGGATCATTAAGTTATATTCCATAAGTTAAGGGTCGCACAGCCGGTGATGGAGAGAGCTATGCTCGGTATTTCTCTAAGGGACAAAATCCGCAACGAAGAAATTCCGCGCAGAACCAAAGTCGGCGACATAGCTCTCAAAGTTAGCAGGCTAAAGTAGCAATGGGCTGGTCACATCTGTCGAGCCAGCAACGCCAAAGGGGGGAGGAAGGTCCTGGAATGGACCCGGATGGGTACCAGGAGCGTGGGGCGTCCTCCGACCAGGTGGACCGACGACTTAGTGCGCACGGCGGGAAGTCGTTGGATGCGGAAGGCGGAGGACCATTCTGTGGAAGGCATTGGGGAAGGCCTATATCCAGCAGTGGGCAGATAAAGGCTGACGATGATGATGATTCTCTCACCGCTCGATTCGATCGATCACCCCTTGCAGGTTTCCTCTCTGTATGCCTCTATTTTCTGCAGCCCAAAGTGCTTCAAGTACATGCTGGTAAGTGATGCTATCAGTTCTGAACAACTGGTAAATAGATCACGCGGTCTTTACCCTTCAACATAACCTACTAACATCAGCCTTACGAGGTTGCCACCATTTCTGTCCAAGGTATTTTGGTATGAGCTGATAAGATATTGTAGGCAGCCCAGTTAATACCTAACTATCACTTTAATCCACATTCATACATGTGTAAAGAAAAAAATTCATTGTCTAAAACTCTTTGGTTTTCTAAAAAAGATTTTTCTTGAATGTCATTCAGTGAAGACTGACATTCAGTAAAGAGAAAGTTCAGTTTGTTTAAAATATTAACTTTATTAGATTACTAGCTGTATCCGTCCGCTTCGCTGGGCATTTAAAATTAACATTATTATTTTTCACCCCCACAAAGATTCTCATAATTAACGCCTCCGCAACTGGTGTAGAAAGTCTAACACTCATATAAATATTAGCCTATCCATTAAGTACATGTATTTTCTACACGGATACCAAGTTTCAAGTCAATCGGATGCACGGTTCAGTAGTTATAACGGAACATCCGTAAAAACCACTGTAGATTTATATATTAGTACTAGCTCACCCAAGAGACTTCGTGGTGCCTCAATCGATAAATAAAAGACCTAAACTTTTGTATAAAATAAACTTAAAACAAACAAAAGGAATTCGTCCGACGGGGGACACATCAAAGAAAAAACAAAATTGTTATTTTTATTTGATTCCGAGCATTTTCATATTTATCTACCTTTTAAACCTTCTCTGGACTTCCACAAATAATTCAAGACCAAAATTAGTCAAATCGGTCCAGCCGTTCTCGAGTTTTAGCGAGACTAACGAACAGCAATTCATTTTTATTTATATAGATATATAGATAGATAGAAAGGGTTTTAAATGTTGTTTCTTAATGTGCATTTAACATAAAACGCAATTAAGCCTTTTATTGTTTATTGATCCTAAAGTACCCGATATCATTTAGGTATACATGTGAAAACATCACGTAATCTCGATAAATATTGTTCGTTAATTTATGCAAATTAAAATAAAAAAATTCGTCGTCATTGAATTGGTTTAATCGCGATTAAAACTAGAACGGTATCAAAATAATCGCTACGCATTATTTATGATCGTTGTACGTTTTTATCAGCTAAGATAATTTATTAAATACGATTTCCGTAAAATAAATAGGTGAAATAGAATTTAGGTAATGCGTGTTCCAAACGATCTGTTGATTGGATTACGATATGGAAAAAACACGGTCGCAACGCGCGTTTTTTTTTTTTTTTAAGAGATTTTATGACCTGGTAACTAAGACCTTTAAGTCATGTCTTATTTTAATCTATATTCTTAATTTTATGAAAAATGAT